GCACCATCAATGACAAGAGACGGGGATCTTTCGACTGCACCCTGCAGACTGCAGAAGCCGAAAGGGTCATGAAGATCATCCACGCAATCCCCGGATATGAATCGCTGATCAACTTCTGCTGTCTCACAGAGTGGGAGAAAGATCAGGTATTCTCTCAGTATCGAAGAAAGCACCATATCACAGGGGATGACGCCAGCATGGGCGCTGATGCCGACGCCAAGCCAGGTGACGAGTCGTCGACTCACCCTGGGGAGGAGGAAGCTGATGAGCCAGCAAACGACCCCACTGATGTGGTCAGGGACTCAGAAATTTCCGGAAAACAGCAACTCCTGGATGCGTTGGGAAAACTCTTCACTGTCTCTGAGGATGTCAATGTGTGTTTGTACTGTGGTAGCACCAAACATGGTCATCTCGAATGTGAACATGAGAAGAAGGATGAAGTCAGAAAGGTGCTAAAGGCCGTTCGAGCGTCGCTCGAGGCTGATAGTCCCACATCTGATGACGTCGAGATGGAACCGCCTGAGCACAGAAAGGACGAATCAGGTGCTACTGAAGGGTCAGGGCAAACGGATGAGCCTACAAAACCGAGGTTTGGTGAGTACCAGTGGTACGACAGCATCAGGACTATGTCCGAAGTTGGAGGCCTCGATGAGTATGGTAGGTTTTGCATTGAAGGGCGTGATGTTACCAAGCTGGGACCCCAGAATGTCGTTGATCTCAACGAAGTGATCCGGGACGCTATTGTCAGAGGAGGAGGTGACACTTGGTCAGTACCAGAGTTCCTCGCAAATTACTCCGACAACAACATCAGAAAACCCTTCTACAAACGGATCGAAGCGCCGCAAGATGGTTTCTTGAAAATCATCCCCACGACGGGAGCTCACTTCTTCAACTGCTTCTACTTTGGCGGTGTGGAGTATGCGGCAAACTATCGCTTCGAAACTGGCAATCGGCTCGATAGCTATGAGGACAAGATGAGCACCTCACTGAACAGGATCCTACGACACAATGTGGGGAAGGCATCAGAATCACAAAGCTTGTTTTGTGACGACGCCGGCTGGGTGCCCATTGAGGAAGTACTCAAATGTGAGTCAATCTGGAGACATGAGTACCAACGTTGGCCGCATGTCTTCCTCGCCCCCAAAGGAAGAGCAAACGATCAAAGTGCATGGAATGTCAAAGAGGCGAACTATCGCATGACATTGCTGTTCAAGATCATGTTCCACTGTGCCCGATATGGACGTCGTGTACGTGAACAAGTCTTGGCGTTCGGGATCAACAAGGACATTGATCGCAGTAGCCTGACATGCATCGACAACAAAGTCAATGCGGACACGCACATCCCCGACGAGGGGCTATTGCTCTATCCAGTTGCAGTTCGCGCCCCAACGGGGCACAAGGAAGGATCCTCCAGAGATGACGTCTTGTTGCTGTCATCATTGCTCTCGCATCCGATCGCGCCCAATACCATCATGTCATTGCCGGTTTGCTTCCACATCACGAAGAAGACCAACCTCCGAAGCATTTGGAGGCAAGGACTAATTCCGGGAGGTCTTGGAGAAGGTCATCGTATGTTCACGTTCTTCAACCCATATGTGCCATGGGATCATAGATCATGGACCATCACGAAGAGCGTTGATACGCGAAAGGGGGACTACATCTGCCTCTTCATCCCGACCGAGACCTTGATGGTGGAGTACGGTGGTCGATTGACCGATTCGGGACAGATCGTTTCGCCAAAGATCATCCCGTTCTCAGCGATCAAAGGAGGATGGATTCAAGATCCAAAGGATCAAAACAACAAGACATGGCTCCGGTTGTTCGTTCCGTCGGGCGACGACCAGGTAGTCCGGTCAGGCACTGTCAAGTCAAGAACTGTCGCCACCAAGGAGTCCATTCTGAGGATTGCAAGTCAATGCATCGACGCCGAAAAGCAACCGTATGACGAGATCACCATGGATGCAATGAACATCGTCAACCAATTCAGGAACAATCTCATTGAAGCTGGCGGACAAGAACAATACCTTGCCCGCATCAAGCTGATCGACTACATCGTCGAGCGCAAGAGGGTGGAAACTTCAGGTTGCCGTCATTGCCCTCATTGCCTCAATGAGACGCCGACGAAGTTGGCAGTATGTCTAGGTTGCTGGACAGAGCTTGAGAGCTGTGGAATTCGACCATATAGACTACAAGCTCCTGAAGACGATGAAGATGAAGCCACAAAGAAAGAGCTCGATGAGGAGGTTCGCCGACAGGAAGAATCGTTGTTCAAGGATACGGTCCACCAAGCACAGGAAAACGTACCTGAATCCAACGATTATGGCTTCAACCCTGACGAGGTCGACTACAACGAAGGCGATGATGAGGAAATGGCTCAGGAGGAAGAGACCCAGCAGGAAGACGACGAGATCGTTGAAGAGGAAGACGATGATGACATGAACGTCGAACCTGAGAATGAGCCTTCATCCAACCTGCCAGCATGGACTAAGAATCTTGCGCGCGGAAGCAAGGGTTTGCCAGGAGACGGACTTGTCAACAATGATGTCTCCGAGGCCGCGGCTTACTTGTATGACAATGCCGTGATGTCAAAGATCATCGCAATGTTCAGACTCTACTACGACCAGAGAGTCACTCTGACCCCAGAGGAATACTTTGCGTTGATGACGGCCACAAAGCGAGTCCGATTGGACCTGGACGACTTCTGCCCTTACACAGGCGAAGATCAGGATGGCAAACTCAAGCGACCGACTGAGCAGGAATTGGACGAACTCTTTCAGGAGAAAGGGAAGAAGAACTCATGGTCAGAGGGAGAAAAGATGTACTCTGGACGACCGAGAAACATGATGATGCCTGTCATCAAAACTCTAGAGGTTTACGAAAAGATGATGGAGTTTCTCGTATGTGCCGGGTACACTCCCGAGACCTTAGGTTTCCTCATGCCAATGACGAAGATGCAAGGTGATGCAAAGGAGAAGCAAGAGATGAGGGTGACCATTAGCAACTTTCTCCGACGATTGATGAAGGGAACCTTTCCCGAATATGAATCATACACCTTCTTTCGTTCCGGGAGCCACGGCTTCCCCAACTGCATTGAACTCCCAGCTTTCTCGGTATATCTGAGTCTGAGAGAAAAGGAACAAAGGGTGGAACTACTCTTTGCCGCCCAACAATGCGGTATTCCATTACCTCGCAACTTCATCAGCAAGATGGCTTACGCCATTCAACTCGCTGAGGCCGAGGCGCAAAGGGGAAAGTCCGAAATGAAAATGAAGATGGCTCCGAACCTGGGGGACGAAGTGGTAAGTGAAGTATTCAAAGCAGTCGGGGACAGTGCCGCCGCCAAGCGTGCCACTGCAGATGCGAAGGCCAGATCATCAACACAGCCTTCACAGAAACCTGAAGGTACTGGCTCAGCGTCATCCTCATCGGCCAGTGCACCAAAGGCTAAGGCTATGCCGAAGTCTTATGGACCATCCAAAGCACCACCTGCGAAACCTCCATCGCCGAAAGCTGCTCCGAAACGCGCGGCAGGTTGGGAGAAATCTCAGAATACACCTCAATGGAAGAAAGTCCGCCGCGAGGAGTAAGCCAACCACCTCTGTCCATCCAAATGATCACTGGACTATAAGATGTGTATCGTCTTTGTGAACAGATGATCAGGAAAAGACCAACTGAGTGGACTCTGAGCGAGGCAGTAGACTAATTCGCTTAGGTCCAAGATTATCACTAATCCCAATTTGCACGATTTTCTTTTTAGCAATGTGCACGTGAATTCACTAGTTAGCGCCAATCGCTATTCTTGGTGGAGCAGTCTAATTCCGTCGTCGATGGAGTGACTTGCGAAGCCGTAATCGTAGAGTAGCTGCAAGCTAGTGATAATTCGCGTTGTACAGCTCGATCTTGCGCTGATGCATTGCATGCCAGAGAGTAGGCGACCCCGGATCCACTACGCTCGTCGGGTGTGGGTGAAGGGGAAGCTGAATGGACTTGCGAGTACAAAGGCGTAATTCGTGCACAATAAAGGACATAATTCAAAGTTCCCACTCTCGTGCCTACGGTGCGAAGTCACCGAAGGCATGGGGGGTGTTAAAGGGAACGAAGTAGTAGTGCATGTGTAACATGTAACATCTACAATCTGACAATTACCGCCATACATTGGCTCAAGCGTATGGAGAAAAGGGCTGCGTCGCGTGACTCCGCATGGCAATCATCGGCTACCGGTAACAAGGGTACTAACTGATCGAGATAACATCCAGAACAAGGATCAAATTGTTCACAGTATATATTATAGTATATATATACGTGCATGTTTATACGTTGTATACAAAACATGTACAATGAGATGTGGTGCGATGTACTGTAATATAAAGCAGAACATAGATACCTGAATGTAAGCAAAATATGTAAATCTAACCTAAACATGGAATGTAACATAAATTTGGAGTGCAATATAAGTGTAAGCACTGTCCTGTACTCTGCTCTACTCACTCTACTCTACTGCACTGTATTGTACTATACGGTACAGTACAGTACTATACAGTGCTACACTGGACATGACATGACTCCTCACGCATGTACGCGGGTATGTGTTTGTGTATGTGCATCAGAATGCCCGCGGTGCGCGATTGGCTGCAGCCTAGAACAAGAAGAGAAGATATAAGTGGGAACTGGCTACTTCGCCGTAGGGTTTGTTTTGCCATTCTTGGCACAACATCCTTTCGGCACCTTTAGGGGACAAAATCAGAGACAGTAAAGGGATTAAGACATGTTGACTCAGGGGCCCAGGGGGGCTTCTATTTGTTAAACATGTTGACTCAAGGGGCTTCTTGTTGTTCCTTTCTTGTAAGGAACTTCCTGATCTCTGAAGGGTCACCCACAATGGTCCCAACAACCATGGCAATGAGATTGCCCAGATGATTCTTGATGATCTTGCCCACATTTCAGAAGGGCTTAGAGCGCTATCCGATTTGTAATTACTTCTTAGCAAGTGGTTTGCTCAGGTGCAGCCTTCGCAACCGAGGGCAGGTCTTGTGCTCAGAGCCTTGTGGGATCGACAGTCAACAGGTATAACAAAGTGTGGAACCCGGGCTCCTTTCCATGACTTGCCAACAACCTGTCAACTTATTCGACTTACTCCTCAAATTTTCCAATATTGTGTGAAGTGCGAAAGACCTTGATGGCAGTGTAGGAGGACTTCATCAAAGCTGGTGTGAAAAAGAAACGCTGCGCTGCTCCATATCCATGGTTCCTGGAAGTCCCACCATGGCCGTCCCGATTGAACATAATATACTGTAAGGTATGTATACTCACATATTTGAGGCTTGCAGGAGACGTGTTTGCAATTGAAAGCAATCTTTGGATTCAGATGATTCTTTTGAAGGTGGACAGACTCCACGGGTGACCAGATCCTTTGACACGCAACTTTGGTAGACCCAACTCAGTAGGATAGAGCTGTTGCATGATTGAAACACGTTTGTACTCTAGTCTGGGGTGAAAGCATAATTTTGATGTGACCTATCAGTTCTCAGATGGAGGGAGGCTTGACATCAGCTGTTTTTGCAAAACTCTGAAGTGAACATCCAGGCAATAGATTGAAGAGGTGGTTCAGCAGTGCACCCCACACTGCGGACGTGAGGTCACGATTCGATCCTGTTTTCAAAGTTCAAACCGTGCGGCCAGCATGTTTTGGCCGATGGCAGTTTCCTGCAAAAGACTGCTCTTTGCCCATGGATCCACACGAGCGAGGTGCGTATCAGTTTCAAAATGCGCAGAGGTCTGAGCTCCACTGAGGTCCACATTGTTCTACAGCACTTGAATAAAAAGTATTCTCGACCACTAGGTGTGTGGAGATGTAAATACGTACGAACATGTTGTAGTGTTGTAGTGTTGTGGTGATTGTAGTGGAAGTGTGACGGGGGCAGCCTTAGATGGCCTGTTGGCCGCAACGGAATCAACAACTCGGCCAGGATGCTGGCGCAACGCTTGAGATTAGACAGTCTCAGCCAGGCCAAAAAATGCTTCTTGCAAGGTGGCAAGACTTGCGAGAACATTGGGGGCGACAGTACGCCGGTAACTTGAATGATGAGAATTAGAAGAGACTGAGAGCTTTTTCGTGCCTCTGGACAACTTGGGGAAGTGCCACTCCAATTAGACTGCTTTCTCATGTGTGGGATGGTTTCTTGCAACCTTTGCTAAATGCAGCCTTGCTTTAATTTGAGGAAAGGCGATACGCCTGTTGTTGAATCTCAGTATCTAGGATCGGCTGGAATCGCAATGCTGTCAAGAGGAATCTAATTTACGGGAAATGGTTTCAATTGTTTCCTACGCCTTCTATGCTTATTGACGGTCCCGCGGACAAGAACCAACATTTTGCTAGTTGCCATCTCTGGACAGGGCACAATCAGCTTGAATGTAAATCTCAACTTAGAACTGTCACCAGCGGCAAAGTCAAATGTCTCCATACCCCAAGGCCAGTACAAGCAAGTTTTTTTTCTCCCATTTATACAATCTATGCGGTGGTGTATGCATGCTACTGTACAGCTGGTGACAGCATGTGGCACCTGTGGCGACAAGCAGCGACACACAGCTCTTTGTTCAGATCTTCGATGGTTCCAAGACCTTCTCGGTGGAGCCCAAGTACGATGGCGAGCGCATCCTGGCACATGTGGACGTGGAGGCAAGGCTAGGGGCAGGGAGTAGGCCAAGACAAACGTTGGATCACTTCGGTAGGACTAAATTTTAAGCTTGTTTGACCGTCGATCCACTCCACACCGCATGATCCACAGACTTATGGGCCAGGCAAAGCGAGTCGAGCTGCTGGGCTTGCGGTAGCTACAGTAGGTACATTGTGTCACCAAAGTCCTGCTGACGGGCGATTTCATAAACGGTGTCTGGTCTTGCCATTTGAAAGGAGCAGCTCACCAAAGGTCCTGTAAAGAGAGTTGGCTGTACACGATACGGAAAAAATTCAAGGAGGACTCAGATGAGGACCTTTGGTGAAGCAATGGGAAGGCGTCAAATTTGTTTTGCCCAGGCTTTATACCCGCAGCGCAATTGACTACACTAGCGCATGAATGCCCAGGAATTCAGTGTTGGCAACCTTCTAAAGGTACCTCCTTTGCTACCCACTGCAGAGTCAATATTGAAGCAAAGCAAACTGAATCTGATTTTTGAAGCGATGTGTTCGCCGATTTGAGTCTTGCTGCACTTTGATACTGTAGAATGTAGAAGTTGCCCAAACTTTGGTATACCGAGTCACGATTTTGACCTGACATGACAGCATGCTTTGAGGCCTACGCGCCCAGCATGAGGCCAGTCTTTCTCCAAGGACTCCTTGGAAGACAGGCCCATCTCACACTTCCAAGCAGTGACAGGTTTGTTTTGTGGAGTGCCAGCAGAAGCAGTGCAAGCAGTGCAAGCAGTGCAAGCAGTGCAAGCAGTGCAAGCAGTGCAAGCAGTGCAAGCAGTGCAAGCAGTGCAAGCAGTGCTTGGAGCTCTCTGAAGAGTTCCAACTTAATCGCTGAGGCCGTTTTGGATGGTGAGATGTTGGCTTGGGATGAGGCACCTTTGGGATGGACAGAAAAGAGTTGAAACGAAGAAAGCCAATGACATTCCCATTTTAGAAGGGACCTGATCACAAAGATCTCTCAGATGGCTGCAAGATGCTGAAAGATCGTGATCATGATTTATCTTATTTCGTCATCATGATCATCATGGCTTCCCAAAGGGCTTTCAACTCTTCTAGTAGCCGAGACTTGAGCGAAGATCTTGGAAACCAGGTTCCATGAAAAGATACGCGCACCCTATGGATGCATTCGCTGCCCGCGTGAGAATCTGCCCCAGGATGAGCAGGCTTTCATTGCCTTTGGCAGCAATCGTACTGTGGCTGGAAGCCAAGACTGCTGGATGAGTTGCGCGTCAAGCCGCAGACTATAGTGACCATAGAGTGCGTTAAGACCCCAAGGCAAATGTACAATCATACATTCATCACGTCACCACGTCCTTGCTCAGTTTTAGAATGCAAGTCATGCTTGTGGAATCTGGGAACATCTCACAAACCAGTACACTGTTTTTAGTGTTTATTGCTGTGGTGTTGCTCTGATTTTGTACACTTGGATTAACTTGGTGAGGCTCAAATGAACGACCAGCGGAAGCACTTGTGCTTTGTGGCGGGGCAGCGGCGGTTTGTTTTCAGTGGTAGATGTTGGAGCAGAAAGTCTGTCCCCAGCACTTGCATCCCTGTACACAAAGATCAAGAGCTATACATCTATACAAAATCACATAATATCACCAAACGGCGGCATTGCGAAAGCAAAAGGAGGGTTAATTATTTTAGGATTTTTTGATCAGGTTTAGGAATTATTTTTGGATTCCTGCTTCTCTGCTTTTCCTGCTTTTCCTGCTTCTCTGCTTTCCTGCTTTTCCTGCTTTTCCTGCTTTTCCTGTTTCTTTGCTTCTCTGCTTTTCCTGCTTTTCCTGCTTCTCTGCTTTTCTGCTTTTCCTGCTTCTTTGCCTTTCTGCTGTTTTGCTTTTGTGCGTTTCCTGTTTCTTTGCTTCTCTGCTTTTTTTTTGCTTTGCCTGCATGTAAGATGCATTTTGCACAGTATTTACATCCCTGAGTATCACATGACCAACCTTCTCTTGAAAACTAGCAACGTAACATGTGAGAAGAGGTGCTTGCATTCTGCTTTGGGGGGAGGCGCTGCGCCCTCCCGCTTTTTTTAATTTAAACTTAAACCCAAGTTACATTAGTTGGTTTTTGCGAACTAACCTTCTCTGGAAAGCTGACAGGATTACATGTGATAGATAGATAGATAGCTGGATAGATAGATAGCTTGGTAGATAGATAGCTAGATAGATAGATAGCCAGCTAGATAGATAGATAGCTAGAGAGATAGATAGCTAGATACCTCGATAGATAGACGGCTAGATAGATAGCTAGATAGATAGATGGCTAGATAGATAGCTAGATAGATAGATAGCTAGCTAGATAGATAAAGAGGTAGCTAGATAGATAGCTAGATAGATAGATAGCTAAATAGATAGGTAGATAGTTAGCTAGATAGATAGAAAGCTAGATAGATAGCTCGATAGCTAGAAAGCTGGATAGACAGCTAGATATCTAGATAGCTAGATAGATAGTTAGCTAGATAGCTCGATAGCTAGATAGCTGGATAGACAGCTGGATGGCTAGATAGATAGATAGCTAGATAGCTGGATAGACAGCTGGATGGCTAGATAGATAGATAGCTAGATAGATAGAAAGCTAGATAGCTAGATAGCTAGCTAGATAGTTAGCTAGAAAGCTAGATAGGTAGATAGATAGCTAGCAAGATAGCTAGCTAGATAGGTAGATAGATAGCTAGATGGATAGATAGCTTGCTAGATAGATAGCTAGCTTGCTAGATAGATGGCTAGCTAGATAGCTAGATAGCTAGCTAGCTGGATAGATAGCTAGCGCCCTCCCTCAATCCCCCCCACCCGCTTTTTATCTAATCCCAAGCTTCCGCATCTGTAAATATTTGGGTGAACATGCTCACATGTAGAACATCCCATGCAAAATGGAAGGTGAACATGCCAAAATGTGGCAAATACCATACAAAATGGAAGGTGAACATGCCCACATGTAGGAAATCCCATGCAAAATGGAAGGTGAACATGCCAAAATTTGGCAAATACCGTACAAAATGGAAGGTGAACATGCCCACATGTAGTAAATCCCATGCAAAATGGAAGGTGAACATGCCCAAATGTAGCAAATACCATGCAAAATGACAAATTCAAGTTCCAAACCGTTGCAAACACTAGGCAAATGGTACCAGCCAAGAAATCCAAAAAAAAATCCCAAACCTGCTCAAAAAAAAATCCTAAAACTATTTCACACCCAAAGCAAAATGGGGTCATTGTTCTTCAGGTTTCACTGCTGCACAAAATTTCACAAGCTCCAAAGTGTTGGCTTCTGTGATGATAATAATGCATATAAATACTAATATACAACTCGTCATAAATCATCATAACTCTACAGCTGTGGGGCAGGTCTTTGATGTGCTGTTCTACATGGACGCGGAGGGCCAGAGCTACGATCTGCGGCAAACTCCCCTGAAGGTGCGGTGGACTTGGTCGAGGTGGTGGGCCCTGCCAGTGGAGTCAACTGGGCTATACAAGTCTATATCAATCTATATCACAGATTATTTACTAATTTATTATACATTCCACTTTGATATTGAGATACCTTGAGATGTCATTTGGAGGAGGCCCTCCAGTCACTTTTTAGATTCAAGGCCAACTGTTCCCCAAACATGCATCCATGTAAACAGCTATTGCAACGTGGTTGATTCAAAGTATTCCAAAGCTGTCAGATTTTGAATTTTACACTTTCAGTTCACATGGTGACGAGGCCAGGCAGGATTTCTTGGCGAAGATCGTTGTGCCAAAGGAACACTGGCTGGAGCTTGTCCGGCCCCCGGGCTCCGGGGCTGCAGGCCTCCTGGGCTCCGTGTTTCAGTTGCCATTGCGCATTTGATGCACTTGATGCGTTTGTATCAGGAGTTGCTAGAGGCAATTCTTGCATTTGAGTTGAGTTGAATGCATCACGAGTTCCTGCTTCACATTTGATGTTTGAGCCTTCGATTCTTAGAGACGCTTTGTTTCTGAGCAGCTGTTCTTTCAAGCGAAGCGCTCTTGAAACATCTCACGGGTACCTGGCTGGCAATCATAGCTTTCTGATTCTTACCAAGGTGCCAGGACTTCCGATGAGCACCTTGGGATTGACTTAGCGCTGACTTGGCACTTATATCAAGTGCATGTGGAGGCTATGCAACGGTGTATTCCGTCTCTTTTGGACCAAATCGACAAATCAACTATCTCGTCTATTTGCGTCACTTTTCTTGCCACGGGAGAGGGTTGCAGCATAGGCTTTAGATGATTTTAGTAGCAGCAATACTTCCTGCACTCAAATGTCAGGAACAAGGCGCACACAGAGATTTCGACAGACACTACGCCACTGCCACATGCAGTACCTAACAGTCTCGAGGTCACAACCCAAGGTGGGAAAAGCAGGTCCCAAGAAAAGATTGTGGTTTATAAGGTAGTGCCGAGGAGGCCCAACGTCGTCTGGAGGGCGCCATTGAGGCTCGCTTGGAAGGACTTGTACTGAAGGACTGCAACACTTTGCAGGGGGCATGGGATTGGCAGTGTGATAGACTCGAGTGATATGGCTTGTACCTCCTCTCTAATATGCACATTGACGTGTTCTTGAAAACTTATGTTAGTGCCAAACAGTATCTTCAAGTCATTGTCTATTTCACCGAATTTCACCATTAGTTTTACACTCTAGCCTCACTTGTACAATTCGAGAGAGTGCCCTCAATAAATTACTCTAGAATAGTTTCTGAATTACACTTGTACTAATGCTTGCGTATCAACGTGTACATAGACACATAAAATCATTTACAGTCACACACACACAGATACATATACTATATATACTATGTAATCTATGTATAATATGACTGATAAGTTTGAGTGTGCCTCCTGGTTCTTGCTGCTCAAGTCAATGATAGGGTGGACTGAGAATTTCTGGGGTTGGTTGACCTTGGCAAGCGAAGTAACAAAGCTCACTTCCTGTCCTTTCCACTGTGCCCCGAGTTGTTTGCCGTGGATTTTTGTGGGCTTGGTTTGTGGATTTTCGTTGGCTATTGTCCTCTGTGGCCTTGTTGCTTTCCTGTGGATTTTTCGTTCTGAGATCTTGTCCTCTGGATTTGCGCGGGCTCCTAGGTCTCCCCCTAGACATCGGTTGGCTAGATACCTTGAATGAGTTGTCCGTTTACTGCTGCTGAACTTAGTGACCTCATTTCAAAGTTGGAGAGCCTGCAGACTTGGCAAGCGCAGCTGGAAAGCAGTGCGAGCTCCCAGCCTACGCCCGGTGGTTATACCAGGGGAGATCCAAAAGCCAGGGCATTGGCAGCTGGAAGTGGAAAGCCAAAGAATCCTTTTCCGGCCATTCCTCCAATTGCTCAGGTGTGGAAGTTGGTAAAGGAGGAGGGCAGTCCCTTTATTGGGAACACGTCAATTGAGGTGGAACAAGGACCTGGGTCAGTTCCGGCATTGGTGGAGGATCAGGCATCATTCATCTGTGTGGATCAGAGAGAGGCCTTGCAGAGAGTGCATCTCTGTTACTCTGCTGGCTTTTGGGCCCGAGTGGCACTTGAAACTTTTGTCAGCCAAATCTCCCCGCGTGGACTTTCTGAGCCGGCAAAGCACTTCATTGTGTTGAGAGCCCTTGGACTTGGAGGCTATATCCGTTTGTCTGATCGAGACCATTTCGATCGATTCAAGGATCAGGTTGGGGAGAGTGGACTTCTGTGTTACTCCTTTGCAACGGAGACAGAGCTTGAGGTCTTCTGTCAGGGAGCGAAGATTTCTGTGCCCCCACTTTTTGAGCCATGCTGAGCCGAGACAGACTGAGGCCTGCTAGTGGGGGCGACCCGTCCCTGCTTGTTTTCACCTTGCCTGAACATGCGTCCTCCATAGCTGATGAAGTGGAGATTTACGCTGTCCCTGTTGAATTCAGACAGGGGGGGATGCTGCTTTGTGTTCCCCCTGACATTGTGTCACCTCAGGTCATTGCAGAAGGTCAGACAGGGTCCGAAGAGGCTCTTTTTGGCCCCAATTCGTTTTTTGAGGTTGGATTGGTAGAAGAAGCCGAGGACCTTATGTCAACCATTGCCCTTGGAATTCAAGCTCGTGTTTTGGTGATTGATGTGCATGATGAGGTACTGGCATTTTGCCGTGAATACGACCCTGTCACTGACTCCCTTGCCTCAATAGTTGGTTTTTCCTCCGATCATCCGAACAGTTTGCCTGACTGTGCTCAACTGATGCCCTTAGTGCGTGAATGGTTGCAGCAGAGAACGGATGAGAGGTCGGGTTTTTACACTGCTCAAGAGGACCATGTGAGTCAAAACCCAAAAGCAAACCCTGCCGACAGGGGAACGGTGCCTGCGTCAGCCAAAAAGGCCACCGCAGCAAAACGAGTGTCAAATGCCGTGATTTCCGAGCAGTTGAATGCATTGGCATCGCAGATGAAGCTCCTCTCCCAAAGGCAAGATCGTCTCGAGAAGTCGTCAGGTACTGGTGCCGAACCTGCGCCAGAGCGGCTACTTGGAGCCTCCGCAAAACTCCCACCAGTGTCAGCAGGGCTCCAAAATCCCAGTGGTCTGTCTCAGACGGTGGCGGCAAAAGCCTTGCAGTTGCTAGGACCCCCGCCAAAGACCAGGGCTCCTGCACCAGCAGAAGGTGCGATCGGTGTGGGAACAGAAGAGCCGTACGATGTGCTACAGCCTTCACTAGAGGATCCAAGCATAGCAACTGCCCTGGCCCAGCAGAGTACAGCTATCACAGCTTTGGTAGCTCACCTAGCTTCGCAGACGGGAGATGCCATGGGAGATTTAACGTCCCTCGCTCCTTCTTCGAGTACAACAAAAGGCGTTCAAAGGCGCGAAAGGATGCAGAATGCATTGGCAGACGGGTCAAGCTGTTATTTTCTTCAGATGATGCAGCAGCTCCATCGGCGTCTTCATCCGTCCCGCCAGGTTCCACAGACAGAGGCAGACATGATGGGTCTGTCGATGTTGCACTATCTGGAGAGGCAGGGAGGATATCGAGGTCACCGAGAACTTGGTCTGGTTGCCTGGGTGCTGGGACATGCCATCGACTCGGCAGCCCAAGGAGACTTCAAGCTCACGAAGGAAATCCTGGCACTCCTCATGGTTGCAGTGGAGCAAGCTGTGACGGACCGGGGCGAGTGGACCATGGCATACATGTTAACTTTGATGGAGGAGCCACCTTTGCAGATGTTCCAGGAGAGATCAATGAACGTGTCTCTCCATGCAAAGCCCTTCGGGCCATTGGTTCCTCCTCAGTGGACCGCAGTGTGCCTGTCCTATTTGAAGGACTTGGAGGTGCTGTCGACAAAGAAAACGGAGACGGCCAAGAAAGCATCCAAAGCCATTCCTCCTGCAGCATCGGCCAGCGCCTCAGCAGAACCAGACCAGGAAGCATCACCCAAGAGGAAGCCACGCTTCCCCCGAAAACCGAAAAGCAAGTCGCCTCCGGATGCATGAAGGGCGGACGCCCACCCGCCGGCCAGGTAGAGCTCGAAGCAGATTTACCTGTAAACGGGGGTTTAATTAAGAGGGGTGGACTTTTAAATAAATCTGGACTTATAACAAGTGGGGGTAATCGTAAGTGTCCTCGTTGTAAAGCAGGAGACTATGATGGAGTTCGTTGCAATGCCTGTGGATTCCGGCACCAGCCTATCCCCGGGACTTCCAGTTTGGCTGTGGATACTTTAGATTTTTATCGATGGTGTTCATTTTTGGCCATTTCTGTTTTGCGTACCCGCTGTTCCTTTGCGGTCTTCCTACGATCAACTCTGCATTTGCCCCGAAGCTCTGTAGCTTCGGAATCGCCGGCGTTTCCCTTGCCTATCCCTTACTGTGATGTTTTTGCAAGGATGCCCCCAGGTCTGTCTTCCATCAAGCGAAGGAGAATTGCCTTTAGACGTGCACTACATGTGGTGGTCATGGCACTCAACTTTTGGTGGGCAGGCAGCAGTTTCATTAGCTTGGAACTTCTGGGGAGGGTTCCCTCACCTTCTCAACGTGGGATCCTAAAACGGCTTTCGAGCATGTTGCTGGCTGACGGCCCTTTGGAAACCTTTCAGGCCCTCCGAAGTGGTCGACGTTTTCCTGAGCTTGTGGCCCGCCTGACTGACTTGTCATGTGTTTTGACAAAGCTTGGTGTTGGTTCCGGCCCTTATGAAAAGATATATCCTGGTCATGACGTTCCAATGGACAACACTCAGTTTATGGAGCTGGAGCCCTATAAAGCTCTTGATGCCTCGCGCCTGCGAGTAGTGGGATCAGGGTCTTGGGATGCTACGGATTTTTTGAGTCCTGAACTCTGCATGGCCTACAGGTATCCTGACTCACTCTTGTTTGCACGTGACCTTCAGCAGTTCGAGATTCCTCAAAGAACAGATCCTGCTACCGAAGTTGTCAAACTTGCAAAACTGTGGGATGCTAGGGGCCTGCTCCATATCCATGACATCGATCTCCAGACCGAGGCAAGACATGAGTTGGTAAGGGTTTTTAATTGTTTGAAGAATGAAACCTGCGATAGGCAGATAGGTGATAGACGCGGTAGGAATGCAATTGAGAGACGCCTGTTAGGACCTTCTGCAAGCCTACCAACGGGCCCTGACTTATTGGACTTTTGGCTGGACCCGAGAAGCAGCACTTTGTCCATTGTTTGTACGGACCGCCGAGACTTCTATCATCAATTTGCCACCTCAGTGAATCGCACCAAATCAAATACGGTAGGACCCATGGTTTTTCTTAGGGAGTTGGAAGGAACGACTGCTTTGGCTGAATTTTATGCTGCCAAGAGACAGAGGAAACCTCGTCGGCATTTGCACGGCGATCAGCTTGGCCTATCCCAAAGGCAACATTTCACGAGGTGTCCGCCAGGTTATGGGATGGTCGCATTCCAGAGCATCTTCCAAGGCGACCACGCTGGGGTCGAGATCGCGACCTCGGCGCATGAGAACCTTTTGAAATCAGTTGGCCTTTTGACTGAGCAAAGTAGGCTGGTTGCTGACAGACCGTTTATGTGGGGTGACCTTTGTGAAGGCCTGGTCATAGATGACTATTTTGCCATTGCCAGTGTCCCAAAGAGCATCCTTGTCCCTAGCCCTTCCTTGGAATGCCTTGCCACTAGCAAAAAAGCCTATGCGGAGCATGGTATCCTAGGTTCTGACGATAAAGATGTAGTGGGGGCCCGGAAAGCAAAGATCATAGGAGCCTGCCTGAACGCTTCGCCACAGTGTCAAGACAGGGGTCATGTTTTTGCATCCGCGCCGGCCGAAAAAAGATTTTCTCTTGCCTGGGTGACCTTGCAGCTGTGCCAGCTTAGCCACACCACTGACGTGCTTCACCTTTGCCTAGTGGGAGGTTGGACGTCCGCATTGATGTTCCGGAGGCCGTTTATGTCCATCCTGGATAGGGTTTTCCACCTTGTTGACATTAATGCTTACAATCCTAGCTCACCTAAGCTTGTTAAGTTGCCCCGGCCTGTTGTGAATGAGTTGGCCCTTCTGAGTGTCCTAGCGCCCCTGATGGTTGCCGATCTTGCAGTAGACTTTGCGGACAAACTGTTTGCAACAGATGCCTCACTGAACAAAGGGGCTATTGTTGGCTGCCATGTTGAAAGGAAGGTCGCTGAGATCTTGTGGCGTAGCTGTAGATCAAAGGGGGGCTACTCCAAACTTCTTTCCCCTGGCCAGTCGGTGCTTTCCAGATGTCTGGACTTTGAAGAAGCTGAGCCCATGAAAGCAGAAAGCGTACGACGCCCACTGGCCTACCGATTTGATTTTGTCGAGGTTTTTGCAGGCGCAGCAACTGTGACCAAATGCGTTGCTGCCCTGGGGTATTCAGTTTGCTGCCCCATTGACATTTCCTTTGACCCTGAGTTGGATGTTACCAAGATTCATGTCATAGAATGGCTAATACATCTGGTGTCAAACCGTTTAGTTGAAGCCTTCATGATAGAGCCTCCCTGCACAACTTTTAGCATCATGCGACGTCCAGCACTGAGGTCACGTTTGCAGCCCTTCGGTTTTGATTTGGATGATGAGCAGACCTGCACAGGTACAGTTCTGGCACATAGGGCTTTGCAGTTGCTGAAGGTTTGCGCGCGTGTGGGGCTCACAGGTATTTTGGAGAATCCATGGACATCAAAGATCAAGTTCCTGCCCGCATGGTTCGCCTTGTTGTGTGACCCTTGCTGTGAGTTGGTGAGGTGTGACTCGTGTTTTTATGGCTCAAAGCATTTGAAGTCCTTTGCATTTCTCTGCGTTTGGGCTGACACCAACCCAATAGCAGGCAGGTGCACAGGTGATCATCAACATGTCCAAATTGAAGGTTCGCTGACAAAGAAGTCTGCCACTTATGTTGATCGTTTGGCTGAAGCCCTTGCCTCCGTTTTTGCTACAGGAATTGAAAGACTCCGCAGCTTTGACAACAATATCGATGAGATTAAATGTGAGGGTCTGGAGAACCAGCTCATCAATGAGGTGTGCCTGTCGTCTGAGTGGAAGACAGTTTCTGTTTGGACTTTTAGGGTTTCTTCTCACATCAATCTTCTTGAACTGTCAGCTGTGGTCCGTTTGGCAGAGAGATTAGTGAAACAAGGCAAGTCTTTGCGAGTGACCATTCTTGTTGATTCAAACGTGGTTTGCTGTGCCGCTTCGAAAGGAAGGTCCTCCTCTCGGGCTTTGGCCAAGCTGCTTTCTCGTCTTGGAGCACTGTGCATCATAGGTGGACTCTATCTGGTTTTTGGTTTTATTCCTACTAGGTGGAACCCAGCTGATGATCCAACCCGTGACTGTGTGTTGCGTAGTCCCATCCCGGGCATGGATTTGGCCGCCTGGGATCGCTCCTTGCTTTTCCGTTTGTCGCGCCATCCTAAGCTCCGCCGTTGGGCTTCGAATTGGGTTCGTCTGGTCATCCTGTTGTGTGGCCCGGCCCCTTTGTCCTTCACTGACCGGTCCATTTTCCGTGCTGTTCCTTTCCCTTTTGGGCTTTCTCCCCAGCAATCTCTGCATCATGGCAGGTGTTCTGATTCGTCTGTGAGCCCTAGTTTGGAGCTTGATCATGACGTTTTGGTTTTTGATGGCACTTTGGGTTTTCCTGGTGAGGGGCCCCCTAGTTGCTTCGCTTGCCATAATTTAAGGTCTTTTCGTAGTTTTCTCTTTGCCGTTGCCATGGTACTTCAGGGTGAAGCAGTTCTATTTCCTAGGAATGCAGGTGATCGACTGAGACAGACACAGCGCAGCGCCCGGCCGCCTCTTCAAGAAGGTCGACCAGTACTGACAATAACGAGCCAACAGAGGATCTCTTTCTTGACTCAGTTTGAACAGTGGCTGCGTGTTCTGGGCGTATCACTTGACTATCTTCTGGAGAACCATGTCTATAGCATAGACGAACTGAACAGACATCTGGTACGTTATGGCCGTGCCCTTTACGCTGTGGGAAGACCTTATAATCATTTTGCAGAAACCATAAATGCAATAGCAGCCAGAAGACCTGTGGTGCGTCGCCAATTACAGGAGGCCTGGAACTTCGCTTTTGCCTGGGTTCGCGAAGAACCCCCAGTACACCATGTTGCCATGCCATGGCAGGTATTGCTGGCATGTATATCAACTTGCTTGGTCTGGGGATGGTTAGACATTGCTGGAATGTTTGCACTGACATGGGGGGCATTACTCAGAGTGGGAGAATTTACAGGTGCCTTGCGTCGAGATCTTCTATTACCTTCTGACACCTGTTATACCAATAATTTTGCCTTGCTGTCACTGAAGGAACCAAAAACCAGATTCACAGCTGCACGACACCAATGCGCTAAATTGGATGTTCCGGATTTGCTTCGGGTGGTGCACATAGCCTTCTCAAGACTCAGGCCTGGCCAGAAGCTGTGGCCAAGATCTGGACAAACTTTGCGGCTCCGCTTTAAGCAAGTGCTCACTGAATTGGGAATACAGGATGTTCTGCTTAACAACAAGCGCCTTGATTTAGGGTCTTTGAGACCGGGAGGTGCTACGTGGATACTGCAGCAGACAGAAGATTCAGAGTTTACTAGACGCAGGGGCAGATGGATAAATCAACGTGTGATGGAAGTATACATCCAGGAGATATCAGCTTTTTCTTTCCTAGCTGCAATACCCGACAATGTTCGACAAAAAGTTTATGGCCTCAGTGAAATTTTTCCTCTGGTGTTACAAAATGCTGAACTTTTTTGGAATGCAGCTATCCCACACGATGTGTGGTACCTTTTGTGGCGTAGTCAAGTTACCAGGGAATGACGGGAAATGTGGGTATCCTTCAGCTTCGCATCTTGACGATGGCATCAAGCAGAAGGTTGTGAAGTTTCACTCATGCAGTGCAGTTTGAGCAAGGACAAAACAGGCGTCGAAATCTTGACTGATAAGTTTGAGTGTGCCTCCTGGTTCTTGCTGCTCAAGTCAACCCTTCCCTGACTTGGGCCCACCCGACAGAGCAGACACGCCACAAAAATGGGTATCCTTCAGCTTCGCATCTTGACGATGGCATCAAGCAGAAGGTTGTGAAGTTTCACTCACGCAGTGCAGTTTGAGCAAGGACAAAACAGGCGTCGAAATCTTATATATATATATATATATATTACATAACATACACATGAGATACGTACGCTAGATAGTATATACTATTGACCCCAACTAAAGATACTTGTTTGTCAAACAAGGGTAATGGGACTAGTGCAGTGCTGTACAAGAACCGTCATACAGAAGAGTATGAAGATGTAACCAAGGGGTGATCGAGATATAGGAATCCCGATAACCAAAAATCTTTGAAAGCTGTGGTCACCCAGCAGGACATGTCTTCCAAGTACTTCTTCAACGCGCGCAAGCCACTTGGCTGCGGCAGCTTTGCCAGCTATTGTGGCTCTCCTGGCGTTTGGTCTTGTCCCACTCATAGATTTGCTTAAAGATGACTGAAAACGCTGCGATTGGTGGCGAGATCTAGGGGATAGGAAATAGCTTAACCACGTTTCATTTGTGCCTAACTATCGCGGGTTGACGATGTTTGTCACTACCTCTACCTGGCTTCTGGCCTGCTCAGGAGAGGTTGGTACAAGATCAAACCCGAGTGCGACTAGAGCGGACAAGCGATGCGATGCGATTTTCCAATTTTGGTTCCTTTTAGTCTTCCTTTTGGTCATCCAAGGTGGGAGACGTGCAATAAAGAGCTGTCCAAGTTGGACCGTCATTGGACTGTCTCAGTTTCTGTACCTATTGACCACACCATGTCCCACCACGTTTTCTTGCTTCTTTCTTGCCTTGTGATTGAGGTACGATGGGCAATCAGAGACTTTGGACCTAATCGTCAGTTCCCCATGACTTGGAGACTGATGTCAACTGATGGTAGGCATTGAATGTATTTTATGTTTTTATTTTTTTTTATGGGACATCAGAACGTTAATATGAGGCTGCTGCAGTCAAGCCCAGTGAATCCATGGACGAATCGACAAAGCAGCGTTGAGGTCGTGGGTGCCTACTTCGGAGACACTGCCCGGCGGCGTGCCTTGCAAGGGTGTGGGACCTTGGAGTGGAGGCTGACTTGGCTTGCCGGGTCTGCCTGACTACAAGGCTTTGATCTGAATATAAGTATATATATATACACAGTTTATATATATATAAATAAATAATACAATATACACATAGATATGATATAGATAATATGAACAAGGTGTATATATATATATATACACATTTAATAGCAACTGATTTGAACTTTAACCGTATTTCCCCTCAGCCCTCAGATAGTCATTAGATTTGATTGGCGTTCTCAGTTCCTCATGATTTTGCTTTGTGTCTGCAGTGGATTCAACAACTATCAGACTATCATTCATTGCTTTCTCTGACTGACATCGCACAAAAGGATTTTGACTGGACTGAGGCAGTCTACAGATTTGGCAGACCACTGTTCTCAGCTACTTGGAGTGCAGAGTGAGCAAAGGTATTGCAATGACTCTGAACATCAGCATTTTGGTTTTCCACTTTCTTTGTAAGAAGCTGAATGTCGTGTGGCGCTTCATGCTGTTGGGTTCCAAAGCTGGGTTGATTGCCAATACACTGAGATAATCTTACCTCAAAGCAACAGTGAACACAGTATTTTGTAATTCAATCGAGAGCAGCACCGGGGACGGCCAAAGCAAATTTCAAATTGCACTAAGGTTTCTGCTCGCAGCGCTGCGTCACAGCTCAACCCCAGAGGTTCCGAGACTTCAAAGGAGAAGCTGTGCCATGCTGTGCTGCTGCAAAGATACGTCACACTTCCCCCGTCACCGCTTTTGGACATATGAAGACAACGGGAACACAAATTGGCACCACGTCGCGTCCAGATGACTGGACAGGCATCAGTGGTTACCGTTTGCAGAGTTGGCACCGGTTTTAGTCGGTCAGCCCAGTCCACGAAGCATTTGACAATTTAACACCACCATACACCACCAAAAAGAGCAACTTTGGAAAGAATAGAAAGAAACCATCATAGTTATCATCATAGCCATGTAGATATCATGTTTTCATGGTTCGAGGAGCTTTTAGCAACTCTCCCAAATGGTCTGTCCATACGTCCTTCTTTTGGATTGCCGATGCTCTTTAAGCCCTTTGTGCATCTTGCGTGCATCTTTTGTGCCCGCCGGAAGGTATGGACCAGCTCAAGGAGATGCGTGCTAAGTTGAGGCTCGGGCAGACATGCTTTCCTGCTGACTGCTCCCGGGCTCCCGGGAAAATCGCAGCGCACACAACTTGTTTTTTTTTGCTTCCGGGTTGAAGGACATTATTGAGGTCCATTGGGTCCATGATCTCTTAAAGGCGCTTGAAGGACACGTGCAATGTAACTGCTTGTAGGTTTGCATTGGGACGGCACTGAAACTCGTTGACCAAGTTGAACTGAGTAAGGCTGCTATGTTGGAGACTCAAAGATTAGGACTGTTTTTTTGTATGCTTGAGATCGCATGTGGATGTGCACACCGCCAAATCCTTGAAGGCCACATCTCAAGCGCATGGTACTCAGACCTACCATGATAATTATGATTATTACCGTTCATCGATTTGTCGGCTCCCGTTGAATGATCAAAAGTGACAAAAGGTTGGAGAATTGGAATTGTAACAGAAAAGAACAGCGTGGACAAGGCTCCAAATATTGATCAAGGGAATGTTGGTGTGTGGAGAGTGCTCAATTGCCAGTCTCCAAATTGGAGCACAGATCAGTGACCAACTGATAACAACTTTTCTTTACAATGTCAATTTTTTTCGACGAAAACATAAACATCATGATCACTTCAGAACATAAGAAAACAAAAGATAACATAAGATAATATAAGATAACAAAAGATAACACAAGATAACAGACGATCTCACAAGGTAACAAAAAATAGCAAGAGACAACAAAAATAAGATAAGATAACATATGATAACAAAAAATAACATAAGATAACATAAGATAACATATGATAACATAAGATAACATAAGATAACACAATACAACATAAGATAAGATAAGATAACATAAGATAACACAAGATAACATAAGATAACATATGATAACCTAAGATAACACAAGTTAACACAAGATAACAAAAGATAACACATGATAACATAAGATAACATAAGATAACAAAAGATACCATAATATTACATAATATTACATAAGATAACACACGATAACATAAGCTAACATAAGACAAGATAACATAAGAAAAGATAACATAACATAAGATAACACAAGGTACCATGAGATAACATAAGATAACATAAGACAACATATGATAACATAAGATAAGATATGATAACATAAGATATCATAATATAACATAAGATAACATAAAATAACATATGATAACATAAGATAACATAAGATAACATAAGATAACATAAGATAACATAAGATAACAAAAAAATAACATAAGATAACATAAGATAACATAAGATAACACAATATAACATAAGATAAGATAAGATAACATAAGATAACACAAGTTAACACAAGATAACACAAGATAACACATGATAACATAAGATAACATAAGATAACAAAAGATACCATAAGATACCATAAGATTACATAAGATAACACACGATAACATAAGATAACATAAAACAAGATAACATAAGATAACATAAGATAACACAATATAACACAATACAACATAAGAAAAGATACGATAAGATAAGATAACATAAGATAACATAAGATAACATATGATAACATAGGATAACATAAGATGACATAAGATAACATAAGATAACATAAGATAACAGAAGATAACATAAGATAACACAAGATAACATAAGATAACGTATGATAACATAAGATATCATAATATAACATAAGATAACATATGATAACATAGGATAACATAAGATAACATAAGATAACATAAGAGAAGATATGATAACATAAGATAACAAAAGATACCATAAGATACCATAAGATTACATAAGATAACACACGATAACATAAGATAACATAAAACAAGATGACATAAGATAACATAAGATAACACAATATAACATAATATAACATAAGATAGCATAAGATAACATAAGTACACTACCAAAATTGACTTCTTAAGAACACTCATTTCCAGCGGAGCTGAGGCTATGACCCACATCGTGTGCCCAGTTGGATGGGGGGCTGGCGTGGAGGCATCCCACCGGGATCGGCGGACGAATGCGAGGGTGGATGAAGGGCTTATGATTCCGATGCTGTTTGTGCCGTTTGCTTCACTTCACTGAAGGCAGAAAAAGACCGAAAGAGAGCGAGAGAGAGAGAGATGTGAGATTTCCGTCTCAAGTTTCTTGTCAAATCTGCAAAGATCGCTTTTCAAGAGTTTTTTGGGCGTGCAATGAGAGCAACGAGCAACAATGCAATGTGTGTGCAGTCAGAGTGGTCCAGCCAGGGCCCAAGTCCAAGCCGGATGCGGTGTTGGATTCTCCCTCTCACGGCTTCGTCATGGAGGTGGTCCCAATATGGGTCCGAGAAATTGGGTTTGTCCAAAACTAGGGTACAAAGCCAGCGATTTATCATCATTCTCCCAATTTTCCCCATGATCATGAATCAATCATGAATCTATGAAATTTCTGGTAAAAATTGAATTTCTTCAGAAACGGGCCTGAGATTTGACAGGTCCGGGCAGCGGAGATCGTCCCCTCTGAGGCTGGGCTGATTCAGGTTCCTTTTGCATGGACCTGCCAAGCCCGGCAAATCTCTACATATTCATGGTCCACTATCCGTCGGATTTTTTGGATCCAAATGATAAATTAGGGATAGAAAAGTATGGGATCTGAACCTGATGAGGTCTCCAAACTGCTTGATGATAAGAAAACATGCTGCATCCTGCATGAAACGAGCGAAATGAACATCTTCCCTCACAAAGCTTTTTCCTGAGTTGACGCATCCACTGACACAAGAATTGTGCACCGCCAAAGGAGTACGAATTTGGACACACTCTGCGCTTTCCTCGCGCTGTGAAAGCTTTTCGGGATGACAAGGCAGGAGGTGCTCATCAACTTATCAACTTATCACCAACCTCCTGCAGCCAAACAAGAGCAAGGTGGAACACCCTTCATCAAAACTTCAGCATGTGTTGTAGCGTAGATATTAGAGAGTCTTGAGGTGAAGCTTTCAAGATGATTAGTGCTTAGGGAAGCTTCTTGTGTCATGCGCTTTGCAATGAAGCACTGCTATGGTTTCAGGAGTGGAGTGATGCCAATACCGACAAGGCTTCTCAGGGTGAACATAGATTGTCCTGATTTTATGAGTGATTGCCAGAACAGTGTAGCATGTAGATCTTGTGAAACCACATGGAAGCGAACATATTCGTGTGCCAAACCTTTTCGAACACTGGTGTTTCACAGGGAAAAGGGGCCATGCTCTACTCAAACATCTCGCGGAAGCATCTCGCGGTTCTTGAATGGTGGGACAAAGTCTTTCAAAGTCTGCTGTCACAGCATCTAGAGCGTGCACGTTCCCGGTTGCATTCTGATCGCTTCTCAGGGTATTTTATCCTACTTGTTATCCTTTTTAGATCCTTTTATAACATCGTTTAACATCTTCGCCCCAACCCGGACGTTGCTCCACACTTACAATCGTCATGATCATGATCATGATCATGATCATGATCATCATCATCACAATAATAATAATAATCATCATCATAATAATAATCATCATCGTCATCGTCATCGTCATCATCATTAGCGTCGTCATCATCATCATCATCATCATCATGACCATCATCACATTAAGATTCGCCACCCCTCTGAAAAATATGTTGACTGGGGTAATAACATCAACTTTATCTTCATGAGGCATGAAAATTCGCCACCCCCTCTGAACAATATGTTGATTGGGTAATAACATCAACTGTATCTCCATGAGGGATCAAAATTCGCCACCCCCTATGAACAATATGTTGATTGGGGTAGTAACAGGTAAGTGCCTCGGTTGTACATGCGAAACCCGACTCGGCGGCACACGCGAGAAAACAACTCAATTGTGCACGCGGATGCTGATGATTATGATGGTGACGACGGTGATGATGGTGATGATGATGATGATGATGATGATGATTGCGATGAACAAGGCTTTTTTTGATTTGGATGAAGACCATGTGGGCTTGTAACTTTGGAATTTGTTGAGCTCCATCGGTTTGTGAGACTATGGCTCCCAAGAAGCGGCCTGCTTGTAAGAGACCGGCAGCGGCGGCTCCGGCAAGGGATGCAAATGTGTATCCTTTGTCTGTGTCCCGATAATGAAGTTAAGCAACGGGTATGGCTGGTAGATCCTACCCTTTTCTTAGCCCCACCCCACCCCCCAAGGTTGAAGTGTGATGGTAGGTCGAAGGAAGTGGAGTAGCGGTTGTGTCCCTATAATGAAGTTAACTAGTAGCGGTTGAGTTCCTATAATGAAGTTAACTAGCCCCACCCCACCCTCCCAAGGCTGTGTGTGTACAACTGAGTCAATTTTGTGTGTACAAGTGAGTCAGAATCCTGTGTGCGCAGCTGAGTCAATTTTGTGTGCGCAAGTGAGGCGCTTACCGTAATAACATCAACTATATCCCCATGAGGGATAAACATTCGCAACCCCCTATGAACAATATGTTGATTGGGGTAATAATATCAACTTTATCTTCGTAGCCACCTGAAGTCAGACGCGGCGCAGCGTCAGGGTTGCCGCGAACATCTTTTAACATAAATTTCATTAATCATCCATTAATCATCCATTAATCATCCATTAATCCATTTTCATCATATTTTTGCTTTTTTGAGACACCTGCAGGACCTCCGTGAGTTCTTGGTGGAGGGCGCACGAAACGCCTTGACAGGGCGACGTGTGAAGGCCAAGGCTTGCGCCTGGCGCAGCAGATGGCTACCTCTCATGACGGCTTCACAGCTGAGGATTGAAGCAACTTTGTATAAAGATATTAAATCATACATCGGAACCACTATATTATTGTAACATCGTACTACGTATATTTTAAGTGAAGTATTGATTTGACTTTCAGAACACACTTGAACAATCAAACCCAAAAGGTGCTTGGAGGTGCTTACCTTAAGGATGAAGAAGCACAATGATTGAAAACAAAGAAGTGAATAGGATGACAATAGGGGCTTGGAAGAGACCTCAGTCGGGCTGCGTGTCGTTTGTGGTGCATCTTTCGAATATTTTTTGCCAGGTCGAGGTGCAAAGTGAGGGTGAGGATACTGATGAAGGCACGGGGCGATACATCGATTGGTATCGAGGCTTTGCCATACTACACAGCCTACACAGCTGCAAAGCAACAGCTAAGTCGTCTTTAATACTTGGAGGTTTCACGGTTTCACGCAAGGAGTGTATTTTGTCCTTTCCATTCCTTTCCACTGTACTCATCTTGTACTCATTGCATCAATTCACTAGTTCTTCTATGTTCTTCTGGCACATGGCCCTGACAGGTTGCATCTCTTGGAGCTTCTGTAAATCCATTCGTGTTTTGATTCACCGACTGAAAGGGTTTGGCGGGATTGCTACACCACGAGACTTTCTGATCAAAGGAACGTGATTCTGATAGATAGTATTTGTTTATGAGCACTGTGAAAGACGATCTTGTCAGAGTGCTCAAATCTCAGGATACATGTTCGTCGGGTCGTCGAGTATATGTTTCCAAAAGTGGTCTTGACTTCACAAGAAATGGTCCTTGATGGTCCGAAATGGTCCATGCAGGTGCAGGAAGCCCAAAGAAGCCGGCTGCGCGGCCGCGAGTGCTGAGGAAGCGATCCTTTGGAGTATGGATGCTCAACTGCTCAGCGTTGGAGGTTTTCTCACAGCATTTCCCAATAGCTGAGGTCCTGGAGGGCTTCCGGCCGGCGGACACTGCGCAGGCCTGGAACACCTCAGTTGCAAGCTCCTCATGGACCTTCTTGGGATTCAAAACTGCACATTCTCAGATTGTCTTCATGTTTTTCTAGAATCTTCTGCACATGTTGCAACCATGTATACACATGTTGCAACCATTTGCCCCCGAAAGATAATCAGTGTCTTGTTGACAGAGGAATCGTGAACGGAGAACGAAACTTGTGGTTGGATGAGTCAAGCAGGTGCCGGTGGCTTCCGAACTTTTGAAAGGCTGCAAACTCAGCAAAGTGTGAATCTGCACTTAGTGTGACAGCTGGGAACATTCATCATCTCTTAAGTATTTGTCCTTGTGCAGCTTTAAACATTTTAAACCTGACCCTGAGACTGGATAGGTGACTTATATAAGCAGTTCGACCAATTGTAGGTGAACAAATGCAGAAGTTAGGACTTAGCCATGAGCACTCGCAAGGTGCGGAAGTTTTTGTGGTCAACGGCGATGCCCAGTACAGCAAGGCACCTGCGCAATGGGCATGCAATGGGGCGCGCAATGGGGCGCGCCATGGGCACTTGCAGCTTGATATCTTTGATAATGCCAAGTTCATATTAACAACCCCCCCTAGAAGGTAAGAGTCCCCTCCAATTAGAAACTATGGCTTGCCATACATTAAAAAACAACCAACCTGCCTGCCAATGGGTCGAGATTTCTCTTTTCAGCGGCAACCTCCCTTCCAAATGGGATAAGATGGTGAGATCGGGCATGGGACATCCCTTCAAAACATGACTTGTTCAACCATTAAAAAACAATTATAAAAAACAATTATAAAAAACAATTAACACGATTAAAAAACAATTATATCCTGACTACCACAAAATCAGGAATTCTCAGCAGGGTATTGTTTAATAGGGGGGTCGCACATGTTTATTATAGGGAGGGACCGACCCAAAATAGTATTGCCAAACATTTTTGGAATGTGGGTGTTGATTAATTCTGGCTGCTTATTAACATGAACTTAACTTAACATTCTCTTTGATCAGTCTGATAAGGAAACCCGCCAAGGGAGGCATGATCAGTTTGAGATGGCAGGCAGATCTGGAAGCCTATGTGGTGCGGCACGGTGGTCGCCATGTACAGTTCAGAACTCAGATGTGGGATGTGGTCTTGAAATTTGTCACGAGAGATTGGAGGAGTTTGTGACTTGTTTCTAATTGTTGGCAGCTGAATCATGCTGGATCCATTTTCCACCTGGAACAGGTAGATACGGCGTATAAAAAAATCTGCAACATCAAACTTTGGATGCCAGAAACATCAGAAACATTGTTCATTTGAAGGTTCCTTTCTATTAATTATTTTGTATTCCTTGTGTCCCTAATATGTGTCCCATTGTTGTTGCAGGAATTTCTTGCGGGGGCGCACCTCGCTGGTGGTGGCGGCCTCGTTGGGGGCACCCAGAATGATGTGGAGAATGACGTGGCTGAAGGAAAGATGCACTGCTCTTGTCGTCGTCTCCATTTGACAGGAAGTGTATCCTTAAATTTTGAAGTGTTCCTCATCTCTGGCGAAGTTGAATCACAGAAATACAATCAAATACACGTAATATCAAATATATCAAATAACGATCATCTGAGACTGCAGCAGAAACGTGATTCGTTTTAAGCCGCGTCCTGGTGAGCCTGGAGCCTTTGGCGTGAGATAATTATACAATTTGAATCCGAGCTTCCAGGAAAACATCGTCGGAAATGTTGATCAATTTTAGCGTTGATAAAGTGTTGATCAATAGTTGATAATGGCAGAATGTTTTTTTTTTCCAGACTTTATGTCCAAAATGACATCCAAGCGTTTCTGCCTTCCACCAGAGGTTGTCGGATCTACGCACTCAAAACCTGGCAAAAACTGCGCAGGTGGACATTGTCCTGTGCTGTGCTTAGCAGCGGTTGGGTCAATTGGGCAGGTGTAAACCCTTATGCCTTATGCAGCTTTATGCATTCAAAACAAGTCCAGCAATTCATATGACATGGTCACATCTGCGCGGGATAGTCTATCAAAGATGTATATATGCATAAGATATGCAGAAAAACCAGATTCAGCAGTCTCATGCTTTCCTTGCACGTTGGTATGAGCTGGTTGTCCTATCACAGTGGTCCCAGGTACACATATCTTTTCGAGTGTGAGACTGCTGGCAAGATGCTTCCATTGAAGTGCCTGGGCATGGAGTGAGTTCTGCAAAAGCTCAGAAGGTCAGACATAGTCAGAAGATTTTTTATTCTTCAGGTCGAATGATTCCTGGTCTGTGTCAGCAATTCTCTGGTGCCTCCATGCCGTAATGGAACACTGATGAATTACTTCTGGAATCTGGTATACATATTTAATTCATAATTAATGTATATGTATGTATATATATATATATATACACATGTAGCGTCTACACAAATTAACTCCATAATATCTCGATATGTATGTATCATACAATGAAACATATAGTGAACTATCAAGGATGTTGAAGCGATACAGTGATACTTCCCGAGAGCACCAAGCAACGTCAGCACACGTTGCTGCAGTGCGTTGCTTGCCAAGGCCCCGGCATATGCTAGCAACTAGCCCCGAGACCAAGGATAGCACTTGTGAGTCGTGGAGCTGGTGTTATGGGTAAAGGCAGCAGTGTTGGTGACTGGAAAGCAGAGCCGATCTCTGGCTACTGTATATTTGGAGATGTGAAAAAAATCCACAACCCACACAATGTCTTCTCTTGTTGGCTCCTGTTGTTATTTGAGTTACGTGCGTTGCAAAGCTGTTGCATACATGTCACAATGTCCGCTCTTGACATGCTTTCACCCGCTCCACAAGTGGAGGCGCAGTTGTCATACGCATTCGACCAATGGGGCGATGCCTTCTACGAGGAACCCGTCATGTTGTCGTGGAAAGGTGTGATGCAATGTGCTAAACCAATATGAACCAATGGATTCAATGGACATCAATGGACATCGATGGACCATGGACCCTGAGACCACCATGAAGGGAACCAGGAACCGGGAACCAAAGGGACCATGTCACCGTCAGGAGGTGTCGGCTTCGGCCTTGAAGGCAGTCCTGGAGCGCATCAGTGATGTAAATGCTTGGCGGCCCAGAGCGGCCCAGAAGTTGACTTGGACAGCGCTGTTCCAAGACCAACAGCTGTTGAAACATGTTGAAACATGTTGAAACTAGCAAATAAATGCATAGATGACTTTCCAATCCTGAAAAATGGTCTCCCAAATCTATCTAAATTCCCTGAAGCGTACCTCTCAAAAGCCCATACTGGATTTTGCCCCCATGAATGATCTGAAGGAACTAGACATCTAAGCGAGGAAGGTGAACTAGCATCTTTGTCCTTGTCATTAGGCATGATATTTTCACCTTGAATCTCTTTCCATGTTTCTTCCCAGGCTGCTCAGGTGCCAGAGGACCGGTGCCAGCAGTGGTGTGCACCAAGCTATAGATGGGGAATCTATTGAAACCTTGTCGCTTGATGAAACTATTGAATTTCTCCTAGGAACAAGATAATGTGATATTTGATTGAAACTACCTGTGTTTTGAAAAGAACAACACCTTGAAACTAAAGAGACTTCCACGAGATCTCATTTACATGCATATAACTAATAGTAATAGTACAACATTTCCCTCATCTCCGTGCATTTCTACGATGATGATTTCCGAAGCAGTCCAGGCTGCTAAGTTTAATCAGTTTAATCCCGTTTGGAGCGACGAAGGAACACTCGCATGGACCATGGCTATCCACAGGCATAGTATGCATGAAAGTTTCCTTGGTCTCAAAGGACCTAGTGAAGACTCTGGAAGAACACCCAAAGCTGCAAGGCAATTGAACAGGGCAACAAGGGAGGCTTTCTCGTTGTGATTTCGTTATCTAGCGTGTTTTTTTACAGCATTGGGATGGAACTTCTCCGACGGGCGGAAAGCAGCGTCCATGTGCTTAGGCACCTCCGTCACAAGTAATTTGTTCCATTTTGTCCCTGCTAGCAACACATTAAAACATATGGATCTCAAGCAGAGTATGACGGTCCCCAAGTCCCAACCTTCTTAGCTTGGCAGGGAGTTGAGCCTCAACACTTTGCTGACTTGCTATTCCTTAATAGCATAGGCATAGGGGAATATTCTTGCAGGTCTGTGGACTTCCAGATACTTCTATTCTTGATGGCAAATCCTGAGTGATGTGGGGCATCAGCAAACCCTGTGCGGCCAATGAAAACAAGTGGGTTGAGTGCAAGCTTCACAGTCTTTGTAAGAAAGACATGAAAAGACATGCAAAGACTTGAAAATCATCAACCATCACTGATGATCTCTGAACGTCACTTGAACAGCACAGTGGTCATGTGCTCCATGTGCTACAAGTCTCGAGGCTCACGTCCGTGGGAAGCCGCGGAACGGAAAGCAGCAACTGCCTGAGAAAAAAACTGCGAGAAGTTCCATGAAGTTCCTCATAAAATTCGCCAATGGTCAGCCTGGTGGTTCGAGACTCTTGCTTTTCACCGCCTACATTGTTTTGCATCCTAAAGGGAGATGTTTCCGACTCACTCAACTTGTCCTATTCTGCTGGTGGAAATTTGTAGATGTCTTGAATAGTTCACAATTCTGTGACTTTGCCAAAATTAGCGACAAGATTGAGTGGTCAGGTGCCCGGTGGAAAAGTTTGACATACACTACGCTAAGAATTCATGTTGCGCCACTGGTTCAAGTCTTTGCCAAATATCAAAACACATTTTAGGCAAATGCTGGAGAATGCCCGATGTGTTTGCACAGATGACCAAGTGAGTAATGCAAGAACAGGAACAAAGTAAACGACATCAGGAAATGACCAACCACGGTCTTTTTGGATCTTTTTGGTTTATTGAGGGATTGTAGGCAGAACGGCACAATTTGTAAAAAAAATAGTATACACATCCAAAACCTTGACTCATTCAGAACCGTGTGACCCAGCTGACGGCCACTGAAAAAGAAGACCGTTCAATCCTGCAGTCACTGTCCCAACAGTCATACGTATGTCATACAACCCAACAGATCCCAACAGCATCTCTTCATATTTGAATTGCGCAAAAGCAGAATGGCAGACAAGAGTCAAAGCTCCACCATGCAAGGTGCGGGGAAGGGTTCCATGACATTTCCTTCCTGCCCTGGAATGATTTTGACTCCATGGAGAACTTGATGCAAGTGAAGCATCCAAAGATCCCGAACAATGTTCTTTCGCCATGACTGGCTGCTTTGATGCAGCCCCAGAGCCCGTCAGTTTGTTATGATTGATTATAACTTATTTACATGTTTCAAGCTGATGGTCCGTTTTCTTTGAAGATATTTCCACATAATAAACATCATGAAATATCATAAACATCATAAACACAATGTTAAAATATGTTAAACATTATTTCTATTGATTTCTTGGGAGTTTCTGTGACCCGATTCGCTGAGCTCAGTCCAGGTGGCTCGGCTTCCTCTCGGCCGACCTCGGCAAAGCGGCCGCTCTCAGGCGCCGAGTCGTCCCATCACACGACATGGACATGGACATGGACAGGAACTGAACGAAAGAAACACAGCATTTTTTTGTCAATCAACTCATGAAATGTAATGATTATACATATTTGGGTTTTTTAAAAAAATATATACATACTTCAGGAGGAACAAAGTTTATGCTTCTTGAAAACTTTACACAACATCTATCTCGGTCAACATGTTCAAGTTCGTTTTGTGTGGCAGGTGTGGGACGGTCAATTATCACCATCTTTTAAATATATAAGATCTTAAAGCTTTTGGAGGATGGAAATGCGACCGGGGTACGACAAAGCTCCATGCTAGGATTCTACGGGGAGAGGGTTTGCAGAAGAAGAAACCAAACATGTTCAGTGTCAGAAGGTCAACAAGCGCAACTTTTGTCCTACCAGTGTATACATATATATAACAGACAATATAAAGAGATATTCTGCATACACGTACTGGTGTATTCCAACATGGCTCGCAACGAACAAGAATCTCTCGGCCAGGTGCTAGGACGCGACCCAGCTCTGCGGTCAGCGGGAGGACAAATTCCCCACGGCCCATGCTGACAGATCCTGTGAAGCAGGCGGGTGAAGCGGCTCATCCACTTTGGTCAGCACATGTTTGCACCATGGCACTGATTCATGCCATGCCTTTCCCAGGTTTGTGCGATTTGCAGAGATCAGCCCTTGGTTTTCCATGAATGCCCTGATTGCTCTGCCAGGCACGATATTTTGGAAGGCATGACTCAAAAATACATGAGGGTGCATCTGAATTCAAAGTGTTATGTCAGCACATGTTTTTCGTCGGAAAAAAACAGACTTGAAGAACATGACTGCGGAATACAGAGATCAAATTGTGCTCAGATACTGCGCCAGCGGCTGCTTAAGAAGCTGGTATGAGCACACACGGCTTGGGCTCCTCAGAGGGACCAGGATACCGCGTTGGATTCAGTACTGACAGGTCTAGTCTAGATGAAACCGTGATGAAACGCGTATGTCATGATGCCGGACACTCGTTTGCGAACGGCATCGAACCGCCTTCCATTCAACTTCGCTGCTTTGAAGCTGCAGATTCCAATCCTTGGAGGAACTTATTCCAGCAGAGTTTTTGGTCATATCGGACGCATCGCAACTAGTTGGAGAACCGAGCCCTGTCCAATCCGCTGTACATGTAGCACCTGCACCCATGCATGTGGAAAAGCGGATTATCTATGTCACCACATATAACTTGTCATTTGCTATCCTCCGGAATCATCCTTGAAGTTTCCGACAAGCTTTCTAGCAGATTCTAGCAAGTCAATGGCAACAAACTGATCATCGCCTTGTGCTGATGGCGGTGGCTGTGGCGGGGTCCTTGCACCCCGCGATGGGTTCTAAGCCCCAGCATGGATGGCATGGTGCTCATGCCACTCCGCTGAAGGGCTGGATGCCGGAGGCGAGGAAACAACCAAACTCCAAACATTTTTTTTTTGTGAAAATCAGCCGGGATCCAAAGAGTTTCTTGTACGCAGACGCATCGCCAGGGTCGAAGTGTGGCTCTGGTAGCTTCAGGGCTGTGCAGCCTTGGCAGGCAGTTGCTGGTCAGATCTGATGATATTTCGCTGGTGATGTCGCTTGATTTACCATTGATTTACATTGATTATTGATTTAAATAGAGAACCTCTTTGGCCACTGGATATTGTCCCCCCGTCCAGACTCAACGCCAGGTGCAGCCGGCATCGGCATCGATGGCAGAGAAGTGCGTCAGAGGCTGGGGGAGAATTGAAAGATCACTGGAGGTACTCGTCAATTTGTCAATGAAATGCTGGCTCTGTCAATGTAAAGCTTCATGAACATCTCTTGTCCTGGATGCCTTTCGTTGGTCACCTCTGAGATGATCAATATTTGATACGACTTTTTGATTGAATCTGTTCTGCAATTGTTGGTATCCAACAATTGCTGTGAACAGAGCTGCGTTCATCCCAAAGACAGGACAAGTTAAAGGACCAAAATTCAACTCACTCTTTAACTCATTACCGGTGCTGTGAGGCGGATCCGTCTCCGGATTTGCCATCAGTGGGCAGACGGTTGCGCGTTTGGTTTGTGTCCGAAGATGCTGGGAACCTTGAGATCTTCGTAGTATACCTTTGCGGCCAGAGCTCAATAGCATCGACTCATGGTATTGCTTCAACAGAGTTTCAAAAATGATTTTCTCAGATTACATTTATGTTTTCGTGTGAAAGTGGTATTTGAGGCAAACAAGGAAACCTTGCCATCGCGCTTTGTGCCTCACTCTGAACTGCTTCGCAATGCTGAGGATTTGGCAGACTACGAATATGGCACAGTGTCCGAAGCAGGGGCACTCAGGCACTTGGCGCCAGGATCCAGAAAGTCGATGGACTCTTTGCGCTGTGGAAGAGGACTGAGAGGACCATGATTTCAGGGACATTTTGAAAACATGAGATGCGTTTTATTGCATTTTGTATCATTGTTCCGCAAACAATGCTTTAGGTTCATGATGACGGAGAGGCACGACTTGAGTGTGCTTCTGCAGGATGGGGACATGTTGAATGTTGGAAGGTGGAGAGGGCTGAGTAGATGGGTTTGAAGGTGTGCTTCCATGGTCACTGTTGGCTGCCAAGGGGGGACGTGGAGCCATTCCACCCATAAGCCCCACTCTCAAACAGGTGACTATCCAATGGGATGGACAAGGCGGGGGCAACGGCCCAAGTTTCTTTCTCATTTATTTTCTTTCATATTCCCCGGCATGAGAGCTGCAAAAACAACAAAAACGAGATGTTCGCAGGGCCCCTGAATTGAAACAGCAGACCCGCACGGGGATAGCGGGGATGTTCGATTTGTTTCAAGTCGGCAAGAAGGTAGTCAGTCAGCAGTGGTCACTCTGTCGGATTGGAAATCAGAAAGGACTGACGCTGCGGCTTCAAAGACATGACCATGTCAGACCGATTCCAGGCGAAGAACGTCTCGACCTCTCTGACATCAGGCGTGAATACTCTGTCATGTTGCTGCTGAGGGAATAAGTCTGTCCCATTTTACGTGTGATGTGAATCAACGAATCAAACCTGAATTGGACTTTTCAGCAATTGATCATGAACAGTATGCCTCAGTATGGACGTGTCACTTTGCAGAGTTGCACCCCTAGTGGCTGGCAGCTGGCATGTAGACCAACTCGCACTTGTGCTGTTCAGGTCTGTTCAGACACTTGAATGACCTCATTGCCTTTGCATGACGTCATACAAATTTCATATACAACCCCAGTCTCTCCGTTACCTCTCTTCCCGGTCTTTCCCCTTTGCTTCCGATGGTTCTTGCAAGTCGCCCCTCGTGCATTTAAGTTGTCCCAGTTTAGATGATCTTCCTGTCATAGCTGTCATAGCTGTCATAGCTGTCATAGCTGCATCAAGCAGATGGATCCTGCTGTGCAAGCTACGCCAAGCCGCCAAGCGCCGCAGTTTCGAATGGTTGGGCCATGATTTTGCGGCGGATTTGATGGCCGAGATACCCAGCCCAGAGTCCATCACAGGCATTATGGAAGCCACAGACTGACCAACTACATTCATACTGTTTAACCTGTTTCATACTTAGAGTCTTACCAATTCGAAGTACACACCTGGCCATTGCCGTCCATTGGATACAACTTGACTTCTAGTGTGTGAGGTGAATCATTTTCTGAGCAGTTATCAGTTGATTCTTTCCAAGTTTACCTGAGGCAAATCTCCGAGAGAGCCGCCAGGAGAGCCTCAAACATTGTGTGCAAACATTTAGATTCATTTCTTTGATTCCTTTGCTCACAGAAGCTGATTGGAGATGTTCCAAAGCAATGTTTCTCTTCCATTTGGCCTTGGCCGTTCACATCAGCCGGGCCTCAGGAGTCCTTGGAGGGTGCAACAGAAGCCGGTGCTGAGGTGGGAAGCATTGTTTAACGGTGGGTCCTGTGGTCCACTGCTTGAAGCGACATTGCTGGCCTTTGGAGAGAAGTTGGTAGTTGGTACAAATTTGCACATATTGGTATAAGGGTTGTTTTGAATTTCAGGAGACCCATCATGTTGTAACAATTCAGTGTCCTTGAAATTTGAGACTGGCAGCTTGCAGCAGGTGGTTGCTATGCCTGTGGAACAGTTGCGCAAGGCTGTTGGGCCAAGTTGTTCGGTGGATCCATTCTCGTTTCTCGGCGTTTCTCGGCATTTCTTGGCATTTCTCGGCTACCTGCTGATTCAGTTGGACCAAACATCAGGAGTTGTCGGCCATGAGCTGGATGCGTTCGGGGCCAAGCATTAGTCTGTGATTGCCTTGGTTCCTTAGAGGGGCTTTACATTTGGTAATCAAACACCATTCTTGAAAGTTCTCATGTTCCAGTTTAGCACTCAGGATATATCTAGTAATCTTGTTTGCAAACAGAGCGCTAGCCAATCTGTAAAGAGCACGGATGATTCACTGCTAAAGCGGTTGTTCAGTTGCCACATTGCTTTCAGAGTCGAAGAACTGCCCAGGCAAAGAGCTTGAAGCACGTCGACGTCAGGCCTGGCACCGGAGGTGACAAGCACAAGTGGTGTATTTTGTGATGTGAAATGTGACATGTGAAATGTGAAGGAATGTGAAGGAATGTGAAGGAATGTGAAGGATCCGTAGTCAACTATAGTGAAGTTCGTCCGGAGAATGGCACTTCATTCTTGGAAGCATCGACTGGAAATCGCAAGATCATACGACAAGCAGATACTGTGCTGCGGATCAGAAACTGGCACATGGTGCAAGAGTGACAGTCCATAGTATGACATCGTGTGATCATTGTATGTGGAAATGATGTCCAGCGAGAGTCACATAAAGTAACACATATTAACACATGATATTTACGATGTGTCTGTATATACGTATATATATATACACATGTGTATTATATCTGTTATATGTATGTTAATGTTCTTTGGGAATCCCTTAAAGGAGTCTTCGCTAGATAGTATCCTCTCACCTGTGAGGCTGAGGAGCTGAGGCGCGAGAATGAAGAGTTAAAGGTTCGACGGCCCAGCCCCAACGGCCCAACGATGGATCGATGGATTAAAAAATAGAAACAATATTGGATTTAGGCTCTGAATGTCATCAATTCTCTGAAACTCGATGGAGAGTCGATTGGCTTTCGATTTTTTTTTGCGGGAGTGTTACGGTATGTCCATGAAAATAACAAGCAGCTTGCCCAAGCACTAGACTCATCTAGACTCACTAGGCAGAAACATCACCTTGACACCACAAGCGCACAAACATCCGGCGCCACGACTTCCAGCTGAGGCAGCTCGGGAAGACTTTCACCGCCGCTATGGAAAGCTTCTGCCAGACAGGTCTCAGCAAAATGCGCAAGAGACGAAGAGAGAAACGAAAAGAGAAATGGCGAAGTTTTGCATCCCTATGTTTTATGTTTCGTATGTTTCATACACGAGTCTGACGTGTTTAGTTCTCGGAATACTTTGCTTGCCTGCAGCTTGCTCATTGCTTGCTCAGCGAGCTTAGCAGCTTAGCAACTGAAAAACCTGTCATAGTATATTATAGTATCCAAGATACGACTTGCTTGGTGATTGGTAAAGCGGTAAATCGGTGTTGAGAGACATAAGACATGTGTGTGTGTGCGCGTATATATGCGATTTCACAATGCTTTACAACTCTTGGTCGAGTTTCGAAACTATGTTTTTTTTTTGCTGCTTCTTTTCAATGTGTTTTTGCAACTACAGTAAGCTCACAGTAAATCCTTTAAGCTCCACGTTCGACAGTGCCACACATGGCGACCTTGCCTTCTATGTCTTGGCAAACGCACCGTGGCCATGCAAAATCTGTTGACGTTGGATGGGCTCGACAGGACGCCATTCTGGTGCCTTTTGCGTCTATTGTCATTCTGATTGTCATTCTGATTGTCATTCTGTTCCGGCAGGGCTGAATTTTGAGTATTTTAATTTCGCTAATTTCGCTTTCTCGGTTTCTCTTTGTGCTCCAACTTCAAGCAGAGGAGTACAATCCAGATATCACAATGTTTTTGATCTGAATTCCTAACAACGGTTTCGCTAGCGCAATCAAAGCGGACAAATTTGGTAAACACCTTTGCAATATTTGCTCGTACTGATGTACCCATGTCAGAACAAGTGACATCACACAGCCTTGGACCTTTGTGCTGTCCTTGAAATGGACGGAGGGGTCAACACTGTGACTCAACAGATACATGGGAGACCAAGGAATTTTCTTGCATAGCTTGCTAGTATTTGCGACGATCGAAGTTTTTACAAAGTTTTACAAAGTCTTTCTCGAAGCCATGGCTTCGCAAGGAGATCCTGCAGGCCCTGCCCTCATGGAACCCATCTCTGCGGAGCCCGGTCGCGGCCACATTTACGGTCGCCATGGCTGCAAGGTGGGGAAGCCATGAGCCGCGCAAAGCAACGGATGTTAGATATTTGGGGCATTTTTGCACAAACGGACACCGGGTGGTAGTTCCTGTGTTTCATGTGGATACCTTTGTCGTCATCCAACTGGACCTAGCTGCAGTGGCACTGGCACTGGCCATGCATAATCTCAGCCACAAACACGGGCAGGCACCCCAAATGTACGTCAACCCCAAACACTCCAGCCTCACCACGTTTGTGCACTTTTCTTGAACGGCTTTGTGAGATTTTGTGGGTGGGGAATGGGAGGAAAACATGGGAAAACCACGCATTCCACACTGGAGCTGCATGCTTTGAGGAAGCGATCGCGGCGCTGCTTTCGTCTCAGGGAGAGCTCAGCCATCCGGGCGACGCGCTCGGCCTGTCAAGTTGGGGCACTCAGATGACAGGAACTGACGACAAAGCACTGTGCTTTGCGATGCTTTCCTTTTCAAATGGATCAAGAAGCTGAACTGAAGAACCGGCCATGTCTAAGGTGCTGCTGGTCCTGATGTTGATGCCATCCTGCGCCTTCGCGTTTGACGGCCGGCCGTGGTGTTGTGTCTCACCTTATCTCACCCGAATTGCGACAGCACCTGATTGGTTCTTATCGCTACGCCTTGACTTCTTGATTTGTTGACAGGCGCAAGCTTAGCCAGCGCTGCGGTGGAAGTGATGCGCGACGGGCCTTTGGGTCCAGCACCTTTCATGCTGCTCAGCTGCCTGAGGAGCGTAGAATTCACAATTTAAGAATGTTCAGTACTGGGCACCAGGCTACGAGTGGATACTTTTGGCTTGGGCTGAGGCTGGTGCACTTGGCTGCTATCGTCGTTTGCTTCCCTGGCACTGCAGCTTTTGAGCTGGCTGCAGGTTGGGATTTGGGGAAGGGTGCCATAGTCACCGTCCACAGCAACGCAGATGTAGGGTTTTGGGATTTCGGGAATCCAGAATCCTTTGACCAACTTGGAAAGACAGGATAATTGCACGGAATTAGCGTCTTTGAACTCTGCCCTGATGGCCAGGAGCCGTGTTTGGCTTTTTGCCTGGCGTCCTTGCTGTAGCCATCACCAAGGCAAGGCCTCGTCAGTGGTCCGGTGACATTTAGCAATGCATTAAGCCGGCGGACAGACATCTTTGAGCACCTTTAGGATTCTGTTCGGCCAACTGAGATTGTGCTTGATGAGAGGTGATTCGAAAGAACTGTTCGTTATGGAAACTGAGCCTTAGAAGAAGGCTCCAATGTTCATTTCAAGTGTAATTAAGAGATATTCGATGATATTCGTTGGAGTCTCTGGGTCTCAGCTTCCGGGCTTCCGGCAGGGTGCAGCTGCAGCAGTGACCTTCTTCCTCGCGCGGCGCTTTGGTGTTGATGCCGCGGGCACCCTGCAGAGGGCTCTGCGGGCTGGACCAGCCAACCTCGACTCATGGAACTCTGGGGGATGGCTGCCGCATTTTGGGCGGGTGGGAAACTTGCACTCCTTGCGGTTTCGGTTCGAGAGAGACATGTCAAGTAGGGGCCGAATGGCAATGTTTTGGACCAACACCACACAAAACATCACAAAACCCTAATTCAAAACCCAGTATTCATTGATGTGCAGCTTGGTAACCAACAGGAGCGCGCGTTTGCGACGTGGCGTTCAGGGCAATGCGTTCCGGTTTTGCCTGCTAGCAAGGTGCTTTGCAGGGTATTTGAGAGTGCACTGTGTGTTGGGAAGCAAACTTACGCTTTCAAGATCTTTCAAGGGCTTTGCTGCACCGTTACAGTAGGGTGCAGTATCTCCTCAAAGTGCTGTTGCTTAAAGTTGTTTTTTGTGCTTGTGTCATTCATGTCACAATATGTCATATTTTGAGACCAATGTAAAACCGGGGCGAGACAAGCAGCTGGGACAAAACCAAACCTCCACAATTGAAAGGCCGCATAGTAACATTCTTTGATGCTTGTTGCTGCTTGTTGCATCGTGCTTTACTTCCAAAAGAAGCACGTCAATATCATCTACAACTTGCCAGGCTTTCACCAATCCCTTCGTGGGTGACTGAGCTGCAAAAGCTGCAAAAGCTGCAAATGGTAAGACCTGGTAAGACCTGGTAAGGCCTGGTAAGGCCTGGTAAGGCCTGGTAAGATTGGAGGATTTGGAGCTGCCTTAAGGCTGTCATGGCCGCCCAGGTGAACAACTATGCGCTGCCGTTGGCGGATGTGCCCTTTGAAACGTTCCTGCCTGCGACGTTGCTGGGGATGCTGCCGCCACTTACGGCCAATGTGTAGCCACGCTGGATTGGCACATGAATTCATGGGACAGCATGGCTTCCACCCCTTTGGACCCGCAGATCTGCTACTGTACTACTACTTCTTCTACTACTATTGCATACTATAAATATTTATTAATTATATACTCATAATTATTATATACTACTTCTGGAACGTATGGAAGAGGGTGTTGCATTTTGTCAATCAAAGATCTTGTCGATCACTGAGGCCAGCTGTTTCAGATTGTTGACCATGATGATGATTTTATATGGCTGGTTTGTACATGTTCAGACTGTTTGATGTACCTCATCCATCTTCATCGACCAAGGTACTCCGGTGCCTGTGCTTTGTCCTTGGCCTCTGCACTAACTGGTGGCGGTACTGTGGATGGCGGCAGCTTGGTCCTGGGTGCGCTCAGCGCTTTGAGTGGCACCTTGACTCGCATCTCAGGACCAAAGGCAACCATGGACGACCTGCATTTAGCTATATTTAGCTATATTACTATATTTCTATGTATGATCATGTACAATCAATCATGTATATTAATGGATTATGTAAACATATGTAAACCAGAACTTTGTCATGTTTCATTCACACTGCAATGATAAACTTGCCATTTTTGCATAGGGGCGTCGGAGACACAACATCAGAAATCATTCTCCACCACGGTTTTTGCCATCAGAAAGGCTTGAATTCATTTTCCGAGCACGGCAGTGATTTGGCAATTGATGTACAGATTTGATCAGATTTGCATGGAAGGTGCTGCCATCCTGCAACAAATGGCATCCTTTGCGCTGGACGATGACACTGCAGCCAATGATGCTGGCGGTGACTTTCCGCGATAGGCATGGAAAAAGATGCAGGTCCGTTTTCAACATGACCTCAACGGTATTTTACAACACAAGCACACCTTGGAGACACCTTGGAGACACCTTGGAGACACCTTGGAGACACTGTTTTGTGAAATGATCTCTGTTTTCACATTGATTCCTAGCGCTCCCTTTGATCCACAGAATGTATCGAGTTTGATCTCGGATAGAGCATGGGACTGGTGCGATTCGAGAGAAGATGCATGATACCACAAGGATCGCAAGAAGCTATTGTGCCTTTGTGCATTTCTGTACATGTTTCACCATTTCAAATTTCAATCCATTTCATATGTTTCGATTTTTTTCGGGGTGACCGCTCAGGTCTTTACGGGGTGAACCTATTGAGGTGCCCGACTCTGCATTTGGGTGACGTGCGATTGCCTTCGGGGGCAGTTCGGGGTTGAAATGTTGCAAAAGGATGGAAAAGGATGGAAAAGGCACCAGGAAGTTTTGGGGAGCTGTGTTTAGCATTCAAACCTTGAGGATCTTTCCACTTACCTAGTCTTAGAATGTCTTAGAAATTAGCCGCTAAATAGCTTGCCGTTTTGTCGTAGAAAACAGCCCGACGACCTTACATTTGAGGAGCATATTTCGTCTCGAAGATGCTAATTTCAGTCCAGCTGCGGAAAGCATAAGGAGCGACTGGAATGAACGCCACAGGTGACAGTGAACTCCACTGACACTGAGAAGATTGACCAGTTGAAGGCGCGCGACTGGAGATGGTTCCTAAATGTTCCGAATGTATTCCGAATGTTTCATGGGGATGGGAGGTGGTTTGTGAAACCCCGCCCAAGTCCCAGAAACGGAGAAGAACTGCTCGTTTTTTTTCCAACCAACCCTTGACTGCGGACCCCCATGGTCTAGAGTCTAGAGTCTAAACTTAGACTCCAGCAATACATGGGGCTGCTCAACAATGTCCTATATAAAAGTTGTCTATAGATTTTAAAGTTACCATCGAAGCTAAGCTAGACACGCCCAGACCACTGCGTGCAAGGACCCGAAAAACGGGGATGCCTCATAAAAGGGGCCTTCACCGACCGTCAGGTGAAGTTTCAGCCTGACGGTGATGTGGTGCGGGCCCCAGAAGGAAATGCCTCAGAATGGTGGACCATGCTGTGCATGCTTGGGCTTTCTATCTTGGCTTGATGTGTAAGGTGCAGCAGTAACCATTCAAAGATTCTCGTAGTAAGTCCAGTAGAGAGGGAAGCATCAGAGTTCGCCTTGTGGTGATGGGGACAGTGGAAGGTGACCTTTGACCTCTTCCGCGCTGCGGGTGGCAAGGTGGAGGATTATGGGAGTCGAGTAGCAAGGATTATGGGAGTAGCAGTTTTACTCTTGGCCTCCACTGTGTGAGAAGCCTGATATCCGAAGGTGGTGGCCGAGTTGGACCCGGAACAGCGCTGGGGGATCACCTCTGTTGATGGCTGGGTCGGGCAGCCAAGGAACGTTGATGTGGGCATTTTGGAGACGCACGGAGCATGAATTGTTCGCACTCTGACAACTCCAGCAGCATTTGTTTGGCCTTTGGCCTGTCGTTTTTTTTTGGTTGTTTTGTTTCAGAGTGTGTTCGTCGAGTTCGGCCAGTGCCTGAAAGAGCCGTTCGGAGTAAGGAACTTGGACAGCCGGGCCCAGGGCATCACTGGAGGCCAGGTGCGTCGGCAGAAAGTCATTCATTACGTGAATACGTATACCGTGTACCTCAGACACACACACACATACACACACACACGTATATACATACATACATATATATATATAATACACACACACACATAATCAGGAGGAGGAATCCAAGGAACACCACCCAAGGTTAGATAAATTTCCTATCTTGGGAATGCTTTGTGCGGGAGGCATCCCCATCACATTTGGAAATGCAAAAAGGGAACTTGTTTGTTTCCTGATAAGCACGAGGTAGATTAGTCACCGTGCCACAGAGCCAGTCAGGGTGTTGATGTATGCCCAGATCCAGCAATCAGATGCAACTAGTAAGTTGCGCACAAACGATGTCAATTATCAACAAGCAGGCGCCGTCTTAGCAAATTGGCGTCGCTCTACATCTTGCGCCATGCTCATCGCATTTCTCAGCAGATGCTCATGGATACTCAGTAGCTTCTGCTGGCTGCACCAGAATCTTCAGGCCACATCGTGGTGTGAAGTTGATTTTGGAGGACTTCTCAGATTGCTTTTGGAGTCCAGTCCCACACTCTGTGAACCCTTGTGCCAGACGGACATAATTCGTATGTGGAGATGTTTTCTGACACTGCGTTGTAGTGTGCTGCAATGCATCATATGCATCCTGCGTATAGAAACTGTCACCTGGCCTGGCCTGCTGGCTCCCTGAAGTTAAAGTCTGACTGACTGTCGGGTGTGGAAAGGCACCAGCACGGATCCAAAAGAAGAACTAACATTGAACTTTCAGGACCACATCGAACGCATGCATTCAGTGATGTCTTTTTATTCTCATGTGAGTCCCACAAAGCCCGGAGTCCATTATAGCTTTGGATTTCTTTGCTTCAACCAAAGCACGTTGTCCGCAAAGTACTGTTTCCAACATGTGCAGAAGTGGCATCAATCCATATCCCAGTACCTTTCCAGCACTCCCTGAACTTCAGCAGTTTGCCTCTATCAAGAATCCAAAGTTCAAAGCACAGGCCATGGCTGGAATGCCTCATGGCGTCCTCTCCCGGTGTCGCCGGGTATCCGGGGTCTCGGCGCTCCAGCAAAAGCATTGGGAGTGTTGCCTCCAGTGGAGAGAAGGCCATCGAACATTGGGAGACGATAGAACACGCCAGATACAAACGGATACAGTATGTGAATTTTTCAATTAAGCAAGTAGGACAGGAACTCTATGATAAACAAACATATAAATATCTAAAAGTGTACCTGCTGAACCAAAATTGAGTATGAGACAGCTTGCGCAGATGATGACATGTGATGAAGAATGATGAACACATCTTTCGCTATGTTTTATCAGTGGGCAATGATGGTGCAACGATTGGCAACGATTCTTCAACCTGCCCTAGCTGGAAGCATAAAACAGACATGGGCACATGGTCGGTACGAACAAGTCATATTCTTTCAAGTTTTGCGTTGAATGGAAAATCGTGGAGCTATCTCAGATTTCTTCCATTTGACATGCCGCACTTGCCCGTGTTTTGACTTGGAGCATGCCATGAAGTCATTTCCAGCAACTGAATTCTTCCCCAGGGCCGACTTTCAAAGCTCAAGACATGTGTCTGTGCGGCGAGCGCGCAGCTTGGCCGAGAGAAGTCGCGCTTGTTGAAACTGGAGCAAAAGTCGGGCGACCCAGCGGTGCGGCAGGAAGTTCACCAGGATATCCATGGATATCCAGGATGGGATCAGATAAATTTGTTGCATGTTGGATGCTGATGCTATTGGCTTGCAGCGGCTCCAACAACATTTGTTTGACTAAGACGTCTCACTGGGACATTGCGGGGATGTTTCGGTAGAGGTAGGCATATTTAGCGAAATTCCAAGGCTTTTGGATTTGATTCATTTGATGCTTTTGATGCAATCCATCGGTTCCCATTTCCTCTTCGTTCCAGGTATGTGCAACGCGCCAATCGCGTGCTCGAGAGAGAAGAAGTAGCCCCATCCTCAGGTTTGTAGAAAGAGACGGGCCTGTGCAGTGCTGGAACATGTATTGTCGATGCAAAGATCATTGAGAGACTTGCACTGCCTCGGTCATAAAATACACATTGCTGCACCTTAGAGCATTTGCAAAACTGATCATGTGGTTCATCCTCCTTGTTTCGCATCTCCTCCAGTCTTTGAGGTAGATGACCTTGATTCTGAGGCGTGTGCAGGGCTGGCTGAGTGCGGGGCGTGTCTAAATACGTTGTAATGTCCGACATTCCCAGAAAGGAAGTACAAGAATCTCCAAGATATTTAGCAAGGAACAGATATCTGAGGCACCTGCGGTGTTGGAGCTTTTTTTTTGGGTGAGGTCTGGCTTGTGATTTCAGAAATCAGTGGACAGCAGTGGGGCCACAGTGGGGCCAGGCAATGCGCAAAGAGGAAGAACTGGTCGAGCGCCGGGAGCATTTCATGCTACAAGAGCTGCACGTGTCCCAAGAACTGGAGGAGTGGCGAAGAGATTCGACATCGATTCGACATAGATTCGACATCGGACAATGAATGGTTGTGAAATGTTGTGAATGGATATGGTTGTTGAATGTTGTTGATTAATGAGTGACAATGGTCCTGAAGACATTGCGGTAGTAACTTTCTGTGATTTGTAGAGTGTGCAGTTTCAGAAAGAGACCCACCAGGCCGAACAAGTGACTTGATGAACACATAGGTAGAGTCGTTGTAGTGTCAAATCAGTATCAGCGGAAATGTTTTGCCTGCTGACTGTTTGGTTTATTTGGGAAGGACCGGATAGTGTCTCAAAATTCTTAGCGGCTGAGCTGGTTGGCGGTTGCCGTCTTGCCAGCAGAGTGCCAGATTTCATCCTCTCAGCCCATTTTTGTTGGGAGTCCCCTTCGACCTGGGAGTTTCCCTGCCAGGCCTTGCAGCAAAGCACTCGCGAAGCGCAGCAGCTCCAGGCAGTTCTGGCGGAGCGGCATCATGAGGCGATCTGGGACGACGGACGTTGGACCACTTTGGACCACGCTGGGATGTTTTTTGGGCGGGTGCCACAACATGCGACAGCTGGTGGAAAATGTCATGGCAAAAGGATGCAAAAGGTATGGAAAATCCATGAAAATCCCCATTCTGGTTTTCTCTCTGTCGTTTTGTGCATTGGACCACGAAACACCTTGGACAGGTCCTGCGGCAGGAGCGACAGCAGATGCGGCAGCAGTTGCGCTTGAGCAAGCGCATGGAACGAGTGACTCGTGCACCACTATGTGAGCCAACCCGAAAGAAACATCAGTGGTACATAAATGTAAAATGTATTACATATATAATAATGTTTGGAGTTTGGACATTTAAGTCGTTCGTTTTGTTACATCGACAGTGCCATGGTATGTGGGCAGCTGGCCAGAGGCATGTATGTATGTCATGTTCACACTCCTGGATCTTCGCCATGATGCCCAGTCAATCAGATCATTACTGGCCGCTGATTGATGGCAAAAAGTTTCAAAAAGGTGTGGACACTCCTCGTACAATACCTAAGGATACCTGAGGGATGAAAAGTGCACAAGTAGTGTGAAAACAGTTTTCCCAGGCAACTTGCTCTTTAGGACTCACTGTTCTGCCCTAGTAACATCAGAGCTGTGACGCTGTCGAAGCAGGTTGATGATACCTCCAGGCACATCTGTGAGGAACGGCAACGGTGGCAGGACCGTGGCGAGGCTTCATGACTTGGGAGATAGGGGTTGACACAATCACAAAAAAGACATAGCATGCCTAGCTGTTTTCGCTGGATATTCAGACACAATGAGACACAGAGTTCTTATATCTCCAGCCAGTTTTCTGACTCCTGCTGCGTTTGCTGATCAAAGCAGTGCAAAACCATTTTTTCGTTTAAGCGGTGTAAACCATAGAGAACAGAATAGAACAGACATGTCAGCAGCTCAGGCCAGTTCCACGACCATGTGGACCTAACACACACACATTATTTACAGACTGAGCTGGTTTGAAAGTACAGGCTGAGGGTCCATTGGTGCATGTGAAAGATCATGGCTCCCATTGCGCCCTACTGCGGCTGAAGTGGGCAGCCAGAGCACATGTCGGTCCACACAAAATTCTGTCACTGTGTGGTTGGGCCGTTACTGGAGCTGAACATTCACGACAAAAACACCGGCAAGGGCAGCCACTTGTGTGAAACCATTTTGAAACAGTGACAGCCTCAGAAGGGTACTGGGAACACACCCAGCAATCGCAACTTCTGAACTCAAGGTGAAGACGTGGCTGACGTGGCCAACGTGGCCAACGTGGCCTCGCTCCTTCCGAGCATGGCAACGTCGACACATGGCCAGGTATACTTTCTTCATTCCTGTGAAACGTAATCTGGCATGGCCCGACCACCAGCGAGGCTGCGATGCAGGAAGCACCATCTTTGCAGAGTTCCAGCTTGCGTCGGAAGAGCCAGACGGATGCCCTCCTGCCAAATTCAGAGATGTGAGTTAGTTACTATGTTACAGTATGTTACGGTTAGTTTTATCTTGCTCTGGGTTGCCAGACCCCTTAGAATTGAAACGCTCCCGGTGCCCAGCACAATATGAAGCTAGCTGACCAGGCCCCAGCAGGAAAGACACCTGCTAGGAGGTCTTTATGGCGCATTTACGATCATGTACGACTTTAGCTTGCAGCTGAAAGAGAACCTGTCCCAAATGAATCCTGAAAACTGTAAGTTTGGAATAAAGGTTGTGGAGCTATTTGAAAAGCAATTCGCGAAGATGGCGGTCACCACACACAGACAGGCACGCGGACATATATGAACATTTGGGTCGCTTTTTGCTTCTTCTTGGACAAGCAGACAGCCGCTTGCAGAATGCGGGCAGTACTTGTTACCCGAACAACTTCTTCCAGGCTCTCCAGGAACAGAGCCTGAATGAAATTGTTCGAAGCTGAAAGAGAACACGCAGACATTTAGTAGGTGCAACAAGAGCGGCTTCGTGTCAATATGAAGAAAACCTTACACGCTTTCCTTTGACTTCACCACAGAGAAGAGGCTGGTCGAGGCGACATGTCAGCTTGGCCATTGGCGGCTATGAGGATGAGAGAATGAACTGTACCACACAATCATTCACAGCGGAAAGCTTCCAGTGAGCACTCCTGTGCTGTGGGTATGGAGTTTGGTGGTTTCAAGTATTTACATCCTGATTGATGCATACTTTCCAAACGACCAACCACATGGAAATTTGGTAACATTTGATTCACATGTTGCCAAAAAATCCATAATGGTTGGTAGTCTGATCTTTCTGCAAACTCCTCAGAATGATGAACTTCATTGAAAAACACAAATGATTGATAAACATTGAGTATACAAAAGGTCCGAGCTCACGCTCAGCCTTGTCAGCATCACGACTAGAAGATCCAGGCACGCGAGCTTTCCCTTTTGGCAGTACGAGAAGGGAGGACAACTCGTATGTTCTTTTCGTTCGATGCAAGCAGGCTCTTCACCACTTGAATTTTGAAGTCCTTCGTATCTCCTGGAGATTCCAGAGGGAATTCTGAAGTAAGGACACAGTGAAGACAGGTGAACTGAATACTTGTAACTCTCAGTTGTAACTCTCAGTGTTGTCTCCGATGTCTCCATTGTATCTTTACGGCTCATTCGATATGCCACACTGAGATGACATTTGCTTTCGCTTGACAAAAAGTGATATTTGTATATTTGTGGAAAGAGAGCGCACGTTCTGTTATGGAAGTTTGCAGGATTGCTGCGTTGCAATGCATCTTGGATATCTTGGTCGCATCATTAAATGACATCATTAGTAGCGCTGTTCTGCTAGGGACTGCAATGTCGAAATTAATACCAATGAACAGGTGGTCAAACAATGCCAAACCTACTTGTACATTATCCTGCAATCAGATCCCCATTCTTGGCTGCCATACCCCATTTTTTTTTTGCAAGAACAGATGCAGATAAATCAATCATTTTTTTTGAATAGGCATGCTGACTTTATATATCACTGCCGCAACGAATCAGTTGCTCATTAAAAAAGCAAGGCTACGGCGCGGTTAGCGACCCGGGGTAATTCATTAATTTTTCAAGATGCTTGGTTCACCAAATCATGGTATTTGCAATGTTTTGTAAAAACGTGATAAAAATGTCAAATCGTAGTTACTTTGGGGCCTACTACAAAAAGTGCGTTTCGTGTGAAACGTTCATCGATTTTCAATACCCCTGAAACGAATTATTGTTTTTTTTCGTTTTGTTGGAGAAAATTAGTTACATCTGACCACCAGTCATTGAGCAACACTTCTTTTTCAACTTACCTTGCAAGGTCTTCAGCGTCGACTCTTTTTGGCCAGCTTTCCCAGTTCCTTCACATGAACGTTAACATCCCCACCCCACCCCAACCCAGTGACGTGACGTCAGTTGTGCATGTGACGCAAGTTAATATGAACGTTAACATCCCCACCCCACCCCAACCCAGTGATGTGACGTCAGTTGTGCATGTGACGCAAGTTAACATGAACGTTAACATCCCCACCCCACCCCAACCCAGTGACGTGACGTCAGTTGTGCATGTGACGCAAGTTAACATGAACGTTAACATCCCCACCCCACCCCAACCCAGTGACGTGACGTCAGTTGTGCATGTGACGCAAGTTAACATGAACGTTAACATCCCCACCCCACCCCAACCCAGTGACGTGACGTCAGTTGTGCATGTGACGCAAGTTAACATGAACGTTAACATCCCCACCCCACCCCAACCCAGTGACGTGACGTCAGTTGTGCATGTGACGCAAGTTAACATGAACGTTAACATCCCCACCCCACCCCAACCCAGTGACGTGACGTCAGTTGTGCATGTGACGCAAGTTAACATGAACGTTAACATCCCCACCCCACCCCAACCCAGTGACGTGACATCAGTTCTGCATGCATCAATTTCAAGAGCAACTTGCCTCCAATCAGCAAAAATGGCAAAAACGCAGGGGTCGTTAATGGCGCCGTAGGCAAAAACAACATTTGCAGCATTTTCACCACGATCTACCATAATATTTTTCCGCATTGTCTCATCATTGTCTCATCATTGTCTCATCATTTTCTCATCATTTTCTCCATCCGTTCTCACTTGAAACATCAAACTTGTCAGAGAACACATCTTAAAGAACTGACAAGAACACATCTTAACGAATTTAACGAAAGTTTTAACGAGAATCTCTGACGGCAGGCCGTGGAGCAGACCGAGCTGCGATTGCTGGAAGCCGAGACGGAGGCCCTGCGCGGCAAGTTGCCGCTGCGCTGCGAGGCCTTGGAGGAAGCCCGGCGCAACGGAGAGGCGCCGGCGCCGGCGCCGGGAGGGAATTCTTGGGTCTTGGCTGGTCTTGGGAGTCTTCCCGGAAGTTACTTGGCAAAACGAATGGATTTCTCATGATTTCTCCCAAGTCAGTTTCCATGGCTTTTTGGTGGTTTGATATGGTTTGATATGGTTTGATATGGTTAAATCGTGTTTGAACAGGTGATGTCTGTGAAGGAAATATGGGGAACCGTGCTTGTAGATCTTGTCCATGTTGAAGAGTCTTCCCACATTACTGGATCATGTCGTTCCGTGTCTAGAAGGCCATGTAAAGTCGCAGCTACAATAAACGACAGGAGCTGCGGGAAGAGGTTGCATCGTGGCAAGCAAAGTTGGAACCAATTCGCCGGGAGCTGCAGATGAAGGCCTACTACGGGAGTAGCTGTGGCACTTATGTGGCAGCATTGATAGGTGATCAGAGATTCAATCATCAGTAGGTCTCGGGTGCGTTTTCTTAACCTCTGAGATTCAGACTGAAAGGAGTGAACTAACTTTGTTTCTTTGTCTTCAACTCAAAGCCTTGAGGAGGCGGATCTCGACGAGCGGTGTACCTCTGTGGCACGGCGCAAGGAGGAGTTGGAACTGCGCGAGCAGCGCCACTGGGTGAAGACGAACTCAGTCAGAAAACGTACTCGGTGAATCTCCGTGACCGGTTCAGTTAACTGGGTCCAGGAGTCCAGCCAGTGGGTTGAACATTTGCAGATGTTTTAAGAAATTCGACGATTTCTTTTGAAACGGATCTGCAATATGTGCACATATGTCCTTTGACTTCGATATGTCTCTGACTACATTCCTGCAGGTTTGTGATATGTTTTTTCTTAAACTTAAATAAACGTAACTTAACTAACTTAACTATACATAGTCTATACTTAACCTATTGTTTTAAGCAAATTTCTGCAGGTCATTGGGCCAAGTTGAGGCCTCGCCCAGCGGCGTGTGGAGCTCGAAGAGGCTGCGGAGCGGGCGCCCTTGGCGGCACGGCAGCGAAAGGCTGAGTTGCAGAACCAGCTGGAGACCCGGTGGGCCACGGTGGGCCACGATGGGCCACGATGGGCCATGGCCATGGTGTGGTCATGAAACATGTTACAAGTCTGGTGGTATCAGTGGGTATAGAGTGGTATAGTCTCGACGTTCATTTTGAAGAAAACATTTTTTGATCAGACTAGTCATGATTAAAGCATATTAAAGCTGGGAAGGAACATTTTTTCCTAGCTGGGGTTTCGTCAGGAGATAGTAGTGAGCTTCCGTACCACCCTACAGCATGCCTCTATGATGCATCATGGCGGGTCGTGGAGTTCACAACAGCCAAGCAGCAAGGCTCCAATGGACGCACGCTTTTGGGATCCTGTTTTGTTAGGTGATTTGCCAGGTGCGCCACGTCTGGAAAGTCCGAGTTCGTCCCATCGTCGAAAGACATGTGGAGCCCTAGGGCCGAGCCTTATGAGCCTTGACCTGGATCACCACTGATTTACTCATCCCACTCTCACATCTTCTCACATCTTCTCGCATCTTCTCACATCTTCTCACATCTTCTCACATCTTCTCACATCTCACATCTCTCACCAGGAGGAGTTGTGCGAGGAGGTCGATCAACGGCAGCAGATGCTCCAGGACCCTCGGCGACTCGGGGTTTCAGAAACCATCATTTTTGAAAGCAATCAAACACTGCCCTTCAAGGCAATCAATGGGATAAACAGCCCAAGAACCAGCGGTGCTGTTTAATGGAGAAAACGGCAACTCCTCCTGTCTTGGCGTGGTATTGGTGCATAGCAACGCGAATGTGATCCAACTCAGCCATATTCCGTTTTAAGGATTTTAACGCTTGGACATGCTGATGAAAAAGCCGTAACTTTGGACTTTTCCTGTGCAAGATGCTGTGCCGCCAGACCCCAGACCGCTGTCCTCAGGACATCCGTTGCAAGAAGACTGAGAGGATCAGGTTCCTGGGCATTGGCGCCAGGGTATCCACCTTGATTCACTGGAATCAAATCGAAAATCAAATCGAATCAATGGAAGGTTTGTGGAGCTGCATGGAATATCTTTGCCCAGCAAATCTTTGCAGAGGAAAAGACAGATTTGGAGCATCGGATTTGCGTCATGCTTGCCCACATCGAAACGCACTCTTCACATTGGGTCGTGATTTTGTGCCATGCAGCCCTTGCCAACATGTAGTCCAGTATGTTCATCCTTCTGAGCCCAACAACACAACGATGAGAGTTTATCTGACGAGGATGTTCTACAACTACGATATCGATTTTTGATACTTGATATATCTTGATATCGCTTTTTCATATCGCTTTGATTCCATCATGTTTAAGTTTCTTCGACAGTTTCCCGCTGTGTTTCGAATGGTTGTAGGGATTGTAGGGATTGTAGGGCACGCCGGCACGGCCTTCACCTTCTTTTGCTGCAGCATCCGGCAGCACCTGTGCAGTACGCTACGAGACGACCTGGCAGCTGCGGAACTGTCGGAGTCCGCGTGGCGCGAGCGTCTGGGTACCACAGAGATGCCGTGTGACCCATGTGACCCACTGAGAAACTTGGAAACACAAAAACACAGACAAGGAAACTTAAGGAAACTATATGCTCAGAACTGCTCAGAATTGCTCAGAATTGCTCAGAATTTAAAGTCATATTCCTTTGGAGAGACAGATGTTGTGATGTCACGATGTGTCAGATCTTGATGATTGCCTGGTACTTGTTTCTAAGATGATCGTATCGTGTTGCTTCGTGTCCTCTGGCGTCCGCTCCAAGGCTGCACGTCTCTGGAAACGAGAAAGAAGCAGCTGCTCGAGCAGGCGAGTGCTGGAAGAGTCATGGGTTTGTCATGGTTTGTCAAAGTTTTCAGCGAGTGCAATGAACACTTGATGATCATGGAAAGCTGAGATCATCTGAGATCTCTCCAAACATTGAGGATTGAGACATATTCAAACTGGGTCAACTTTGGTCAAGAAGAACTTTGATATTTTTCTCCCGTTTTGGTTTCACCCGGTTTCAGCTGTCTTTTCAGTGCCTCTTGCATGCGCGGTGCGATGGAACTATGGAGCCCTCCATTTCACAGCACAAAGAGTTTGTTGAGTCTGAGGTTGCATTGGTAACAGTGTCCAAAGGAAGGCATATTTTTGCTAGCAAGATCATTTTTTTGACATGTTTTTTTTTTCTGTGTTTTTCCATTTGTCCCTGCAGATACAACTAGAGGAAAGCCAAGTTCAGGAAAAGGACCGCAGCAGACCGGGGAGAAGCTTTTGGCTTTTGACACTTTTGACACTGCAGGTAGCGGATGCTCACAGAGGTATGATTGGTTGAGAGGGGGGGTTTCTTGTCTGTAAGCATCCTGTGGCAGCACAGATTGACGCTCAGATATATTCTGAAGCTGTAGTGCATGCCTATGGGAGATCACAAAACAAAGACCACCCAGGACTTTGATGAGCTTCAGTTAAGTTGCAACAGTTATTCTTCTTAAAATCATAAAATTGCCATAAAGCGTCTAATTCCCCGTTCCCCTCTTGGACTAGCACATATGGCCACGTGCCCTCTCTTGCTACAGGAGAGCGGCCAGTGAAGCCAAATGCAATGCGCGCACAAAGGGGCGCAAGTTGTGACGCAATAAGCAAAGATGAACAAAATTGGACAGCCGGAGCATGCTGGAACTATATGCAGGTTTGGCAAAAGCAGTGGGAGGACCATGCAAAGGTAGAAAAAAAATCGTTGACACAGCTTCAGCAAGAAGATATCAATTCCAAAACTTTGAAATATTCCTTGCTGTACCCAGAAAGGGCATCAAACTGTCCCCAAGAACCCTGGAGCAGAACTCCTTAGGAAATGCTCAAGGAACTACAGAAAAGAATATGTGGATTCTGGCATCACTCCAACTTCAAGCTTCAATTTGTTGGAAGTCTGGGGCTCTAAAAGCAACGCCCCATTAACTGGCTTCGCTGCAGGAGCTTGGGCGCTGTCGCAAGTGCAAAAAGCAATTCGCAGTGCCTGAGTGACCTGGCCGCACTGTGCGGAGTGCGGTACCTCTTGGAACTCGTGGCACGTGCGGCGTGAACCTTTTTGGTTTCGTTGGGGCTTTTCACTGGAGGACGCTTTTGCAGGGCTTTCTGTCAATATGATGGGTGGCGTAATCATCAAGGATGGCATTTGGCTTCATGGCCGTGAACGGAATAGGCACCTGGACAGGTTTGAAGGCCAAGAAGGTTGTAAAGGCCAAGAAGGAAAGGCCATGGACAGTGTTCTCTTCAATCGTCAGAGTCTTTTGCCCAGGTACGTTTGCAACAGCGCCGCCCGTCTGGCACTCTGTTCTGTGGCTGGGAACTTTGGTGAACATGTCATTCTTGGGGGTTTCCATTTCTTGAGGCGGTACTAAAAGCGGCAATGGTTCCGCTCGCGGACGCCGTGTGCGGACGTTTGAGGCGACGCCTAAAGGACTTGTGGCAAATGCCGTCGTTTTTGTGTTCGCTGGCCAGGCTTCCACACAGACTGATGCCACCTATCAAGAGATGGGCACACAAACCGAGGCGGAGTTCCAAGAGGCTCCAGCAGTGAAATTCTGTTGAACTCCTTCAGGATGGTCTTCCTTACTCTGAAGTGCTTTGAACACATATGAGTCATATGGCGCTTGGATTTTGTGGCAAGCAGAACATAGGACCTAGGATGCATAGGAATCCCGTACGGGGAAAATACATGACACCCCTTTAAGCTCTGGACGCGGCTGGTGGCACAGGCTGAGATCCAGGTGCACAGCGCGGGGACACTGGGCGCACTGGGCACACTGGGCACACTGATGTAAAATCTTGTGTTGGAATCCTCATTTCTCTGGACTCTACAGGTGTACAGTTACACAAATCATACCACACACCCACTATTTCATGTTTGAGGAAAGGACAAACGTCTTTGTCCTTGATCGTGTGAACTGAATGAGCTGCTCTCAGCTTGAGTAAGAACAAGTCCCGCTTTCCTGCCGTCATGGCCGTTGGAAAGATCATCCTTGACTGGAAGCAGCATGTAGCCGTGTAGCCTCAACCATGCAAGTATCTTGGCTTCACAGGTTGATGAGACTGATGCCCTGCAACACTTCAAACAGACAAATGCGCCAGATTCAGAATCCATTTTGTTTTGGCAGTCCAAGCGTTAAATCTCACACCAAGTGTGAAAACTGCAGCGTTCAACACCTACAAGAAGTTCAAGAGTGAAGCATCTGCCAGAGACCACTCCGACCACTGCGTGCTATTGACCATTGAACTGATTTGATCTCGCACCTCACCAGCTGTCACGCAAAGTCGGAGATGGCAAGGCCCACCTCAGGTTCGGTGAGCCCAGAGACGGTACGAGGTTCTTGGAAGACTCCCTTAGCCTTAGCTGATTGCAAAAAATGCCACGGGCTATTTCGGGCTTCAAATATTTCAAATCAGGAAAGAGACAGCAAAATCATACCACAGCGACGGCGCATGGCATGGGATCTAAACGCCACAGGAGGTAGATGAACAATGGGAATGTAGATGAACCCTATGAATTCCTATGAACACAATTTAATTCGCCGTTGGCCTTTGACATTTTTTGACCCAGACACAATTCCCAACTCCGGCTGGATCAAACTAAGGTTCAGCCGCTAGAGCAACCTCACCAATGGCGACTCCAGCAGGCACGGTGTGTCAACAAATCCATAGCAAAACTGCCCGGTCCAAAATGCTTCTGGGGGGGGAACAGAATTTGACCTGCCTAGTCTTTGACATCATGAATTCTGTAGAGCTATGGCAGCTATGGACAGAAGTGTGTGAAACTAATCAAAACAAGCTCTGACTTCGATCAGGGAGGCGTCCTATTGCAGGGGGTTTTCCCGGGCAGTGTCCATCATCCTGCGGTGCAGTTTCCCGAAGTCGCAAAGCGGGCGACGGTGCGGGAACACAGTGAGGGTGCCACGCACCAAAGACCTGGGTGCTGATGCTGGAAATTAGGCACTGAAAAAAATCATAAAAAATCATAGCTAATTTCCAGATCATAGCTCTGCAACACCAGAATTTGATGGTCACATGAGCAGAATCTCGATACGCTGCCTGAGACATTGTTTTCAAGAAGCGTATCGTGGATTGAATACATTTTCATCATTTTCCACTGTCGAAAATCCTTCACGCATTTACATCTCAATTGAAGTGTGGGCCAAGAGGCACATCGCAGCCCAGCAGTGCATGGCATGATGCCCGGGAGCACAGTGTGGTGGAATGATTCAGTGGGATGATCCAGCGGCTGGATGAAACTCAACAAAAAGGAATCTGGGAACCTTGGGACATGACAAAAAGCAGCACTCATTCCACATGACACTGATCTGGTCTACCTCTCTGGATGACGGTCATAATGAGTCATAATGAGTCATTATCACTGGATCTCCATTGTCAGGTGCTTGAACTCTGCAAGAAGGGCTTCGCGAACAAGCTGGACTGGATCTGTAAGATGATTTGCATTTTGAAGAATTTTTATGAAATTTGGATCAATTTGTACCTTTTTACACCTTTTTATACCTTTCAGATCGTTTGAATCTTTTGAAACTGATGGAATGTCCGCAGGAGGGCCTCTGTGACGTCCTTGTGACCGTAGTGCGCAACGAGATGCGCCAGGCCCAGCATTTGCAAGGGGTCAAATGAAATGCCCAACGCACAAGCTCAACAGGCTTCACATATCATATATAGAATTACGTGTATATATATATATAAATTGAATATATTATATTATATTATATTGTATTGTATTGTATTATATTATATTATATTATATTATAATATATATATATATGCATGCATTGTATCATATATACTTTGAGTTTCACCACATTGAAATAAGTTTAAACTGTTTAAATGGCATGATAAGCATCCATGATGACCTGTAGATCATCAGGATACATATGCTCTGGCCAGGGTGCAGAGAAGTGGAGGGGCGAAGTCATGGACCAGATGAGTCAACGAGAACACCAGCTGGACAAGTCGTTGCTCGTCAGTTTCGAATTGCCAGAATCCTTCGATCTGCATCAATCTGCATCAAGAGTCAAGAGTCGAGATTGGGAATGGGTTGAAAATAGTTGAAGATTGTTGAGGGATTAAGAAGATAAAACACGTTGAATTACAGACTTGTGGAGTCCGCCACTTGGAAGTCTTCGCAATGATGCTTCCTGAGTGACTTTTGTGAAGATCCCAAAAGAGATGCAGGATTCTCGACACGAGAGTCCAACATAACCCAAAACCTGAAACCATTTGCCATTGTTGACTTTCAACATCTTTAAACATGTAAAACACGGTTTATTTCCAGGGTCAGCATATCACCACCGACAGGCTCCTGTCGCTGCGAGAGAAGTTGGATCACATGGAGTTGAAGATCATGGCCACTCTGCCGCAAGGATGGGAAGGATGGGAAGGACGGGAAGGGCGGGAAGGATGGGAAAAGGACGGGAATGTGAGGAAACTCATAGCATCTCATAGCTGTAAGGATCTCATCCACAAACTGGAAGTCCCTTCCACTCCCGTTTTGACTGGCTCTTGGCAAGTTTTCGGCTTTTTTTTGCAGACCTGGTGGTAAAAATGATTGTCAGAATGTTGTGATGGTCATAGCCATAGCCATAGTTTGGACGACAGTCATTCGGATTTCCGTACAGGAACATACCAACAAAAAACTCATTTGACGTACCAACAGAGGTGCAGGGAATATCTCGGAACTTCGGGGATTGCCTCTGTTGGGTTCCATTTAGGGTTCCCCACTCAGGATCCAGACCGTGTGGATTCGCCCTTCCTGGGAGGCCCTTTGCCTCCCACCTCCCCCGGCACACCCGTGGTGACAGAACTGCCCCTGCCGGGGAGCCCTACGCATGCGCCGCCTCTCCCGACGACACCTTCACAAACGCTGCGGACTGGCTCGGCACAGCGGATGCAAGTGGATGAGCTGATGCCAGTCATTGAGCACCTTCGAAAAAGCGATTCTTGGCGATATTAGTTGGGTTACAACCTTTTTTTTATTGCTTTTGATTTTGTTTTGGGTGTGCCTTCAAGACATTGCTCTTTGAGTGCTGTGCAAGCATGGAGCGACATTGTTTTCTTTGCTCTTCAGTTTTCACAGACACTTCCCCTCAGAGTTTCAACTCTCAGGACACACTGCATCAGGTTGGGACTGCAGGGTTCTGACATTTGTCACCATCACAGCAGTTCACATTGCCTTTGTGAACGAACAGAGTGATTTCTGGGGCTCAGAAACATACCCTAATATACTCTATAGTAGAAACTCTCATGAGCTGGCGGATTTTCGTGTCGCGGGTTTGGTGAAGTGCTAGCCAGCTGAGCAACACAACGTCTCTTCACCCCATCGGATTAGACTTGGAGTCATGGTCACAAGACAAAGGACATGGTCGGACATGGTGGCTCTTGATGCTCTTGCATCCTTGCGTTTGCAGTCTTAATCGAGTGCAGTTTCACACAGCTGTAGCCCTTACAGTTCGTTGTTGGAACAACTTGTATTCTTACCGCTACTGCGGGAGGCGGCATCTGCTCAACTGGAAGAGCATCTGGAGACATTGCCAAATGTGGGGCCAGTTCGCATTTGATGTGCCAGCTTGAACGGAAGAAAGCTTCATTCGTCAGGTAGGAAGAGGTACTGTATGATATGAAAACCATCTACTGTATACATATATATATAAATGCATCAAACACATCCAAGCTTTTCCAAAGTTGGAGAGGGCTCTTAAACTGTCACCCTCCGGGCGGTAGCTCCTTCAGCTAAGATGACATCATATAGGTTCGAATCGAATTGTCCTCATGCAAGACTCCCAGATTCATTTATTGGCATGAGAGCAAATCAAACAAACTCAAGTTGGATCCAACATTTCTTTGCAGACTTCCATGCATTGGAGATTATTTGAGCTGTGGCTTCCAGCTACAGAAATGCCTTTGCCAATTGAATCAAAATGAATCAAGCAAAAATCAATGAATCATGATGGACGATGGAGACATATGGAGACCTTTGCCAGTCATTCACACTTTCAGAGACTTCTAAGAGGACAACCGTTTTGAAGCGTCTCGAGGAGCGGGTGCGAGAGCGCTGCGAAGCGCTGGGCCGGGTCTCCACAGCGGTGCTGAATGGTGTGCAACGTTTGGAACAACAGGCCAGGGACAGAGACAGCGCGTTGGCTCTTCTTTTTTCAAACAAAAACTGCAAGATACTGCAAGTAAAAATCATCAACCTAAAATGCGGGAATCCAAACTATTCCAAACTGGAATAATTTCTGCGTCTACATGGATGATTTGCATCAAGATGAGGGTTTATGTGGCCATGAATTAGTGAATTTGTCTTTGTCTCAGCGACGATTGTCCTGCACAGGTGCAACAACTGGAACACAAGTCCCAGGTGGCCTGAGTGCCCAGCTGTGAGACGTCATGGGCTGGACGAACGCTGGGAACTCTCGTTCCAACATGTTCCACCCAGACGAAGAGATAGGACCAGAATGGACCAGTTTTTTGGGAAATGAAGAGATTTCGCAAGGCCTGACTCTGAGGGAACAGAATTTCACCACCCGGCCCAGGCCGAAGCGAAGATGAGCAATGCCGGGGCCTCAACAGCTTTAAACAGCTTTAACTCCATGGGCCACGTGGTGGTAACGTGGTACAGAAGACTTTAATATACTTTAACACACTTTAATCGTTAACAGAAAACATGTAGTTTCTTCGACAGAAAAACATGTAATTTTACTGATTCACTTGATGTTTTGGGACAATGCCCAGCATCTGTTCCGAGGTTTTGGGACAACAACAATCGCTGAACGCAGTCTCTTCCCAAGTCGCGAAGGAACTTCAGTCTTTGCAACAAAAGGACGGCCGCGATGTGGTAGATTGTGCCGGTGTTTGTTATTTTCAGACAGAGCAAACAAATTCAGTCATCATGCACCAACACATCGTTTAGCGAATTCTTGCCTTACTCTGGACTGAGAGATAATGTGTATGTTGACGTGGGAGGTGCCAGAATCACGCATGCTGAAAAAACATGAACAAATCATGAAAGATATGAAAGACAAAACATGTAGTGAACTTGCAAGCGGCGGACCCCATCTCTGTTCCACATGTTTTTAGTTGAGGATGTTGAGTCAAGACAACATTTTTCCGATGCTTTCCTTTCAGTCTTTGACCACATTTCAGGACGCCTTGGCCTTTTCCGATCTCCAGGGGCGGCTGCAAAGCCATGTTTCTTGACAATGCCAAGGGCACTTGATCCAGGCTACAGTATGTACAGTGAGATGCGATAGAAGCAGCTTGAGGATGCTTTAGGGTTATTCTGTTGGTTCAGTGATGTGGATTTCCACAGTGACTCCGTGCAGCCTGGTAGTACTGCTCGGTTGGAGGTGTTTGACCGTTGCAGCGAGAAAAACATCATCGGTGGCTGCGTAGAATTGCCAAGCGAAATGGAACGAATGGAATGAAATGTCTCAAATTAAAACCAACAAATAGGATAGCCATGCATACCATGTCCATTATTCATGTGATTTCTCCCTATATTTCCATTAGCTCAGCAGGGGCTTTCACATTGGATCAACACATATATCCTCCCATTTCCCTAGGCTACAGAGATGCGTTCCGTGCGGATGCTGAGTTGTGTCCTTGTGGCTTTGCCGCGACCTGGAGCACTGGGCAGGTGAAACATATGCGAATTGCATCGAATTGCTGTTGTTGAAACTTCGAGGTCGTGCATGACGATGTGCACGGGATTCAAGAGGCGTGTGATGGGTCGATGCTCCATTTGAAGCCTTTATATACTCCAGCTTGCCGCAGGATCTCAGCGGGATCAAGGAGCATCAGCAGAAAGATTTTCGAACAGAAACTTGTTCAGCAAGACTTAGCTCTTGTGGTTGGAGTGTTGTGGGGATTCGCTTTTTAAAGATGTTTTTTTCAATTTTATTTCTCCCCACCATCACAGTCCAAAACCCGTTTTGTTTACCCCAGCAGCGCAGCAACTACAGTCACTTGGAGATCACTGACACCCGTGAAATTCCATTGCCAGTGATGCCAGTGAAACATTTGCGAGACTGAGGTGGTTATGGAAATCTCTCGAATTCAGCAGGTGCTGCATTTGGACTTTGTGAAGGTGGGTCCAGGGGAGCTGCTCCAAGGCATCAATCCCTAGCCATGGTTGATGGGCCCTGATTGCAGGTGTTGCACGAAGAACCCTGTCGAAAGATGATCAGTCGCGCTAGACAGGCGGGACCCAAAGAAATCACTGCGGCGGCTGTTGCTGGGTTTAGAATTTTCGAAAATCATGGAAAGAGGTTGCTACAAGGGACAGTTCTGTTTCCATGTATATATATATATATATATCAACCCTTGTGTGAGCTGTCAATAACAACCTGCTCTGCACATTCGGTGAGGGATCTATCATTCTTTGACGCAGTCTGATGTGGAGATAGAAACGGGGTGACATGAAGCCATGGTCGCACCTTCCCAAGTTTGGCAGCCATGGTCGTCAGGCTCCAAGAACATCAGGCGCTCTGGGTGTTGGTCCAACATTACATGGAGCAAAATCATTGCGAAACCATAGACAGAACCCTGCGGCAATACCCACAGTAGTGGTTCTGATGTGCCAGGAAATGACCTGGGCGGATCGCAGGCCGATGACAGGACAGGTGGTAAAACGATGTAAAACGTCTAATGAGTTTAATGTAACATGATGTAACCAATTGGTAGCCAATGGTAACCAGAATAAATAAAGAGAATTGAGATTGATCCAGATGCAGTTCCGTAAATATGATATTTCCTCTCCACCAATGGAACCTTCAAAAAGGGCCCTTTCTTGAGTCTGGGAGCAGCATGATCAGCAAACCAACAGCAATTCAGAGCCAAAAAGGTGACAGGACCAAAAAAAAGCTAGGGCACAAAAAGCTAATAGCTGTGTTTTTGAACATCACATTGGAAGCAATTACTTAGCACCCGACGACATAAGTCAAATGCTTGTTTGATTCTTCCCAGCTAGTGCTTGACATCCGACGCTGCCGCTTCGGCTTGACTTCTGCACACATCTTGCTCCTAAATTAAAATTGTTCATCACACACATTCGCATACCATCTTACATATCATACGATATCATGCGCTTAATTACCCATATTCGCACTATGACATTTTTGCACAATGGCACTGTCACCACCTCTATTTCAATGAGAGCCTCCAATCTGCGAGGCCAAACGGTTTCGAGATTTCTTTGCACAGTGCTGCCCTCAATATGTTTTGACATTCTCGACTGTCAACTGTAGCAATTTCATTTCGGAATGTTGATTTTGTTTGGTGTGTTTGCTTAGCGCAGGGCAGAAACATATATTCTTAGACATCATCCTGGGGTGAAGAGAGATGCAGGCTGAGTCATTTGTGACGGGGGCTATAGAGAGGTTCTCATTATGTTAGACATAAGTGTATGATCACTGATCACCGCTTTTAAATATTTTTAAATGCAGGACTGTCATGGACTGTCTATCTGTTTATGCCCCTAGACTGTCCTAGACACCTCAAGTGAATCCGCCAATGCTCAATCCACAAGGACAGAGCCTCCACCACAAAAGGAGGCCAGGTGGGAAATTAGCCTGGTGCCCATGTTATGACAAATGCCCATTGCCGCTCTGGCAGAGCTTTTCAGGAAAGGAAAAAGATGAAAGAAGACGTGAATTTGATAGTATCAACATCTATCAAGTATCAGCACTGTATAATCAGTGTATTCCCATGCTTTCCGTGCTTTGTGGTACCAGATGATTCCCGCGCATCACATTGCTTGAGACACCTTTACACAATTTTCTGTCTTGAAAAGACCATGGGCTGCGGAATGCTTGGAACGGATTCGCTCATTTGGGAGGCGCACAGCCAGACAGAAGCCTCCTTATATTTGGAAGTGGACTTCAAACCAAGGCCAACGGGGCAGATAAATCCAAAGAGAGACATAGTTGGGTCCGGGGGCAGTGAGGACAAATTTCAATCGCAATGCTTTGTCCTGAAGTACGCTTGTGAGGGTAGTTAACCTTCTGAGGAACTGAGCCTAGCTTGATTGATCTTGATATTGTGCCGACTGTTGTTTGATGTATTTCTCTGGTTGTTCATGCTGGATCTCTTGCAGTGGATGCTTTGAGGGGTGGTCTATTCACAAGGCATTGTCAAGAACACGTTGGTGAGAGATTTGACCACCATTGAACACCTGAATTTGAACCAGCCAGAATCAAAATGAACTCTAATCTACTTGACTTTCCATGACCTTGGCCCAATCGAAAGATAGTCGGGTGTCCGGGGGCAGTGAGGACAAATTTCAATCGCAATGCTTTGTCCTGAAGTACGCTTGTGAGGGTAGTTAACCTTCTGAGGAACTGAGCCTAGCTTGATTGATCTTGATATTGTGCCGACTGTTGTTTGATGTATTTCTCTGGTTGTTCATGCTGGATCTCTTGCAGTGGATGCTTTGAGGGGTGGTCTATTCACAAGGCATTGTCAAGAACACGTTGGTGAGAGATTTGACCACCATTGAACACCTGAATTTGAACCAGCCAGAATCAAAATGAACTCTAATCTACTTGACTTTCCATGACCTTGGCCCAATCGAAAGACAGTCGGGTGTCTGGGGGCAGTGAGGACAAATTTCAATCGCAATGCTTTGTCCTGAAGTGTGGCTTTTTCGTTGGCTGTCTGGGGAGGGCCCTTCTCGCTCTGTTTTGTTTCTGCGATTTCTCCGGGAGGGGCGGTAGATCCCCGGTAGAGCCATGGACCAGGCTGCACTGCAGTGAGCTCTACTGGCGCTGTCCAGTGGTGCTTCCTGCTGTTCAGTCTGGAGCGCCCTAGTGCAGCAAAGCCTGCCAACATGGATCGGTGCGCTGATGGGACGTAGTGATTCTGCTCATGGCTCACTCTAGGGGAGAGTGGCCCTATGTGAGATGCACTGCGAACCTCTGGAACATCTGACTTGCAGCAGTTTTTGCTGGGACGATGACACCTAGTGAATCCTGCTAGTCAATCTGGTGCTGGTACAGCGAACCTAGCCACCTCTTCAAGTTTGTGGCTTGAGCACGATTGCCATGTGCGAGCGGCGCAATTGAGTACAGGTCGCTGAGTAGCAATCCCATTGCTTAAGCCTACCCTCTGCACGAGTGTATTTTATTCATCTGCAATGACCTTACGGAGAGGATCCTTTTTATCTGCGGAGATCTTTCACCATTGGCACCGTTTCAGGTCCCCTTGGCTTCCTACGATATGACAGCATCTGTGATGAATTACAGTTATTGTCCTGCATGACCTACAGGCTGTCAATCCCTACCCCCCTTGAGGGGGGTATTGAGTCACATCACCACTGCGGCAGTATCTTACTACAGAGACTGGACTCCAACTTCACTTATCATCATAGGACCAACTTTGGCAATGAGAATGGCAACTGGTATGAGCTGTACTGTCAGCCATTCCTGCTTTGCCTACCTTTCAGAGAGCTGGAGTGACAGTCACGGTTGTATGGACGATGAGAATCTGGGTGGTCGTGTACTATAGTTTTCGCTCTGCCGCACTTAATTAGTTTGCATGTTTTTGATGATGATACAGTGACTTAGGTCACTGTGTCCAAGGCAAATCTCAAGTTTTTTGGTTTGGTTTTTGTTTGGGCCCGGCCCCGTTCTTTGTTGCTTCGCTGTTTTGCTTTTGGGCGAAACGCAAATCTGGCTGGGGGATTTGCGGGTCGTTGTTGGTTGCGTTTTTTGGTTTGTTTGTTTGTGTTGATGTGATGATTTGCCCGCGGTTTTGGACCACATGTGTCCCTTTTCCAATGCTTTTCACCGCTTACGTTATTGTAAGGACCGTGCCTAGTGCGAATCGGCCAAACCGGAGAAAAAAAAAGCAATGCTTTGTCCTGAAGTACGCTTGTGAGGGTAGTTAACCTTCTGAGGAACTGAGCCTAGCTTGATTGATCTTGATATTGTGCCGACTGTTGTTTGATGTATTTCTCTGGTTGTTCATGCTGGATCTCTTGCAGTGGATGCTTTGAGGGGTGGTCTATTCACAAGGCATTGTCAAGAACACGTTGGTGAGAGATTTGACCACCATTGAACACCTGAATTTGAACCAGCCAGAATCAAAATGAACTCTAATCTACTTGACTTTCCATGACCTTGGCCCAATCGAAAGATAGTCGGGTGTCTGGGGGCAGTGAGGACAAATTTCAATCGCAATGCTTTGTCCTGAAGTACGCTTGTGAGGGTAGTTAACCTTCTGAGGAACTGAGCCTAGCTTGATTGATCTTGATATTGTGCCGACTGTTGTTTGATGTATTTCTCTGGTTGTTCATGCTGGATCTCTTGCAGTGGATGCTTTGAGGGGTGGTCTATTCACAAGGCATTGTCAAGAACACGTTGGTGAGAGATTTGACCACCATTGAACACCTGAATTTGAACCAGCCAGAATCAAAATGAACTCTAATCTACTTGACTTTCCATGACCTTGGCCCAATCGAAAGATAGTCGGGTGTCTGGGGGCAGTGAGGACAAATTTCAATCGCAATGCTTTGTCCTGAAGTACGCTTGTGAGGGTAGTTAACCTTCTGAGGAACTGAGCCTAGCTTGTGATTGATCTTGATATTGTGCCGACTGTTGTTTGATGTATTTCTCTGGTTGTTCATGCTGGATCTCTTGCAGTGGATGCTTTGAGGGGTGGTCTATTCACAAGGCATTGTCAAGAACACGTTGGTGAGAGATTTGACCACCATTGAACACCTGAATTTGAACCAGCCAGAATCAAAATGAACTCTAATCTACTTGACTTTCCATGACCTTGGCCCAATCGAAAGATAGTCGGGTGTCTGGGGGCAGTGAGGACAAATTTCAATCGCAATGCTTTGTCCTGAAGTACGCTTGTGAGGGTAGTTAACCTTCTGAGGAACTGAGCCTAGCTTGTGATTGATCTTGATATTGTGCCGACTGTTGTTTGATGTATTTCTCTGGTTGTTCATGCTGGATCTCTTGCAGTGGATGCTTTGAGGGGTGGTCTATTCACAAGGCATTGTCAAGAACACGTTGGTGAGAGATTTGACCACCATTGAACACCTGAATTTGAACCAGCCAGAATCAAAATGAACTCTAATCTACTTGACTTTCCATGACCTTTGCCCAATCGAAAGATAGTCGGGTGTCTGGGGGCAGTGAGGACAAATTTCAATCGCAATGCTTTGTCCTGAAGTACGCTTGTGAGGGTAGTTAACCTTCTGAGGAACTGAGCCTAGCTTGATTGATCTTGATATTGTGCCGACTGTTGTTTGATGTATTTCTCTGGTTGTTCATGCTGGATCTCTTGCAGTGGATGCTTTGAGGGGTGGTCTATTCACAAGGCATTGTCAAGAACACGTTGGTGAGAGATTTGACCACCATTGAACACCTGAATTTGAACCAGCCAGAATCAAAATGAACTCTAATCTACTTGACTTTCCATGACCTTGGCCCAATCGAAAGATAGTCGGGTGTCTGGGGGCAGTGAGGACAAATTTCAATCGCAATGCTTTGTCCTGAAGTACGCTTGTGAGGGTAGTTAACCTTCTGAGGAACTGAGCCTAGCTTGATTGATCTTGATATTGTGCCGACTGTTGTTTGATGTATTTCTCTGGTTGTTCATGCTGGATCTCTTGCAGTGGATGCTTTGAGGGGTGGTCTATTCTATTCACAAGGCATTGTCAAGAACACGTTGGTGAGAGATTTGACCACCATTGAACACCTGAATTTGAACCAGCCAGAATCAAAATGAACTCTAATCTACTTGACTTTCCATGACCTTGGCCCAATCGAAAGATAGTCGGGTGTCTGGGGGCAGTGAGGACAAATTTCAATCGCAATGCTTTGTCCTGAAGTACGCTTGTGAGGGTAGTTAACCTTCTGAGGAACTGAGCCTAGCTTGTGATTGATCTTGATATTGTGCCGACTGTTGTTTGATGTATTTCTCTGGTTGTTCATGCTGGATCTCTTGCAGTGGATGCTTTGAGGGGTGGTCTATTCACAAAGGCATTGTCAAGAACACGTTGGTGAGAGATTTGACCACCATTGAACACCTGAATTTGAACCAGCCAGAATCAAAATGAACTCTAATCTACTTGACTTTCCATGACCTTGGCCCAATCGAAAGATAGTCGGGTGTCTGGGGGCAGTGAGGACAAATTTCAATCGCAATGCTTTGTCCTGAAGTACGCTTGTGAGGGTAGTTAACCTTCTGAGGAACTGAGCCTAGCTTGTGATTGATCTTGATATTGTGCCGACTGTTGTTTGATGTATTTCTCTGGTTGTTCATGCTGGATCTCTTGCAGTGGATGCTTTGAGGGGTGGTCAAGAACACGTTGGTGAGAGATTTGACCACCATTGAACACCTGAATTTGAACCAGCCAGAATCAAAATGAACTCTAATCTACTTGACTTTCCATGACCTTGGCCCAATCGAAAGATAGTCGGGTGTCTGGGGGCAGTGAGGACAAATTTCAATCGCAATGCTTTGTCCTGAAGTACGCTTGTGAGGGTAGTTAACCTTCTGAGGAACTGAGCCTAGCTTGTGATTGATCTTGATATTGTGCCGACTGTTGTTTGATGTATTTCTCTGGTTGTTCATGCTGGATCTCTTGCAGTGGATGCTTTGAGGGGTGGTCTATTCACAAGGCATTGTCAAGAACACGTTGGTGAGAGATTTGACCACCATTGAACACCTGAATTTGAACCAGCCAGAATCAAAATGAACTCTAATCTACTTGACTTTCCATGACCTTTGCCCAATCGAAAGATAGTCGGGTGTCTGGGGGCAGTGAGGACAAATTTCAATCGCAATGCTTTGTCCTGAAGTACGCTTGTGAGGGTAGTTAACCTTCTGAGGAACTGAGCCTAGCTTGATTGATCTTGATATTGTGCCGACTTTTGTTTGATGTATTTCTCTGGTTGTTCATGCTGGATCTCTTGCAGTGGATGCTTTGAGGGGTGGTCTATTCACAAGGCATTGTCAAGAACACGTTGGTGAGAGATTTGACCACCATTGAACACCTGAATTTGAACCAGCCAGAATCAAAATGAACTCTAATCTACTTGACTTTCCATGACCTTGGCCCAATCGAAAGATAGTCGGGTGTCTGGGGGCAGTGAAGACAAATTTCAATCGCAATGCTTTGTCCTGAAGTACGCTTGTGAGGGTAGTTAACCTTCTGAGGAACTGAGCCTAGCTTGATTGATCTTGATATTGTGCCGACTGTTGTTTGATGTATTTCTCTGGTTGTTCATGCTGGATCTCTTGCAGTGGATGCTTTGAGGGGTGGTCTATTCACAAGGCATTGTCAAGAACACGTTGGTGAGAGATTTGACCACCATTGAACACCTGAATTTGAACCAGCCAGAATCAAAATGAACTCTAATCTACTTGACTTTCCATGACCTTGGCCCAATCGAAAGATAGTCGGGTGTCTGGGGGCAGTGAGGACAAATTTCAATCGCAATGCTTTGTCCTGAAGTACGCTTGTGAGGGTAGTTAACCTTCTGAGGAACTGAGCCTAGCTTGATTGATCTTGATATTGTGCCGACTGTTGTTTGATGTATTTCTCTGGTTGTTCATGCTGGATCTCTTGCAGTGGATGCTTTGAGAGGTGGTCTATTCACAAGGCATTGTCAAGAACACGTTGGTGAGAGATTTGACCACCATTGAACACCTGAATTTGAACCAGCCAGAATCAAAATGAACTCTAATCTACTTGACTTTCCATGACCTTGGCCCAATCGAAAGATAGTCGGGTGTCTGGGGGCAGTGAGGACAAATTTCAATCGCAATGCTTTGTCCTGAAGTACGCTTGTGAGGGTAGTTAACCTTCTGAGGAACTGAGCCTAGCTTGAGTGATCTTTATATTGTGCCGACTGTACCGTGTATGTCTGCTTGTTCATGCTGTGTCTCATAGATGCTGGCAGCTGAAATTCGATCAATCTCTTAGTCTTAGTCAAAGATTCGCTCAGTTCGAGCAATTGTGTGATTTTTTTTGATGCGTTATTTTTTTTGTTAGAGCCACATTCCGAGCAAGACGTTGTATTTTTTCTCCACCACCTGGCAATCTCAGGTATTCTGAACATGTTTCAAACCTGTTCTATTGAAAGGGCGCCAATATGCAACCCGTACAGTAAATGAATTTTGTACAGAGCGCCAGTGACACTTTTTCAGGCGTTTTCATATTCTGCGCTCTGGGTACCAAAGTGGCCGCATAGCGAAGCATTTTACAACAAGTACAGCAATATTTTAAAACAGAATGCCTAGCGAAAGGTTCTTTTTTTTGGATATTTCTTCTTAAGAAGGAACGGCGGATCTTTTCAGCTGTTTAGACCTTTTTTCTGACTTTGATCGGCTTTTGTTTTCCTGGCTTTCGTGACTTTTGGTTTCTTGGCTTTCGTTGTTTTTGTGGCTTTCAGTTTTCAGCTTATTGACATTTGTGTGGCTTTGGTGTGGCTTTGGTTTCTTGGCTTTTTGGTTTCTTAGTTTCTTAGTTTCTTGTTTTGGTTTGTTTTCTCTGAACTTTTTGGCTCTTGTGGTCCCGGCTTATACTTTGTTCCAGGTACGTCAGGAACAAATCAACATGCAAAATGCCAAAAAACATACAAAGGCCAGGCACCATAAAGTTGTTTCTAGTCCCTTTTTGCTTCCCAAAAAACAAAAGACGAACAACGCAAACAAAGATCCACCTTCCAACCGTTCCACCAAGAACCGGAACATGTGGCCACGAGGAGCTGCGCCATGCTACTGTTGTGCAAAGAACAAGGGGAACGATCAAAAGAACAACAAACACGTTAAGAGAGACAAGATCCAGCATCAAATCACAATAGCAAAAGGATTCTTAGCCCAAAGTGCCGCAAATATCAAGCACATGACAAGTTCCAGCTGTAAAATGCTACAACCATGATGCCACCATGAGATTCATGCAAATACCATACAAATGATAGATTCTTGGCTCCAAATGCCTGCAAATACTTGGCAAATAAGAGATTGCACATTACAGATGCAACAAATACTGCGCAAACTACAGTAACTCCAGATTCTGGCTCCAAAATGATGCGAGGTATTTTAAACAGGAAAAATTGCCACGCAAATACAAAAGATCCTCCAACAAATCCATGCTCTTTTACAACCTTTGCTGCATAGCCTATGCTGCCAAGATCCACGCAAGGAAGCAACGCGAGTCAAAGCACTCTAACCAGCCGATGGCACCTTGGCTCAACAATGCATTGGTGGTCACAGGCTCACGAAATCCCAGGGCATCATGAGTTCGCGATAGTTGCAGGAAGTGCTTCTTTTGGTGAATTTCTGAATCGATCCTTTCATGCTACAGGGTCCCCCCCAAAGACCAACTGAATTCTGGGCACTGCAATTTGGATGTGGGTGAGCCATTCCATCCATGTTGCTCAACCGCCTGCGCCTAGCTCGAAGAAGCAGCCTCTCAGCATTTTGGAGGCAACCGTCCTGTGCTGACCGGCTCCAACATTATATGTAAATATAATTATATAATATATATTATAATATTATACATACATGTGTACTCACTTATCAATCACTTCTCCCATATTTATATTAGATACATGTAGCATGCACATAATTTCCACATAGTGTACATACCCTTAGTTTCTGTACATTTGCAGCACAAGGCCCTGCCCTGAAACTTGCTGCAGACGTTGCAGAGGCAACAAAGCAAATATCGGAGCTTTTGGCTAGGCGGAGAAGAGCACTTCAAGGAGAAGGCCAGAGAGGCTGCGATGAAGCCGTGTTGTCCTCAATGGCGGGCTGTCTGTTGCACCAAGAGCTTCGAAGCGTTTTCAAACTCTTTTCAAACTCCTTTGAAGTATTCAACCATTCTGAAAACCATTTCCTTTGGCAAATTCGGGTCCAATGGGGTTTGAAGCCGTCAGAATCACGGGCATATCGCACAGCTTGTAAGCCAATGTATACCTCACATTTTACCCAGGCCTTACTCGGTCTACGACTTCTACCACAGCACTGGCTGCTCGCAGGCACAACTTCCGGAAAACAGTTTCGCAATTCAGAGGAGCAGGACAGTGCAGTGTCCTGCGCTCATTATTTAGACTTTTGATGCCTTTTGGAGTATTTTGTCTCTTTGTCATTGCTGTCAAGACTGTCAAGGTGCTGGACTTGAAGACCTGAAAGCTGCTTGAAATACCTGTATCGAATAGTATTGGCATGAAGGAACACGCTTGCATTTGAAAGATATTCAAAGCCCCACCTGGCCGATGACCTGCAAGGCGATTGCTCGTTCTCATTGGTTTGAATATGTGCGGGCGTTACCTCGCAGTGCAGAATGCTTTTCCATCTTCATACGAAATGCAGATATCAGCAAACGAAACAATAAAACGTACCATTCGTTCACCAACTGTCGAGCTTTGTTGAGCCTGGTTTCAATGAGACAAAGGCATAGGTAGTGGCATGCTGGAGTGCTTGTTGTTTGTGCTCAGATGTGTGGCCCTTCTTATAAAGACAACACACGCAGTCAAAAGAATTTCAAGGTTTGCACGGACCGCACACCCTGTCTACTCTTTTGCCTCTGCAAAAGTTTCTAAGCACTTGAGCACTTCATTGCAGCGCCGCAATGTCACACTTGTGAGACAGTGGTTTCAGATGTTTTCAGGTCACACTCTTGATCGTGTTCTTGAATGCCGCCTGGATGGCCGTTGATATGGAACCTGGGGTTGGGGGGACCGCGGGCATCACGTTGCACCGTGTTTCTCCACTGGAAGCTGACCTGAGAGCTCCAGTAGCTGCGAGGTTTGAAAATTGAGTTTAACTGACTGGTGCCCGGAAGGACTTGAATACCGCCAGCGTCATCACCGAAGCGCATCCTGCATTCTTGATTGTGGAAAACGCATCTTGTCTGCAGTGGACTGCAATGATATGCCCAGACACTCTCGTCTTCAGCTGGACCCCTTGGTGTCACGGATGAGATCTTGATTTCAATATGCTGATTGCCGTATTGAGTATTATTGACATTAGATGAAATGATAAATGATATTAAGATATATTAAGTATGCGATCCTGCAGAGATTTCATCCGGGCCTGAGGCGTTTTGTACCTACTTCTTCTTGGAGCTTCTTGTTCGCTTTGCCGCCTTTGAAAGGAAATGCTTGGTGCCACAGGGTGCTCTGTGAAAGGAAAACCTGCGCTGTAATTCTGGAAGCGTATCAAAGACTAGACTGGACATTATCTTGGAAGCTATACTGGCTATAGATGGCTATAGTTGTTTGCATTGAACGCGAATGCTCAACACATAAAATCCCTCTGAACTGAACACCTGCGCGAAGCTACTTTGTCAAGTGAATTTTGCAGGATGTTTCCCATGGCTCAGTGCGGGGTGAAAAGGGCCGACCAAAGGTTTATGATTTGAATTCATTCCAGTGGATCCTCTTGAGCTTTTGGATAGCAATCATGCCTGTCATGCCTCTTGCTTTGTCATCCAACAGAACCGCCCTGTCAAGGCAACTGCCTGCGAGATGGGCTGGGATCCTAGGTGTACTCAGTATGAGCAATGGCATTTCGATCATTTCGATCAGCGTTGCTTAACACCTCTGTGCCAACAAGCGCAGTCTCCGTACAGGCGTAAAAGAAAGTGCGAAGTCAAGTTTGCCCAACTGCAACGCTGAAACCCCTTTAGATGAGAGAGCGCAGCTAGTGACTAGTGACAAATCAGTTTTTTTTTTGCAATCTTGCATGAAATTGCAGCGCTCCAAGGTTGAGGTGTGATTGAAGAGAATTTACGCTGTTGTCTGTGGCTGAGGTGGTTTGTCTTGGACCTGCTTCTCATGCTGCTCTACGTGTTGGACACATGGCTGGTCCTGATACTTGTCTATGCAGGAGGCGCACAAATCAGTTCCCGCTGGCTGACATGATGACAATGCACTATAGTTTTTTTTCCTAGTTGTCAGGGACTGTCAGCACCAATCACCTAGTAGGCAAGTTCATCAAAAATTGCCTGCAAGGTATCCGATTCGAACCAGGAGGGGGGTTGGGAAGCCCAGAGCAGATGCAGCCCAGACTGATGACAACTACAATTGTATGACAATCTGATGATCTGCCAACGCTCTTGCAAGGTCCATGATGACACTTCTGCGAATGCTGCGCATGGCCAAGCTCTGTCGTCTCACCAGGCAGCAGAATTGCCATTGAACGAGACTTGAACGAGACTAATTTGACTCACGTTGCCATTTGGCACGAGACAAAGGCCATGCTATGTGAAGACTTGCCACGTACTTCTTGTTTTGCATCCTTCTACTGAGTCTACTGTATGAATCTGTATGAATCTGTATGATATATTCCGGGTATTTGCAATGCAGTGATGGATGATGATGGATGTATTGATCCTATCTGGATATCTACCTGCCAGTGAATCGGTGCCGTTCGGTCACGGTCCCACCCGGCAGGTTGGCCAGGCTTCTGCGAGCCGTCCCAGAGTTGGTGATCATTGTGAAGGCAGGCGCTGGGAAATCTTAAGAATCTACAGGACGATGAATCATTATGATGCATGTTTTTAATATGTTTTTAATATGTTTACAGTTTTTAGAATGTTTTTAGAATGTTTTTAGAATGTTTTTAGAATGTTCATTGTTTGCCGAATCATGGATGGTATCTACGAATCTACTCGTGGCAATGTAGATTCTCAAAAACCAGCCGGGATCTGTTGGAATTGTTGCCAAACAAATCCATAAATTTCCTTTGTCAGTAGTCAAGTGTTTGATATCGTTGCATAGCGTTGCATATTGATGCCAAGACAAGCAACCGAAGCTGAGAAATGCACGACGCTACACTGAGGGCATTGGCTTCGCCTCCCGTTCTGTCACCATTTTTTTCATGTTTTGGATGCTTGGCAGAGACCACTGGAGATCCAGTACAAGCAAGATCTTTGACCTGTCGGCATCAGCTACTGTTTGGACTCCTGCAAGAAGTCAAGGTCCATCGCACATTTTTTGATCACGTTGAAACTGTTGCATCGGTTCCTTCCCGACATTGGCGACTAAGGACCCTGATAACCTATGCCTTTGCGATCGCAATCCGCGAGCTCACAGAAAACACTGAGGTGGAGTGAGTGTGAGGAATCAATTCCAAGAGCCACATTTGAGACCAGTTCAAACCACTCTTACATAGTCAAGAAATGTCAAGAGTCAAGAATTCAAGAATGAGTCCGCGCTTCTGTTGGAAGCCTGGGTAGGCAGGTACAGCCAATAGACTCTCTGTTTGGAAGGTGGGAAACCTCTACTTCAGAACTGTCCCAGAGGCTGGGATTGGGTTGGGAGGGCGGAACAATTCCCCGGGGTTCCCCCGGAATCTTACGATGTCATCGTGAATTCCTCACTTCAAGCGCTTCAAGCACCGCACCTACGAGGCCATGAACACGTTGCTGCTTCAAGGTGTGGCTATGGGACGGGGCAAGGTCGGGCGATCTTGGAAGGTGCATGCCGCATGCCATAACGTGATATAACGTGCAACAAGAAATGTGTAACACAACGTCCAATATACAACGTCCATAATGCAAACAAGAAATTGGTGAATAATTGCCACTGAGTACGAACATGAACATGCTCTACCCGAGCGACCTGAAAAAAACATCTTGCACAGTGAAGAGGAACCAAAAAATATCGATTAACATGTTGGAAGGCTGATGCTGGTGTTGTATGTACACTCATATGCTAAACCTTGGCAGACTAGTGGTTGATTCAGTGAAAGCATGGTGCCGCCATTTGGGTTGGAATTGTGTCCATGCGGAAAGGCCTATTCCCGGAGAGCAGCTTGGCCAAAATTGGGGCAGCTGCTTCCCTTCACTGAATCATGCGATGAAAATTGCTCATGACCCATGTTGAACCCCAGTTGTCCCAAAGTGGTGCTGGGTCTACATTATCAGATCATTATCATCATTATATATCATTATATGTCATTATATATCATTATATATCATTATATATCATTATATATCATTATATATCATTATATATCATTATATATCATGATATATCATTATCGTGTTGGCATTTTTCAGCCTAAGGATGCATCATGATGCATCTATCAAATCTATCATTGATATTCACAGTGGAAGCTGCTTCGCCCGATTCGCGGCTCCAAGGTGTCCAGCTGCTCGACTCCATCTCCGGGGGTGCCACTTGGTGACCCCTGTGTTTCCGCTGGATGCCTTAGACTCCCAGATGTCCCAAGATGTCCCAAGATGTCCCAAGATGTCCCAAGATGTCCCAAGATGTCCAAAGTGCTCATTCTTCGTGCCCAAACTATAGTAACTATTGCTGTTGGGAGATGACCTGTGGCTGTGTGGGTCACTTTCTCTTGCGAACTGATGTTAGCTCATGGTACTCATGGTGGATGGACCTCATTTTAGGATTCCACCATTGCTTTGTTGCTCGCTTATTGTGTCTATTGTAGGGATTTGAACATTTGCGACTCACCCGCTTCACCAGGTACCTTTGGCCACTGACGGTATTTTTCTTGGCATTGGTGTCATTGACAGTTGGGGAACAGAAGTTAAGTTACTACTACTAGGTTTTTGGCGCTTCTTGAGCATGTGTAGTTACTGATCAGCATTAGATTGAGCAGGATGATAAACCAAAGTCAATCCTTTGGCCTGTGGCCTGTGGTTTGTTTCGCGCTTGTGATTGCAAAGTAGCCCCAGTCTGCAGCTTAAAGAAACTGATTGGCTGGATTTTATACATCCGGAATGTATGAGTTTTGGCTGGCTGCGAGGCATGAGCAGGGGCTGGTTTATCTCCTGAAGCAAAATAGCCTGAACAGGGCCGAAACATGTTGAAGTGCTACTTGAAATATGTTGCACTTGCCACAAGATCCAAGGTCATGTACATGCTCGTAGGGGTGCTTGTCGAGGTGGTGCAGGCAAGACATGTTCCATCATGTTCCATCATGTTCCATCATGTTCCATCATGTTCCATCATGTTCCATCAATTTCTCAATGAACTGCAGTCAACTGCAGTCTCACAGGCCCCTAGGTGCGCATGAATTTATTGAATTTATTAAGCACTTCAAGGCTTCAAGGCAGGCAGCTAAACTACGCATGTGAATCGTATACGGGGATACAGATGCCCTATTATATTATCTATTTTATCAAATAATATTTTCGAGAATGTCAGAGATTGTGCAACCCTGGAGCGAGAGTTCTTATCCATATATACATCTTCCGTGCAATTCGTGCATTGATCGATTTGTTGTCAGGTTGTGGCTTCAGTCGAGAAGGAAAGCCTGGCTGCAGGGACACCAAGAAAGATTGATCGGCAACCTGGAGCGTTGCAATATTTTCAGTTGCATTTAACTTCAGAATCTTCGGATAATTTTCTGGCAGTTGCAAATCGAAAGACTTTTCCTTTCTGCTGTGAAGCGGTGCTCAGAATTGAGGTGACCTTCATGTCCAGCGAAATGAGGTGGGCAGGATGGCTGCGTCACAGTTGCTGGCAAAAGGATTGCACTTGGATTGCGCCTCAAAAATGGTCTTTTGAATTCTTTTGATTTTTAATGTCTTTTAATCAATGAGAAATTCGAAGAAAACCACGTGCAGACTGCAGATGACTGCAGCTCTTTATCTTCCCCAGTGGGCCATGATTTGCCAGGCGGCAGCTCATGAAGTTGGGGTGGTCTCCAGAGCAGCCGACGCTCGGCTTCTGATCACTGGGCCACATGCGGCCACATCCTTCCAGAAAGCTGGGTTCCTCTGGTCTGAGCGGTTATGAATTGTGAAGCAAATGTGAAGCAAATGTGAAGCACATGTTCAAGAATGATAAACCACAGCTACGCAACTCAGTTCGAGTGCCTGCAATCAGAATCTCCTTGTAGCCAAGAGATCTGAACAAACGTTACTGCCTTTGTCACCAGGATCAGCAAAAGTGAATTCCAGCGCCTTGTTGTTCTGCGCTCAGAAGGGAGTGTCTTTTTTCCTTTCTCTTGCTATGTAGCGAGCACTGCTTTTGCTGCTGCTTCTGCATGTGGAGTTCACTTGTTGGAGGTGCCAAAAGGTATGTTGCATGAAACTGTGAGGAATGATATCGGCAGTGCATGAGCGTTTTTTCTTTATTCAATACCTTCGGACAAGTGAAATCAGTGGTGGCAGAATAGCGATTAATATACTTGACAGACCTCTCCTACGTTTGAATGAAGCAATTTCTTGGAGACCTGTTCTATGCTCAGTAGTTTCAGTAGTTCATGTCTTTGGGGTGTTTTCAAACTTCTACTGGTGAGTCGTGACCATCGTTGGTTTAGTGGTGAGGTGGAACGACCCATCGCCCGCATTGTGCCTTGGCAAAAGAGCGACCTTCGCGGCTCATCGATGATGTTCAATGGCGCATAATGGCGCTATAGATTTGGCCGGAATTCACACTGATTCAAGAACTGTACTTTAGGAAAATTTAGGAAATAGATACTCGAAGATACTCGAAGATCTTGCTGTTTTGACAGGTGGCTATTAGTCCAGTCGCTTGCATTTCTAGTGATGTCCTGGTGCTTCGAGCATCTCCCCTTCCTTTGCACTCCTTTTTGGGTTCTTCGACCGGTTGTGTTGCTTGCAGATACATGCAGTGGGTGTCGATGTCTACGTTCTTTGTGATGCTTGGCTGCCGTGGTGCTTTACCAACCAGCTGTTGGGATTGCTGAATTGTCATGAATGCGTCGCTGAGGAGATGCTTGATCTGATTTTTGAGGAAGTCGAGCGAGAAGGTCCAGTCATGGCAGTTGATTTCAGAGTTTCAAGTTCCAAACATTTCTTGAGAGTCATAAAAGGTCATAGTTTGGCATGACTTATGAGATCTCCGGTCCAAAAAATGACAACCTTGCAGCCCTCAGTGCTTGTTTTGAGCAGCACTTGGACCGCACAGCAGCAAGCTTCTGTCACCAAAGCTGAGAAAGCTCGGAGAAGATTTCTGCTCCTCTGTCCCTGGTCCCTCTATCAAGGTTTGCTTGGAATGCCATTCAACATGCTGATGGACAACATCTTGAGCGACTGGACAGCAGATGCAGGTGGCAGCGAAACGGCGAAATTCAATGGAGTTGATGTGACTAAGATCCCCATCCAGAGAAAATCTTCTTAACATTTCTTAACCAGATTTAAATGATTTAACCAGGAGATTTCTGACTTACTAAGGTCTTCGTGGTTCGAACCCAGCCAAAGTCAAGGTGCAGCGCGAGATTGTGGGTAGTCACGGGTTTGTAGTGCAGCGACTTGTGGGCTGCTCATCTTCGTTGGGGTAGATTTGCACTTTAGCCCCAGGAAGACAAGCATGTTGATATTAATTACATGATATTGACACATCTCTTGAGGAATTTTCACCTTGCAAAACGGCGAAACGCTTTGTGATTTGTTCTAAACCATTTCACAAAGGGAACTTGTAGTCTTTCGCACCATTCGCACCTGGTCATGGAAGATATGGAAGCTGCCAGGACTGCTTGGGACAATTCAAGATGTTCAAGATTGTCACTTTGGCAGCACAGGTTAAATATGGTTAAATCATGAGTTGGGAATTGGATGGAAGTGGATGGAATTGGATGAAATGGATCAAAGGTGGATGACATGTGATTATGATGAAATATGATGAAATCATGTACCTGCCTCAGAATTTCGATCCTTTCGATCCCTGCCTTGTTCTGAAACCGATATTCTTTTGATTTCTTTGTGAATCTTGTGATACCCTAAGCACCGAGCTTTGGCCCACTGAGATTCTCCATGAACGCCACGAGAGTTGCTTGGCGCAGAATTGGAAGCTGGGAAAGCTGGGAATCTCCGTTTCCAAATTTTCTAAGCCTCGTTTCATCTTTCTGTTTCTGTTTTCTTTACGAGACTTGCTTTGAATCAACATATTGTGCTAAGCACCCAGACATGAACTGGCCTAAAACGAGAACCTTTCCTGTGCAGAAGCCAACCTGAGGTTTGCACACTACACACCATGGCTAGATTGAAGGATTTTCGTGGATTTTCACTAGTCTGCTCTTATGCTTTCCTTTTTCTGCCCTGTGGCTAGACCATCCTTGCAAAATGACACATGCCAGGCTTTGTGTTGTCAAGTCTCTGGTTAGCATCCACAAGAACTCTCTACTGTATGTTCAGTCTTGGATAGCCCGGCTATGGCATCTTAAACCAGACCAGGTGAAGACGGCTAAGACGGTTATATATATAATATATATAAGATATGTTTCAACGCGGACGCAACTGGTCAATGCATAGTTCAACCAGAAAGTTTCCAGCCCCTATACAGTTGAGCCCGAGACCTGAACTGAGACCTGATGAAAAAGTTAAAGCGCGAGTTTGATCGCATCAAAGCCGACGTGACGGATGTGAAGGAGGATGTGAAAGAGATGCGTGAAGCAGATGTTGGGCCGCTCAGTGGAGGGGTAACGCGGGGAAACCACTGAAGAGACTTGAAAAGCATGAAAAAACAACATGTTCGGTTCGGTCCATGCTTCAGCACCAAAGCTGCCACAAACTTTTTGAATCTTATTGAATATATTATACAATACATTCATTGATTTGAGAGAGGTGGAAGGCTGGAGGTCCTTCCAGTTTCATGAGGTGAGGGAAAAGCAGATGCGTTTACTTCAGCCACCGGCGCCGGATGATTCAGACTGAGCTTGGCTTTAGTGGCTGCTGTGAAGACCGCAGCGGCTGCCAAAAGGGAGGGTGTCATCAGAAGGGTGCCCTTGGGTTAATTGAGGAACTAAATCCAGCAGGAAATAAAACTGGATTCATCATGATTCATCCATATTCATCCCATGTATCGACGGATTGCTACAACCTCTTCCAGCATCTTGCAGGCCATGGGTTGGCATGTTTTCGTGGGAAAATGACTGGGGGCACAGCCGAGCCAGGGATGTGGGATTGTCAATGGATCATGGATTAATATGGATTTTCAACTGATTATCATGATTATCACTGTCATGATCTGAGTTTGGGCCAAGCCCTGCTGCCATTTGAAGCCCGTCCCTTTGCGACAAGTGAACTGCCAAAGCCGCGGAACACTGGTTGTGCTCCGATCCAACTTGTCGATTCCTAGGGATCCAACCAGACAGTTTGGAGCTCATCGGATTCTGCACGAGCTTTCTCAACTCATTTTGAAGAGGTTAGCCAGGTTAGCAGCATGTATGAACACATGTGAAAACATATGAAAACAAATATGAAAACATATTTCCTGGCGTCTCTATTATATTCAGATATTATTGTCGGGCCACTTGCATGGTTGTTTACATGGAAATTGAACTTGCTTTCCCCTCGAATGCCTTGTTTGCGGTTCAGTTGTGTTCGGCAAGGCATTTTACCTCCTTTCGGCATCCTTTTCCGTTGTGAAAGTCTGACCTTTGCTCAGGGATCAACTTTGTGCCTTTTCGCCAAGATGGGAATGTACGTTACCAAGCAACATCAATCAACTGCTTTGACAAAGTGACAAAGCAGGTGGCATAGACTCACCGATCCACATCTTCAACTCGTGACACCCGAGGCAACTGACGAAGCAGGAAACAATTACATGCCTGGTTTTGCCGAATCGATTGACAAGTTGAATCATTGTAATCTGCCTCGAGCCTCTGCGTTTCAACCTACAGTAGTTGTGGCGATTCTCTGATGGCGAGGGCGGCAAGCCTTGTGAGTTCAATTGAGAACAAAATTGCAGTTGCTGGACGGGGAGATGCAGAGATGGGCAAAGGTTGCTTCACGGCTCCTGCAGCCATAACATACAGTTTATTCAGTTTGTAACTTCCCAAGACCCTTCAGTGCACTGAAGAAGTTAGAGTACCTGAGAATGAAGTAGGTGTTCTTTTTTGTTTTGCGATTGTGAATAGAATTGTGTCAAAGGCTAGTGTTTAGTACAGCTGGGCCTTGAATCCACCTGCAATATGAACCTGGCTGAACTGTGCCTTGTTGGCGGGTTAACGGTTATATACGGTTAACGGAAGCGAAGAAACACACTCTTGGCAGGCCTGCTCCATCCAAACGCTGTCACGCTCACAGGCCGGGCATTCGTGGGCCATAACAGCCATGATACTTTGATATATAAATAACATATATATATATATATAATATGAGTACAATATATATATAATTTTACAACATCTGCAGGCCGCCTTGGCGGGTCATGCCCTTGCAGCCTTGGCTGCGCCTGGAGGTGTCCGGGTGCCCAGCCCAGGCATCGTCTAAGTTGGCATTGTCTGGGATTTCAGAGCCAGTTGCTGAACATGTTGATTTCATCCAGACAGGGATTCGTCAGTTGAACCAGTTTTGGCTTGCGATGGCTTGCACCAATGCGAACCAATGCTTGTGAAATGTATTGAATCAGACTCGGGATATTTGGTGGGACCGTAGAGTGTTTACATCGGTGGACCCTTTGCACAAACGTTTTATATTGAGGTCTAGGATGTGTAGGTAGGATCTGGTAGGATCATGGAACAACATCCTGGCAGTGCTAAGGACTCATCCGAGGTGCCGACCCCCCAAGCTCCGGACGAGGGTAATGGCTCCTGCTGTCACACCTGTCACTAAGTGAGAACCCTATTGCACACATTGCCCTAGCTTTCGGCTTGAGACCTCCCTGCAAAAAGATGCAAAAAACAGGAACACAGCACACTCCACTTTTCACCATACTTGATGGTGGCATATGCAAGCATCACAAGTGCACCGAAATAAGGAAGGTATGATCTGAAGTTTCTTGCTTGTTTCTTAACATTCAACCTATGCCACAAAAGCAGCTCCCATGATGCTGATCAGCATTTACGGCACACAAAGACAGCAGCCTTGCACCTATATCACCTATTGTGATCTCACTCTAGTTTTCAGCATTTCAGTCCTCTTTTCATCCTCAGGTCGTTTCGAAATCACTGTCGTAGCACTGTCCCAATGAGAAGCTTGGTGTTCGGCGGAGATGCCAGCAGCCCTGACACCAAGTGGGAGCTCACAGCGATATTCTCGCTTTGAAAACAAGGAGAACTGGAGATTAAGCACGGGAGTTAAAACCGTTGGCTGCTTCTTTAAGAGGAGATTTGCGTAAGATTGTGTACGAAAATGTGTACGAAAATGTGTGGACCAAGAACCAAGAAACAAAAAGTGGGGATGGGTCTCCATAGTCCCAGAATGTCCCAGAGATGCCGCACCAGGATGAAACGCAAGGCGCCAGGTGATGGCGATGCCAACGATACGCCACTCAGCTGTGAAAGAAAGTCATGTTACATAGAAATGTGTTCACCAAGCGGAGCAGTCTCAGATTTTTTTACGGACTCTTGAAAGCATGAGGAGTAAGTATTGGAGACCACTTTCCTAGCTTTTCCAAGTTCCTCATTTGTACAAAGCACTGCGAGTTGTCCAAACATGTCCAAACGAGAAGGCACACAGCCATCCCTGGTGTCCCCAAGGTCCTCTGTGGTGGACTTGTTTGGATTGGCAGAGAATCGGAGAGTTTTGCTCGTCGGAGAAGGCATTGAAAAGATATTCTTCATAAATTTTCAAGCGCCATATGGATCCATATGCTGATTCATGCTGATTCATATGGGCCATATGGATCCATATGGCTTTTCTATGCTTTTCTGCTTGCAGCTCTGCTGAGAAAAGCTCAAGTCATGGAGGAAACTTGTCTTTCGCTGCATCGATTTCCAAGCTCACCAACAAGTTCATCCTGATGCTCGAAGCAAATCGTTCTTTTCCAATCTTTTCCACTTGTTCAATCTGTTTTCAATCTTTTTCATGTTGCCATGGTGGCTTTGAATCATGCCATGTCTGAGATGTTTTCGGGTAGGCTGAGATGCTACAAGTCCCCCTATTAGATCTGGCAGCCCCAGGATAGCGTCCACTTACGAGACAGAAGAGCAACATTGCGAGCGCTTTCAGGCTAAACACGCACAATGGATCACAATGGGTAAGCCCAGGTCTGATGTTGCGGAGGGATGGGGCCATGTTGAATTCAATAGTATTTGTAGCGGTTGGACAGACTGGCAAAGTCTATGAGTCTATTGGCAGACAATCTGACTGGATGCCATCTGCCTGTTTGGCTGCAATGAACTCTACGCTGGTGTGTTCTAGTCTTGTGATGTCGTGTGGTTGTTTCAGCAAGTGTCGAGAAAGAATTAACACCGACAACCAGCAGTCGCCAGCCATGAACCATTAGCTTTGACTTTTGCATGCAAGCTGATTGAATTTTCCCTTCAACTTGGGATGACCCTGCAATTTTCTTGGCACGCAGCCAATGCAGGGATCCATTTGTGGTCCCACAGACTTTCCGTTTAGGCCCTCATAACTTTGAAAATGGCACCCTGTGAGCTGATTGGGCATGCTCACCCATAGCTGGCCAGGGGAGTCAAGCACGAACAGAAGAGTTGCGCAAAGCAGGCGCAGTGCCCATTGCAGCCAGTTGTGTACCGCTCTGCAGTAGAGTGATGACTGCGTGGACATCTAAATTATTCTATATAACTTCCAGTCTGAAGCATCTTCATGACCATTTTGAACTTATGTGTTTTCCTAATTGTTTTTCGAGAGGCTTGAAGCATTGGTGCTGCATGTGTATGTATTTTGTTCTCCAAGAAGGCTATGCCGGCTATGCTGTATCTCACCTTTGCATGGCTGTGCAGCAAGAGCCTTTCAGGTGTTCAAGTGCTCTTTGGCGTAGATGCCACCGATTTGGCTAGTACCTTGCCCCAGGCGACTGGGCATCGGTACACTTGTTGTTTTTCTTGGAGCTTGAGGATACGTTTGGACCGTTTGGATTCATTGGCACAGGAAGTCCGAGAACGGCCTTTTGACCGAATCATTTTCCAGTTCCCTCAGCATAAGGAGCGCAACAAGGCGGGGAGAAGATTTTGGCTATCAAAGTGTCACCAAGTCTGATGTCATCCGGGATGTTGCTCCTTCGTATTGGGTGGTTGGTTGATATAACACAGCCACCTTTGTATCAACACTTTCTCCTTCACATCTGAAGTCACTTCTCGCAGATCCACCTGAACCGTGAGCTGCTGTGCACTTTTCTGCGAGAAGCCAAAGCGCTCCTTGCACCTGCAGGAGAGGCGCGGATGGGAGAATCTTGTTGAAAAATCTCAAGCATAGGTTTGACGCGTTTGTAAATTCGCGGCACTTTGTGCATTTTGACTTTTGACGGTCCTGGGGAGTCCCTCCTAATGCGCTTAAAAGGTGTAGAAGGTGTTGGCTGGGAGACCTGGGAGACCTGGGAGACCTGAGAATGGTGAAGTGAACCCATCATGGTCTCTGCTTGGTCAACCGGTCCCCCCTTGTGTCACGGCCTCAGGTGGTGGTGTCCCTCGTGCAAGGACAAGGGGGCACCCCGGCGGAACCGGGTCCAGCCAGGCTGGGAGAGAGACTGGTGAGATCTTGGGATATCTTGGGCAGATTTGGCTCATTCCAACTCCAGCCAGTCAGTGGCACGTCTGTGTAAGCCAGGCGTCCCAAAGACACCTGGCAAGCAGAAGAAATGGGTCTTGAGGTGCGGTTCACAGGCCTTTTTAACTGATGGATTTTGCCACCCTCAGATTTCAAGCACGGTTGCATGGCCTCCCTGTTGAAATCAAGGGTTGCAACATTGTAGAACATTTGGAGGCCGCCACGAAGATTGCCCAGCAAATGCCAGGAACACTGTTGCATAATGTACATCAGATTGTACAAATGTGGCTTTCCTCCTCAGTGCTCTTCAACATCCTTCAACTCTTGCTGACATCACCAACCGTCACCAACCATTCCAATCACGCGAACAAATCTTGCCAGGCGGGCCTGTTGTTGACACGCGTAGTACCATGCCCACACTTGGAGTTGGAGCAGCTTGGCTATGAGAGCACTGGCTACTGAGCTGCACCTGGTAGACATGATTCGTTTCGAAGTCTCAGGTGGAGAATTCAAAACGATATGAAGATTATGAAGGGATCATTTGATCATTTGAAGATATTCATACAACCTCGTACATACCTGTGTCATGTGAGGCTTCCGTGGTCAAGGTCTCAGGGGCTCCACCAAGGAAGTTTACCAGGATACCTGGCAAAGTACCCAGGGGATCCCAGGAATTTGTCGTGAACCTGTGAAACATGGCGAAGGGGATGTGCTGAGTCATGATATTAATTACTGTATATGTCATTACCATGTCATGACCTTCTTGCTTCGTGGAGAGCTCTCAAGGTGGCAATTCACAAATTGACAGGGGCCTTTGGCCAGAAGGTTTTAGCTTCGCGTTCTTGCTAACTCTGGGCGTTTTGATGCGGAGAACCCTACCTAAGCAGATTTTGTATTTTTTTTGTTGATCATGCTGATGGACGGCCAAACCATGCCAGTCTAGCTTCGCCAGATACTGACTGGGGCATTTGGTTCAGCAAATGTCACCGCATCACGTGAGGAGCGAAGCTTCAATTCCAATGGCAGCCTCACACACTGCTATGCTGCTCCAGGTTGGAGTCTGTCCCTGATGTCCCCGTCCTCATGGATTTCCACAACGGGATAGCTGGTTTCAACATGCATCATGGTGATATTCGGGATTTCTTAATGTTTCTTACGAAATTGTTGGATCCAAACAGGCCCAGACCCATCTCAGTTTGTGAAACGAGACTTTGAGATGCTCCCGAGGGGCAGAGTGGTGTAGAAGAATAGGGGCTGTTCCCAGTGAGGTCATCCACCTAAATCATCCTAAATCTATGATTCTACAATTCTACGAAATTCTACATGATTAATCATCATCATGATTCTACATTTGCAGGGGATGGAACATCAGCTGCATTCCCCACAGAGCGCAAGCACGACATTAGTCCGGCATCCTAGTCTGACCTTCGTATCTTGAGATGTTGGGAGTACGGAAAGGTTTGCGAGACAGCTTGCGTGTCCACATCTGGCCTTTGAAATGATTCTTGTCTGCACTGGCCCTGCCATTTTCACTAATTACTTTTCAAAGGTCGCCGTTCTATCGGCATCAACGCTCACTGCAATGAAGCATTGCCAAGCCTTGCATTCACTTGCTGAACATCCACAAGAGTATGCTGGGAGGATTCTCAAGCAGTTTTGATTCAGTGTTTGATTCCGTGTTTGTAGTGTTTAGATCTGTTTTTTTTTGATTCTTTTTGGTTCTCTGTTGACCAGGCTTTTGGATTTCGCCAGATTTCACTGAAGAGCTGCTGCTCCAATGCTTCAGTTCCGCTGCGGGCCGATTGAACGGCTTGCAGCCGGAGGCGGCGCGTTCAATGGGTGGTCTTGCTTGGAGTATTTTTTGTCATATAATTTTGCAGGTATTCAAAATTGTTTAGTATCTATGATAGGTTCCGTTGAAATACTCAGTTCCTTTCTCACTGCATCATCTTCTATGTCTTTGTATCATCTGAGTCTACACATCTCAAACTTCGACATGACATGCAGCCGAGAGAGCCACAGTTGAAGCTGCTTGACGAGTACTGCAGCCCTTTGGATGGACGGCACGCCAGAACATACAGGCGTAGATGATCGTAGATGGGCATGGCGGCATGGTGCTAAAGATGCAAACCCATGTGGCAGATTGTGGCAGTACAACTGTTCACGGATATGGATTTCCGAGACCCAAGCTCTAGCGACGTGATATCAAACTTTGAATTTGTCCCGAGGCTAGGTAGCTTAGGTGCCAGTTGTGTGAAATCTTGAGGCACGATATGATACAATTAAACGAGTGCATGGCTGTTTCTGGTGTTAGTGCCTGTGCTTGTGGTCGTAGTGGTGGTCGTGGTGGTAGTGATTTTAGCGGTGGTTGAGGTGGGTGTAGTAGTGGTGGTGCAGGTAGCTGAGGTTGCTGGACCACCTACCCAGCCTCTAGCCGTTTGAGATTTTTGCCAACACTTCGTTGTTGAGGGTGCAGGATGGTGCAGGTGTTTGCTCGGAAATAAAAATGAGGACCCCGTGGTTTGTGGTTATGCTCAGTTGCTATTTCCAACTTGTTGCGCTTGTGGTCAAAACTTGAGAATTGTGTAACGAAAATCTGGCGTAGCCAGGTTTGGCCTCATGACAAGTTAATGTTAAATGTTATATAATATTTATTCATATCTTATCACTTACAATGACTTACAATTTACAATTGGATTTTTGGATCAGGAGTCAGTCGTGTCTAGAGCCTCACACACACAGATGCAGGCTTTCCGTCACCAGCAGCACCAAATGCATTACTCAGGAGAGGTCGAGGGAAGGGAAAAGCTTGGGAAAGACACTTGCGCGCCTTTGCACTTTGGGTGGAGCAAGGCTTTATGACAACATACCTCATCAAGTTGAGGCTTTGTGACTCTGTGTATTGTTTTCTCATCTCAAGGTGTTTCCTCAGGATGCAGATGTCCATGTTTTTCCCTCTGGAAGGATGTGTGGAAGCACCTTTGCAGCGACCTGCGAGAACGCCTGATGCAGGCAGGCATCGTAGTGCCCAACAAAGAGGCTTAGAGGCGCCATAATTATCCAGCCACATTTTGACAGAATGCCAAAGCCTTTTCTCTTCCTGACAAGTTCCTCAGGAATCAAGATGCTAACAGAGCCTCAGGATAGTTTTTTCCTTTTTTAAATGTTTTTTGTTGATTGGCAGTTGAATCAGTCTTTGGGTTGCCATGAGTCCCAGCTGAATCATCAAATCATAGCTGGTTACTGCCAGAGGATCTTTCAGCGCCAGGATCCTTCAGTGGAGCCGAGAAGATCGCAGAAGAAAATGTTCGGACCGTGCAGAAACTCATTCTCCATCTTCAGGATTATTGTTGCTATTGTTTGGGTATCCAGGCAATTGACCTACAAGAGCGCAGTAGATTGTTCAAGGGGTTCAAGGGGTTCAAGGGGTTCAAGGCTCCTTGAGTCCCCTAATGGGGTGTTTCTTCTGATATTTATTGGTTGTTCAACTGCATTTGCTGCAACTTTTGAGACAAGTTGATGGAAACTTCCGCCCGTGCCGGGCCCTTGCCGATTTCAAGGTTCTTTACCGGCGCAGAGACAAAATGTTCAGAAGTTATGAAGTGTGCGGGAAACCGCTGGTCGTGCCGCAGTGCCCATGACAGCGGCAAAAACTATGGAAACTGTTACCAAGGCCAGTGAGGAAGACATTTATTTGCAGGAACATGCAAACATCTGAATTTGGCCACATCCATCAACCAGCATCCGACTTCCGAGCATTCCAACTCCTTCAATTTGGTCTGGGGGTTTCATGATGATCGCCTCAACTTGACACAAACATTTGGATGCAGGAATAAGGGAACACCTCCAGACAGCCAGGTGCATAGAGTGCAAACCCAACAGATCACAGATCCAACTTGTCAGCTTTCCTACCCGAAACAACAGCCGTGGTCGCTGTAGTTTGAGTCGGGTTGAAGTGGTCAGCAACTAGTGGCGGCCACAAGTTATGCCGCTGCCGAGTACGCCTCCATCAGGACCCACTCGAGCCATTCAGCTGCATTTAAGGGGATTCTCCCAGATATCCTTCGATGGTTTCATGATGTTCACAACACCGAGGCGCCGCTCTTACCGCGCTTTTGTGAGCTGGAAGAGACAGATGATTGGCTCCTTGGCGTCACCAAGCTGCTGGAACTCGCTTCAACGGCTATAAGATGTCATAAGGGTTGTGTTTCTGGTTGATAGGCCATGGGAAAAACATGGAAAAACTATAAACACTTGGGCTCCTGGCATGAGGTTTGCAGATACATGGGCAAAAGATGGCAAAAGGGGAGGGTACCTGTCAATATAGAGCGTTTGGTACCGCCCCCCAGGTGCCCACAGTCTCCTGGCTCGTGATGGTTGTCAAACATATATATATATATATAAATATATATATATATATAATATATATGGGTTAATGGGTCAAGAATCATGAGCTAGGTTTTTCAATGTTTTTCATGTTTTTTCTGTTTTGCATCATTATCCAATCAGAACGGGGTAGTATAAGCATATGTACACAATTATAGCGACGGACAATCAGTTAGAACGTATTTTGGAAAACAAATCTGAATCTTTCACGCTTTTTGGACGTTCTAAGTGATTATTTGTCTACGTTCTAAGCACCCCACGTAGAACGTTCAAATATCAAGATTCATCACTTAGAACGTACCGGGGAATTTAACACTTAGAACGTGTCTAGGTCAATGATGATAGTGGAAGGGCTTGTGAAATCTTTTATCTCTTAGTGTTGGATTCAGCAGCTAATTCCGTAGGAAGCATAGACATAATTTCGTACCATTTGGCTTTTCCCTCCCGTATGATTTGCAAATATTGGCGATCTTTTATCTCTGGAACACTATACCTTTTGGATCCTTTTGGTGCTTTTTGGGGGTTCTGTCGTGAAAAGGCACCACGTCATCTTGGCCGAGCCGGGCTGAGGCATGAATGTCAAGATCAAGATCTGCCTCAAGCCGGGTGCTGCTCCAGGAGCTCATGAGAAATGGGTATCATTTTGCCTGGCTGTGCTCGCACAGTGACATAACATATATGATTATATAATATATACGTATATTATATACTCTTATAATATAATACAATATGATACTACATTATTCTATATACTTAATATAATATGTGTACACACACACATATATATATACATACATACATATGTGTACATTTGCAGATCCATACACATGAACATACCCGGTGGAGCATTCCTGCTTGTCCAATACCACAACGCTGTCCATTTGAACTTGGTGCCGCAGGAATATTAGCACTTTTAGCACTGAAAGCACACCGTCCTGGCGCTCAGCGTGGCCGGTCTAGGACTGTCGAGGAGTTTACGATATGATAAGATGTGATTGTGGCAGCAGATAGGCTGATAGATAGATAGATAGATAGATAGATAGATAGATAGATAGATAGATAGATAGATAGATATATGTATATATGTATATATGTATATATGTATATATGTATATATATATTATATTATGTATGTATGTAATGTAATGTAATGTAATGTAATGTAATTTTTAATGTAATGTAATGGTATGGTATGGTATGGTATGGTATGTATGCATGCATGCATGGATGTATGGATGTATGTATGTAAGTAAGTAAATAAATAAATAAGTAAGTATGTAAATGATATATGGCAGATCTTCTTGCAATCCCATCATGACATGAGCGATTTTTTGAATTATTGACTCCTGAGATGCATTGGGCAGTTGCCAACGTCCATCTCAGTTTCTCCACGGACCTCCTGCCACTAAGTTGGTTCTTGCAATGGGGGGAATGAGCTGGAGTTCTTCCGATGGAGTGAAGCAGTTGAAGACTCTTCGATCTTTTGAACGCTGTTTGGCTACTTCCTACATCTTTCCTACATCTTTCCTACATTTTCCCATTGGATACTATTGAAATATATTCAACACGCTATTGGATTGGTGCCATCCCATGCCATGTCACCGGAAATCGGTGCGCTTAGGATGACCACAGGGCGTGCCATGGTCAGCGGTTCCGCCAGCCCCGTGGGCTCAGGCCATTTTGACCATCCTTTCAGATCTTCGATATCTGGTATTGATTGTAGATATACCCTCTGGTTATTTAACATAGCCATGGTATAGATGGCCCATTTATAGATGGTTTACCTATTAAAAATGATGATTTTCCATGGCTATGTTAAATAACCAGATGGTAGATATAAATAGACCTTTATATATAGGAGATTATCGATATGTCGATATCTTCGATTTTTTGAATCTCTTCCATAAAATGAAATGAAGACAGAGCGTTTTTTAATGATCATGGCATATCATGGCCAATGTGGGAATGAACACAGACACTTGAGACACTTTTGATTTTCCACCAGTTTCTGTAGCCTCCTTCATGTTTGCATTTTCAGCTTGGTGGTCCTGAAAGTTCAATGCTAGGCACGTGACCATAACGGGGGACATCCCGATATTGATATCCATCAGCATGTGTGATGTTCCTGGAAACGTCACCATGTCCTGAAAAACACAAAGTCTAGTTTGCGATCAGTTTTGGATGGTCTTGTCTATTGAGTCATTGAGCCATCCACCATAAAAAGGCATGCAAAGAACAGTCGACGTTGCTTCAAGCTTCCACACTCTGCCACAGGTCCTTCACAGCTGGTCACAAGTGTGGAATCCCAACGAATCCCATATTGTGATGGCAGGGGGAGGCATTCAGTTTCTTTTTCACTTGAAGCGCTCATTGATGTTGCAAGTGGGATGACGGAATATGGGAATGATGGAACCGTGGAAACATGGTGTGCACGTTGTGCCGTGCTAAGGTTGGGATTGCACCTCCGGGTACCGGACACCAGATCGTCCCAGAGGCTTCATCAGGTGAGGGCCAGGGGGTGACGATCCGCGGGCAGCAAAGATCTTGATGTCTACCTGGTTCGGTGCGCAGGTAAGGCCATATCGTCATATATGGTCCACATTTGAGAGAACTCTGTGTGATTGGTTTCATGTTTAGACGATTTTTTGAAGGCTATACAGATCAAAGTCAATCAGAATGTTGCTTTGAAATGCTTTAAAACAGTCTAGAAGCTGGACGATGCTGGCGTGATATGGTGGGACATAGAACATGAATGATGCCAGAGGCAGCTCTGTTGACCTTCCATTTCAGAATGTCAGCAAAGACAACTTCATCACCCAAGCAGAGTTCGTGCATGTTTTTGATCACACCCAGATTCTTCCAGATTATTGTGTTGGAAACACATGAGTCACACTTCCCATGGAACGCAATTATGGAAAATATGATAAAATATGAACTTTCAGACTTCCATTCTCTCTGACCCAAAGTGGTCGTTGACCCGAAGCGTCTGTTTCAGCCCCTGCAAAGTCCAGCAACTACACCCCGATGCAGGTGCTTTGAGCGCAAAGAGCCTGAGCAAGTTGTTAAGCGACGGCAAAGCACTTCCAGCATTGACAAGTTGTCTCATGAGGCCAGGGGCATAGCGCCTGGGGATCTTCGACCAAGCACCAAGTCCATGCAGAATGTCAAGGATTGATGATGCATATTTTGATGCATATTTTTGCGCTGTTTCCAGTGACCAGGCATTGTTAGCACCTGCGAGGGAGCTGCGGCGAATGTCACTGGCACCGCCAGTGGATGCAGAGAAGCTGGGGTCTCAATGGCAAGATAGCGCCGTACAGATCCGTACAGGTCGTGTGTTCAATCGAAGTCCCATCCCTCACACCGTGGACTGATCTGAAACTGCTTGTTGGATGCTGGCAGCGACAGGGCTCAAAAGGAGCTTGAAGAGACGAAGAATCTTCTTGAGAAATGTCTGGGAACTTGGGCGGAGAGTATGGGACTGTGATGTCAAACATTTTGCAGATGGTGAACCTGGTGAACTGGGCCTTTTTGGATTTGCCTTGTTGTCTCAGCTCTGTCCTGTTTCCCGGAACACCAAGCAGCTTTGCAGAAGGTTGCAAGGCTCACGAGTAGCCGTTCCATGGTAGACCATGCTACGCCCAACTGTGCTCTGCTACACCCTTTCCAGGTATGTCTGACCTAGCAGATCAGAAAATGTATGATCAGATGCTTGAGAAGTTCAGGCCTGACGGAAGGGAGAAGCCAGAACAGGACAATCAGGTTCTTATGCTGGACATATGAAAGTCTCGGACTGTGAGGCTCGAGAAATTTCAAAGCAATCCGTTAGATTGGGGGTCCCGCCATGGTGGTGTGACCGCACCCGGTACCCAGATGAACCAGCTCGGATTGCGAGGGAGATCATGCAGGGCGTCATCCATTTGAAACCACTCCAACACGATCCTAGTCGAGGACTTGGAGGACCCTGTGGTCCTTATTGTCGCTAGCTCAGCCTACCTGAGGTGCCCGCATGTAGCTCCCATCCAGAAAACACAAGGAATCTGATAGATTGGGGGTCCCGCCATGGTGGTGTGACCGCGCCCGGTACCCAGATGAACCAGCTCGGATTGCGAGGGAGATCATGCAGGGCGTCATCCATTTGAAACCACTCCAACACGATCCTAGTCGAGGACTTGGAGGACCCTGTGGTCCTTATTGTCGCTAGCTCAGCCTACCTGAGGTGCCCGCATGTAGCTCCCATCCAGAAAACACAAGGAATCTGATAGATTGGGGGTCCCGCCATGGTGGTGTGACCGCGCCCGGTACCCAGATGAACCAGCTCGGATTGCGAGGGAGATCATGCAGGGCGTCATCCATTTGAAACCACTCCAACACGATCCTAGTCGAGGACTTGGAGGACCCTGTGGTCCTTATTGTCGCTAGCTCAGCCTACCTGAGGTGCCCGCATGTAGCTCCCATCCGGAAAACACAAGGAATCTGATAGATTGGGGGTCCCGCCATGGTGGTGTGACCGCGCCCGGTACCAAGATGAACCAGCTCGGATTGCGAGGGAGAGCACGCAGAGCGCCTTCCATCATCAACCACCTCAACACGATCGCGCTCGAGGGGCTGGAGGACCCCATAGCCCCTAGTCTCTAACTCAGACGACCAGAGGCGCCAGACGCGGAGCTCCCATCCGGATCAGAGAACCTAAGGAATCTGATAGATTGGGGGTCCAGATCACGCAGGGCGTTTTTCAGAGTGCCCAGCACACACACACATATACATGTACCGAGGACACTTCGTGCCCTCATTCCATTCGGGAGCTAGTCGCACAGCTGTGACAGGATAGCCCGCTGAAATCCCACATGCCTGGGCGCGAGCTGCCGAGTTAGGAGCTCACGCCCCCAAGGCTATCCATGGCCATCCTTCCTATGAGTGGGTCGTTTTCACAATCAAAAGCAGTTGAAGCATTGATTTATTGTAGCTGACGAGTGCTGGACACATATTCATCATGGCGTTACATGATATTGGATTTTCTTTTTAGTGAAGGCGAATGGATTGCCAAGATGCGATCTAGTCGGTGTCTGTTGACGCTCTGTACATCTATAGGAAGCGCATGTTGAGCGGCTTTGTATACAGATGAAATTAAAAGCCTTAAGCCAGGTAGCATTGATAGCCAGCCCCTTCCGGATTCTATGCGCAACTAAGAATCTTCTGAAGGTTTCTCACCGCCTCTGGACCGCGGAAGCTGGAAGCTTACGTCCAACATGTCTCCGTTTCACTGAGGTTTCATTTTTTTTTTTGGGGATCGTCCGTTGACTGGCATCAGGGCACAAGCACTGAGGGAAACCTTCTGGACACATTTCCATACTGATACATTTGAATCCGCTATGCCCACACCAGCATCATCGGCACACACCTACCCAAACAGGAATCCTGACGCTAGGCGCCCAGGCCCTTCGTAACTGTCGTGTGAACCTCAGTTGCAACATCCGACCCGACACGACTTCGCCAGACGGTGATTCGGATCACAGTTTATCCAGAACCCAGGGTCGATGTTTCCAGAGAGGGTTTGTCATCACTGTCTAATTTTGATTGCGGGTGCGTTTGCACATGCGGTGTTTCGTTTCCTTCAATTTTGGGTCACATGTCGACGGGGGGGGCTCCCCGTCCTCTCATTTGTTTCATTTATTCTACCCGTCTTACCGTATCCGACGAAACAGCCGGCCTGCCTAGGCTGAGCTCCAGTCGTAGCCTTAGACATCAACCGACCAGATCGACACGCACCGACACCATTGAGCAGAAAGCCGACGCGAGCATTCACTGACCTGGTCAGGAAACACTTTGTTTTGTTCAAGCTGCGAGCAGCAGCCGGGCCAATCAGCCCTCGATGTGGGCAGACATGTGAATAGGCGCGGTGCACGTCGCCCTTTCTGCACAGCCAGCTCGCGCAGAGCAAGCAGAGAGGCACGATCAGTGCCTTCGTAGCATTCTGAGTGGTAGTTAGGGGAATCTCTGTCATTTGGACGGTCCAGGTGGACAGGGGCACGCGTGTAGCGATTGATCCCGATCCAAACAGGACGTCCACGCACATGTTGTGAGCGAACAAATGCGGCGCATTGAGCCACCTTCACAGCGTCAACCGTTGTGACGAATGTGACGGTCCATAAGACTCAAGTTTCCTTTTCTGACAGATAGATCTCTGTGATAGGGGATATATTACCTAGGACCGTTTCCACCATTGCTGTTTGACCTCACCATGTCACACATATTAGCCATATCTAGCCATTCACTGTTTCAGGCATGCCAATTTTGAACACATCTGTGCTCACATCGGCTCAACGCACTGTGCCACCAGCAGAGGCGGCCGCAGCACGCTAGCGGTCGCTGAACCAAGTGGGGGAGATGGCTCAATTCAGACATGTCGTCGAGGCGGCCAAGGCATCTGGAGCGGCCGAGTGGCTGCCACGTTTGGTGGAGAAGGACCTGACAGACCCACCCACACTCCTTCAACATCCCTCAGTGGTTTTGGAGACTGGCATGCCGCCCGAGGTCTGGCGCGTCTTCCAGGACAGTCTCCGACAGCAGGATGGCGCAACGCCACAAAACGCCATCACAGATACGGACAGCCGGGCTGTCTCACACAGAGGAGCCGCACCCATTGCACCACCTCGAGACCTGGTTGCGTTTCTGACAGCCATTCACGGACCACAGAAGGGGAGAGTGGCCAGCCAGCTGGACGCTTGCGACATCTCCGCCGTGGACACGACCAACATCCAGTTATGGACGCGTGATCGCCGCGCCACATACCACATGATTGTAGTGGGCAGTCAGTTTCTCACGACCACCGATGAACTGTGGGCCACTTCTCGGTCACACATACAGCTCGATGGCTCTCGGAACGTAGTGACCTGGACACTCCCCACTGGACTGCCGGAGACACAGGCAATCACCGTTGACGTGTCCCTGGGGTGCAGATGCCCAATCATGGGACAGCGGCTGTGCCCTTACCACAACATGGTGGAGCTGCTGAACCTCACAGATTCGAAAGGAGAGACAGATCGGCCATTCGCCCACATGGGGGCCCAAAACCCTGCCGACCTCCTCAAGAACATCGCCCACATGTTGGAGAGTTCCAGGACCTCAGAGCACCCAGTCCAGACGGCGCCACCTTCAGGTTGTCTCCGCACCACAGGCGCACGTTTCTTGAGACGACTAGGTCTCAGCCCAACACTCATCACACAACTCGCTCGTTGGGAGAGTGACACGATCTTGGGCGCCTTGGATTGCATCCAGCTTAGCACCGATGTCACCCAGCAGAGGACTGGCGACTCTCCGGGTGACAGCGATGCAGAGATAGAGGCCCTGAAAGCCGGCATCCAGGCTGATATCTTGTCAATGGCACACCATTGCCATCAAATGATCCGAGAGACCACAGCCCTCAACCGGGCCTGGTTGGCAACCGCAGAAGAGAAGCCGTAGCGACCTTGAGCACCTGGAAAGTCAGATCCACACAGAGCGCAAGACCGCGACAAGTCAAAAAAGGGGAACTGCGCCGAGTCGGTGACACCTATAGGAATTTTATTTGTTTCTGCACTAACGCCAAGATCTTTTAGAACTCACACGGTTGCTCTTGAGCGCAAGAGCCCGGGCAGTTAGAGCTGGGCTACTCAGCATGCAGATCATGCATCATTTGGTCAGATCCTCACTGCATGTTCGATGTGAGTCCGAAGCTGATCAACCATCAGTTTGGTTTTGTTTCCTTTCTGCTGCAGGTTGCCAGTTGGATTCCGACCGAATCTGCTGCGGCATCACATGTTCTGCTACACACTTTAGTTATGTTTGTGCACACCTGAGACACCCTGTTTCTTTTGGTTAGGGTGCCGCCCTCACGCGACAGGGCAAAATTCTTTTTGTATCACAGAGGCCAGGTTTGTTGTGTGTTTTAAACATAACCGGCTCCCCCAGCCGAGCCAGGTGGGGGATGCCGTACTAGTCTATTTTCCCTGACGGCAAGTGACCGTGTCTGTCACTCAATGTCCAGCGACGCACGCCCAGCGTCTGGCTCAGAAACACTCACTAAGTTGTCCCTGCCGGACACTGTGGTGAGCCATGACACCCGTCAGCCCTGAACTCCAGAAGCTGGCTGCTGAGGCTGGTGTGGATCACTCCGTGGTGCAGTACTTGCAGGCGCGAGGCATCGTGTCAATGGGGATCCTGGGGGCCCTGGCCAAATCCTTCGATGAGATTGATGCAGCAGTGGTCCAGCCGTTCATCGCTGGCCACAATATAGCCGGTGTGACACACCAGGCTGCACCTGACACAGAACCCGTGGTGACCGCATCAATCAGGTATCTATGGAAGAAGAGCTGGACGCAGCTCAACACCGTCCAACTTGTCAAGACCACGCCCATCATAGTGAGCCAAGCCCCATCGGCTGCCACAGCGCCCATGGAAATCCCAGCTGAAGAACTTCAAGAACTCGTTCAGCATTATGAGAACCAGATGATTGACGGAGAGAAGCGCTACTTCCCCATCAAGATGCTGCTCGGCGCAGAAAAAGTGATCGCCAGGGCTTGGCACGAGAATCGCACAGCCCCACAGACCCCCTTGCTGCTCCCAGAAATCCTAGTCCTGCGTCATTTCGACGCATCAGGCGGCACCAATTCGCTCGCAATCTCCTCGACAGAAGATCAGCAGAAATGGTCGCCCAAGGGCGTCCTCAGCATCCTCAATGCCTTGGATGCAGTCATGTGGTGCTGGCTCCTGATCCGCATCGGGAAAGAGCCACACATTCTGGAATACATCCAGTGGTGGCGCCAATTGGTACGCGGCAAGTCCGCCAAGCTGGAACAGATCAAAAGTTACTGGGTGGACTGCGGATGGAAACTCGCCCTCGAGCTTCGCCACGGCCGCAACTTCCGGGAGATCACCCAGGAACTGATGCTGGACCAACACGGGCTCCAGACAGCGCTGCAGAAAGCCCCTCCCATCATGCCAAAAGCCCGTCCAGCACAGCCGTCAGCGCCAAAAGCGCCGGGGAATACACAAGAGACGGGCCACAACACACAGGGACAGAAGCGCTGGCGATCACAAGATCACAGCTGGCACTATCCCCAGAAGAAGTAGGCCCAGAAACCTAGCTCCAGACGTGCTGACATGAATTGGCCCAGCATTCGCGAGGTCTGACGAGTCAGCCTACAGAAGGCACACAAAGTGCCTGCATCATTTCAACAGCACAGGAACCGACGGAACCGCCCGCCGGACGAACCAAAGCGGTTGCGGCCTGGAGACTTCCACCCAGAGATCAATGCATGGTATCTCAGTCAGAGTGTGTTCGCAACTTCATCAACACTTCGTTGCTTTCATGCTGCTCACACGACGCACTTGCTGGAGGACATCACAAGCATTCGGCGTCCGTTGGCCTTTTGGTTTGACTAGCGTCCGCTTATGGACCTTGAAGATGGTTTGGACAGGTCTAGTTTGTGCACTATTGACACATCAGGTTTCCATCAGACTGTTGCCATTGATGGGCGACCCATAAGAAACGGATCGGACGTTTAAGTCGGTTTCCCAAATAACTGCATTTCCTAGCCATGCCCGTCCGGGATGGTGACGTCACCCAGCCGAGCCAGGTGGGGACCCAGGGTTTCCTTGTTTGTCATCCTGTGGAAATTGCCAGATGCCGGCAGTGAGGGCCCATCCTCGGGAAGACACCACAGTACACATCACTGACCTCCAACATTGTGTCTCTAATGATTGGGGATCTCACACAGGGGTCTGATGAATAAGTGTCTTAGTCAGACACAGCCACGTGATCTACCTGACAGGCACCGTTTCCCAGCCGAGCCAGGTGGGGACTCTTGAGCGTCACTCGAATAGCAGTGACACCCTTGCACACTGCCTGACCTGTGTGCAACCATCCAGTCACAACTGACTAGTGCATAATATTGGTTCCATAGGTTTCTGAGTCTCGCTTGCGCCAGGAAGATTTCCCAGCCGAGCCAGGTGGGGAACCCTGTGCATTTCATGTCTTCACTAAAGTAGTTGCTAGATCACTGCTCACCGAGCGACCTCTGCTGACGCGGGCATCCGGTCTGGGCTCGAATTTTTCCTTTACGTTTCTCTGTTTCCCCTCCCTCAGGACATGTTTCCCAGCCGAGCCAGGTGGGGAACCCAGGGCATCTCACTAATAATGGCCATGGCACCATTGATGAAGTGAGTAGGCCCTCACCATCCTGTCACAAATGACTGGTGCATCAGGTGAGGGACCTGATTTCTGCGTATTCAGTATCATATGAAACCAGCAGACATCGTGTTGACGTGGCACTCACGCCACAGGATATATGGTTTCCCAGCCGAGCCAGGTGGGAACCCAAGGCCATTCATACGAACATGTGGTGGACAGTGCCAAACACTGGTCCTCCCACGTAGTTTCACACTAGGCAGTGGTCAACACCGACCACACGTCGGAACCGTCTACATGCCCTTCATGTTGCAGCCAAACCAACACTAGTGCCCTTGATTACAGAGTGTCAAACGTTTCAACTCGCAGGAACCTTCTCCAGATGCGCCAGGTGGGGCACCTAGGGCCCTTCGCGGTGCGCACAGAAATTGATCGACACCACTGCGAAGTTCACAGAGACTTCGAAGTGTTACAGACCTTGTATTAGCCCACCGGTAAGTGTCCGATGGCATGCGTTGGTTTCCCCCCCTTGGTTCACGGTTGGTTTGTGATCCATCAAGCAGTCGGACCACAACTGCCACTTTTGCTTCTTTGAAAGAAATGTCAATCAATTTATCAACACTTGTTCCCAACTGTGCCAAGTCGAATATGTTGGGTTGCATTGACCCATCTGTGGTCCCTGACAACCCATTCAAGTCACTGCGACTGCTCAACCCAGGCACATCCGGAAGGGCTGCGAGACTACACATGGTGGCCTTTGGGTGCTCATTGGCCACGCAACGTCACATCACGAGGAGTGGGCTGCACCAGAGTGGCCAAAACATGGGTCTAGCCAACTGAATATGGGCATTGCAGCCACAGCCGCATCATCCCTGTGGCTACCTGATAGTGGGAATCCTGGGGTCCCCACCACCTGATCTAGTTTGTGAGCGGGGAACCGCATCGACATGACGTCGCTGGAGTAGCAGAACCCAACGCGAATTTCTGGAAGACCACACAAGATCTGCCACAGTCCCAACAGTCCTCTAGCGCCTCACATTGAATCCGCACGCACAGCGACTCCAAGGTGGAAAAGCTGATGCTGACCATCCTCCCACACACACCCCCCTGCACTCATTGCCTTTTGGATGTGACGAGTATTTCTTTGCTGCACAGTGCGAAAATATGGCCGCCACGAGTCGCACTACTATGGGTTGGATTTGACCAAAACAGCATCAACAGGCTGTTCTGGGTGCGACCGACAGGCAGCGAATCATCCAAAAGGAAGGCCTAGTGCAGACGATCAGTGTGGACGGAATGAGAGTGAGAGGCTGAAATGTTTTGTAGCACAAGTATTGTGCGTAGGAACATGAGAAGACTCGATGCCGAATGCCGAAGGTGTGAGGCTCGAGAAATTTCAAACCCACAGCCACCCACCCCAGCTGCCAGTTGCACAGAGCGGCCTGCCGGTGCGGGTTGGATTTGACCAAAACAGCATCAACAGGCTGTTCTGGGTGCGACCGACAGGCAGCGAATCATCCAAAAGGAAGGCCTAGTGCAGACGATCAGTGTGGACGGAATGAGAGTGAGAGGCTGAAATGTTTGTTCAATAAAAATCTTCACAGCAACGCGCTCGTTCTGTTCCAGTTGAAATCTAAAGCAATGAGAAGAAGTGCATCGTGCACTGCTGGTAAATAATGCTGCAGTGACCTATGGGAAGGATAAGTATCCCCAGCACCCACACAAACACACACACAGCGCAAAATCATGCAATGTCGTACTGACCAGTACACAGGTGTTTGGAAAATGTGTTTGGAAAATCAGGAGAATCAGTCTACCGGTCTACCGGTCACGCTTTCATCCTGCAGACTTGCTTCTTTGGCCTGCGAGTTGAGGCCCTTTTTGACAGCGCTCTCACGGGCAGAACCATGGCTGAAATTGGTGAAAGCGTGGTCACCTTGAGGCCCACAAAATAGATAGCAATTCATAGAAAAAAACATAGATACTGATAGATACTGATATACTTTGGTAAATTGATGAGTGGGGCCCGTGGACAATCACAGCCTGGCCCCCTGGGTGCGGGAAGATTCTTCCATTGTTGCGAAAACCAACAGAGGTTTCCTGTGACACCTGTGTAGCATTGTGTAGCACCATGTAGCAGTGGCACTTGTGGTAGATTGTAGCACCATGTTGCACTCCCTTGCAGGTGGCAAACGGTGGCAACCATCCCGGATGTCACCCCCTTATCCTCGACTCCCAAGGAACAACTCCTCCGCCGTGAGCAGCCTGAAACGCTGCTGGGTTTCTTGGAACCTAAGGCCGAAATGGATCCGAAAGGATCCGAAAGGATCCGAAAGGATCCGAAAGGATCAGCTGGTCACAGAAACTTCTTCCAGCGCGATGAATTCTGTTTTGTACATCAGCATTTTCTGAAGCTGTGCAAGAAAGAACATCTGTATGATCCTATATGATCCTAAAGTCCAATGCCATCCAAGCTACCTGACCAGGGAAGAATTTTGACGTTCCTGCTAGAGCTTCTGAAACCCATGGCAACTTTTGACAGCTTTCGTCACTTTCATCTCCAAACGTTGTCAGTTCTAGGATGTTCCAGGGCTCCAAAGGGTTGCTGCGAGGTACCGGCGCCAGACGCACTGCTCACTGAATGTGCTCTTGCAGCACCCTTCTCAGGAAGTTAGCACGATATGTTGTGCTTGATATTGCCCTGTATTGCACCTAAAGCAGGTCAGATCGCTGAAATTCAGCTCTGCTTTACAGGTGTGATTCGTGGCTGGACGTGTATCACCGTGAAGGCCTTCTGGCCAGAACGCCTCAGGAGCTAAGCTCGTGCCTAGAAATGGGTTCCCAATGGCTCAAGTACCAGAAAAGTATCCAAAGATAAGAAAGATACCGTAGGATGCTGTAGGTATCCATAAGACAGGTCATAAGTCATAAGTCACTGATGAATTCGTATCATACTTTCAAGCCAAGTGAATCTCCCACCGGGGAGTCGACCAGTACAGGAGCTGCTGCTGGCGCTGCCCATGTTGCAACGTCGCCGGGTGTCGAAGATTCCGGAACCTGATTTGCTCAAGGTCGTGGAGGCGGGTCTAACCGTGGGGAGCCTGGTTGGATCATGTTGGATCCTGGATTGGGCGTTGGGCACCAGGCTCCATCGCCACCGGTGATCTCCCCGACGTGTGGGAGCTGAGTCACAAAGTTCACATGGTGAGACTTGGTGAGTATTGACATGTATTGACATGTATTGACAACCATTAGCAACTACAAGGCGATACAAGGCGTTTGATTTGATGGCATCCTGGTGTGGGTTGAAGATGATGCCAGAGTGTAGCAAGTTTGGGCACACTGAGGCGTCGCGCCGCCGTGGAGGCAGATGCCAAAGTCATGCGGGAGAAGCGTCTGCGAAGGTGTGGTGGCATCAAGTTGATTGGTTTTGCACTGAAGAGACCCGCTATCTATCCCCAAGCATTTGTGTGACAGGGCAACTAGAAGGCCAGAGGAGTCGCTGGAAGATCTACTGATTAAGAGCAGGGATCAAGCAGAGGCCTGGCATTTCCACAGGGATGGACTTTTTCCATACCTTTTTAAGCGGATGGCTGGGCAGTACTTTGCCAGATATGACCAAGAAATGCCAAGAACATCCAAGGTTCTAAGAACATCACCGTGAAAGTTGGACAGAAAGGTGTGAAAGCCACACTTTGGATATGCTGGAGGCGTTGGACTATGCCGCTGGTGGAGACTCTGATGAGGCGCGAGAGACGGGGATATTGAAAGAGACAGAGAGGCCATCAAAAGCACCCACCGACCCCCAACACCGTGTTTGATACTATACTGTACTGATATGTACTGATACTATCCAATACTACCCAGCTGAACTAGGCCGAAGCCAGATGAAGCCAGTAGATTTGGGGGTTTGGTGTGCCTGGCTGCCTGGCTGCCTGGCAGGTTCAGGTGGCTTTTGAGACTTTCCACCGTGCCGTCGCGGACCCAGTGGAAGCAAGGCCTCGATGTCTCAGTCCATCACTGACGGCCTTGGGATGTAAACGTCGGCAACCACTGGCTTGTTTGCCGACCCTTGGAGTCAGGGTCACGTGACGACGTTCCAAAAGTGCCTCTAGGGAACGGAGTTCAACATGCAGTCCTAGGGATTCCTAGGGCACCTGGTGATTGGAGACATCTCGGGAGGCTGAGGGTGTCCTTAAGCCTTATAAGCCTTTATTAACAAGGATTCTACCAGTAATGACTTAAGACCGAAGTTGCTCACATTCTGAAGTAAGATCAGGAATCTTGAGTGTAACACCACTGCAGGGAACAGCAAGCAACAAGACGAATCTGTCAAGACATGTTAATTCTTCGTGCTCATCGTCTTCTCATCTCATCCTCCCATCTCACCCCTGAGGTGCGGCAAGCATTTGAAAAGAAGGCAGCTGCAAAGGCACCCTGCACAAAACAAAATGACCAAAGTGACCAAAGTTTAGGAAAAAGCTTTGAAAGAACAAGGAAGAAGCAGAGATGATAGAGGAGTCTATCACTCCTTTTTACTCCGAAGGTTCTCAGGTCATTGTCATGGCATTTGCCAGACTATGATCTTGGACCGTTTGAAACAATGTACTGGGTCAGGGTGGTAACTTGTGCCGCGGTTGTCTTCTTGTGCCGCAAACGGTGTGCCGTTGGGAAGTCCATGATATACATGTCATTCTTACTGGATGAATCAGTTGTTTGTGGCATTGATTTTTCTAACACTTTGCAGGGGCAGGCATGTTTTTGAGACATATTCTCTTTGAGATAGAAACTCATGGGGATGGTTTCTCAATAGCTTGACTCACACAGAAGAGAGAACAGTAGAAGAGTAGAGTAGAAGAGTAGAAGAGTAGAGTCGAGAAGAGAATCGAAGATATTGAAGAGTAGAAGTGATTAGAGAGGCGTAGAGCAGAGAAGGGAAGAGTAGAAAAGATCCCTGCTGCCTTGCCCTGCTGCCTTGCCTTGCAAAATCCCCATCTCGTACAGATCTCGTCAAGACCTCGTACGGATCTCGTAAAAATCACGCTGTCAAGCGGTACCTTGAATATCTCAGTGCCATTGTGCTGTACTGTTCAGTGCTGGAATGTTCCTGGTGTGCCACTGGGAAAAGCCTTTTGTGAGTATATTTTCCCAGGGTAGGAATGAGAGTCCGCCAATGAGAATGACATGTAGAACTCCTGGTCTTCTAGAGGTCAAGTTGATGGTGTGCCATGCGGTTTACAGCGCTTTGTGTCAGGTCTAAGACAGATAAAAAAACGGTCCAAAGCGTTGCAGTCTGCATAGGAATTTCATGAACACAATGTGCACATATATGGATAGGTGTCGGTGTGCCGTGGTGATTTGGCTATGGCACAAGTTCTTTAGGTTGTGGGGTAAGCTGTGTGCCATGCGGTGGGGTAAGATTATGATTGTGGCGTAAGTTACCACCCGTACTCGTATTATAATATAGCTTGAACAGACAATGCTGGACATTTTGAATTATTTCAAATCAGAATGTGTGCGGGTCGAGTGTTACCACTGTGCTGTAAAAGAAGGACTTTAGCCTCAGCTGTTTTGAACACATTTCAGCACATGTCTTCGAAAAAACCTTGCTGCTCCATGGCAGTGAGCTGGCACGCAGGGCCGTTTGAGTTTGGAAGGTTTCGAACCCAAACCGCACCTTGGCCAAATTCACAAACAGCACTGGTAATTGAGGGAGCGAAGGAATGATTTCCTGCAGGAGTGACCTAAATATGGAAGTCAATCTTTTCATTCCAATTGTAGAACTGAAGTGGGCGTTGTTTGCACATGTTTGCTTTAATGACCCGATTTCTGACGTTGAGATGGCAGTGGTGAGATGTAGTGAGATAGCTTAGTGGCTTAGTGCACCTTTCAGCAAGGCAAATGGCTGCCTTCCTAGTCGACGTGGGTGTTTGGTTCTCAGCTGACCCGATCTAGGCAGATCCAGGCAGATCCAGTGTCCAGATTTTTTCGAGGTGAAGCGGAAGGCTTGGAGATCACGAGTCTTCTATGTGCAGGGCCCCCAACTGGTCCTGTTGCCCTGGCGAACATTGGCGAACATTCACCCTAACCCAGTCCAGTCATTTAAGGGCTGCCGCCCCTGCCGCCGACCCCGGAAGAATCGGCAAGGAAGCAAACTAAATTGGCATAAAAACTCTTCGGTGCTTCGCACCTTGAGGCTTTCGACCTTTTTCCTATGTATACTGTTGTGAAATATATTTGATAGGTCTGATAGGTTTTAATTTTCATCTGTAAATGGGTTTTTCATTTGGGTGCATGTTAATATTATGATCCTATGGTTTTATGGGTTCATGGATCTAAGTAACTGTATAATAGTTAGATATATATATACGATAGTCTTGGCCCTATTATTATACAGCTAGTGTTGCGCCGCACAGTTGCATGGTTGCGCCGCACAGGTGCATGATATTTTATCAAAGTATACGGGGCCCTTGTTTTTTTTGATCCCCCACCTTGTTTTTTTGGATCCCCCACCTTGTTTTTTTGACCCCCCCCCGTGTTTTTTTGACCCCGCATGAATGAAATCCTAAATGAAACTCTAAAGAAACTTTCAAGAAACCCACATGAATGTTTGAAAACCTTGACAAGATTTTCTGATAAGAAATCCTACACAAAACCCTAAATTAAACCCTAAATGAAATCCGAAATAAAACCCTTAAGAGATGTAAATCTCCAGAGAATCCCTACATGAAACCCTAATTCTTTTGTTTTGAATGTTTGAAAACCTTGACAAGATTTTCTGATAAGAAATCCTACACAAAACCCTAAATTAAACCCTAAATGAAATCCGAAATAAAACCCTTAAGAGATGTAAATCTCCAGAGAATCCCTACATGAAACCCTAATTCTTTTGTTTTATTCTCTCCTGTTTGTATCCTAAATGAAATTTTAAAGACCCTAGGTGAAACCCAAAGAAACCCTACTAAGAAACCCCTACATGAAACACTAAATGAACCCTAAAGAAATCATAAATTGACCTAAAGAAACCATCCTAAAGAGAGCCTAGGATCGGCAATGAATCAAACCAAATTGGCAGAAATATGCTTCGTTGCTTCGCACCTTCAGGCGCTCGACCCTTTTCTTATGAATATGATTCAGGTATCCTGAATTCAGGTATCCTATGCAATGAGCATTGTTGGTGTCCAAAAAGGATATGGGAAAATACGATGGCTGGACATGCTTGGCCATCGTATTTTCCCACGTCATTTTTGGTTTCTACTTATCTTTGCAGAATTCCTTTCTTATCAGTTGTTTAGGTGTCCAAGTGTCCAAGTTTGTCCAAAGTCTTGTCCAGATACTGCTTCCGCTTTGTTGCATGAGGCCCGGAAAATACGGTTGAAACAAGTAGTTTGGCCCTATTATTATACAGATAGTGTTGCGCAGCACAGGTGCATGATATTTTATCAAAGTATACAGGGCCCTTGTTTTTTAGACCCCCCACCGTGTTTTTTTGATCGCCCCTCGTTTTTTTTTGACTCCCCACCTTGTTTTTTGACCCCCTGTGTTTTTAACCCCCTAACCGTGTTTTTCTGACCTCCCACCTTGTTTTTTTTTGACCCCCTGCCCTTGTTTTTTTTGACCACCCACCTTGTTTTTTTGATCCTCCACCTTGTTTCTTTGACCACCCACCTTGCTTTTTCGAGGCGCTTGCTACAATAGTATGGATATATATATATAGGCCCTATTATTATACAGATAGTGTTTGCGCCGCACAGGTGCATGGTTGCGCCGCACAGGTGCAATGTAATGCAATGAAATGTAATGCAATGCAATGTAATGCTATGTAATGCCATGCAATGCAATGTAATGCAATGCTGCAATGCATTGCAATGAAAAGCGATGAAATGTAATGCAATGCAATGCAACGCAATGCAGTGAAATGCAATGCAATGTAATGCAATGTAATGCAATGTAATGCAATGTAATGCAATGCAATGCATTGCAATGAAAAGCAATGAAATGTAATGCAATGTAAGGCAATGTAATGCAATGCAGTGAAATGCAATGCAATGTAATGCAATGTAATGCTATGCAATGCAATGTAATGCAATGCAATGCATTGCAATGAAAAGCAATGAAATGTAATGCAATGTAAGGCAATGTAATGCAATGCAATGCAATGTAATGCCATGCAATGTACTGCAATGCAACGCAATGTAATGCAATGCAATGAAATGCAATGCAATGTAATGCAATGCAATGTAATACAATGCAATGCGATGCAATGTAATGCAATGCAATGAAATGCAATGCAACGTGCCAAAGACTAGAAACGACAACGAGAAACGACAAATATCAATGCTGGTTTGCGCCCAAAAACTCCCTAATGTAACTTCTGAAACCCATAGAAAAGAATGATTTCAGCTACTTTTTCTTCCTGTTTCCTCTTGTTTCCTCCTGTTTCCTCCTGCTGCTGCTCCTGCTCCTGCTATTCCTTCTGTTCAAAAAGGCATCTTCAAAAAGGCAATCGCCTAAAATCGAACCACTCCCAGCGGCAAATCACCATGGCAGTGAAGGACGGAAAAGCATCAAAATTGCGCCCAAAAACTCCCTAATGTAACTTCTGAAACCTATAGAAAAGGATGATTTTGGCTACTTTTTCCTCCTGTTTCCTCCTGTTTCCTCCTGCTGCTGCTCCTGCTCCTGCTAGTCCTTCTGTTCAAAAAGGCATCTTCAAAAGGGAGTCGCCTAAAATCGAACCACTCCCAGCGGCAAATCCCCATGGCAGTGAAGGACGGAAAAGCATCAAAATTGCGCCCAAAAACTCCCTAATGTAACTTCTGGAACCTAGAGAAAAAGAGCTATTTTGGCTACTTTTTCCTCCTGTTTCCTCCTGCTGCTGCTCCTGCTACCTGCTATTTCTTCTGTTCAAAAAGGCATCTTCAAAAGGGAGTCGCCTAAAATCGAACCACTCCCAGCGGCAAATCCCCATGGCAGTGAAGGTCGGAAAAGCATCAAAATTGCGCCCAAAAACTCACTAATGTAATTTCTGAAACCTAGAGAAAATGAGCTATTTTAGCTACTTTTTCCTCCTGTTCCTCCTGTTTCCTGCTGCTGCTGCACCTGCTCCTGCTAGTCCTTCTGTTCAAAAAGGCATCTTCAAAAGGCAATCGCCTAAAATCGAACCACTCCCAGCGGCAAATCCCCATGGCAGTGAAGGACGGAAAAGCATCAAAATTGCGCCCAAAGACTCCCTAATGTAACTTCTGAAACCTATAGAAAACTATCTATTTTAGCTACTTTTTCCTCCTGTTACCTCCTGCTGCTGCTCCTGCTCCTGCTAGTCCTTCTGTTCAAAAAGGCATCTTCAAAAGGCAATCGCCTAAAATCGAACCACTCCCAGCGGCAAATCCCCATGGCAGTGAAGGACGGAAAAGCATCAAAATTGCGCCCAAAAACTCCCTAATGTAACTTCTGAAACCTATAGAAAGGGATGATTTTAGCTACTTTTACCTCCTCTTTCCTCCTGTTCCTCCTGTTTCCTGCTGCTGCTGCTGCTCCTGCTCCTGCTAGTCCTTCTGTTCAAAAAGGCATCTTCAAAAGGGAGTCGCCTAAAATCGAACCACTCCCAGCGGCAAATCCCCATGGCAGTGAAGGACGGAAAAGCATCAAAATTGCGCCCAAAAACTCCCTAATGTAACTTCTGAAACCTAGAGAAAACTAGCTATTTTAGCTACTTTTTCCTCCTGTTTCCTCCTGTTTCCTCCTGCTGCTGCTTCTGCTCATGCTAGCCATTCTGTTCAAAAAGGCATCTTCAAAAGGCAATCGCCTAAAATCGAACCACTCCCAGCGGCAAATCCACATGGCAGTGAAGGACGGAAAAGCATCAAAATTGCGCCCAAAAACCCCCTAATGTAACTTCTGAAACCTATAGAAAGGGATGATTTTAGCTACTTTTTCCTCCTCTTTCCTCCTGTTCCTCCTGTTTCCTCCTGCTGCTGCTCCTGCTCCTGCTACCTGCTATTCCTTCTATTCAAAAAGGCATCTTCAAAAGGCAGTCGCCTAAAATCGAACCACTCCCAGCGGCAAATCCCCATGGCAGTGAAGGACGGAAAAGCATCAAAATTGCGCCCAAAAACTCCCTAATGTAACTTCTGAAACCTAGAGAAAATGAGCTATTTTAGCTACTTTTTCCTCCTGTTTCCTCCTGTTTCCTCCTGCTGCTGCTCCTGCTCCTGCTACCTGCTATTCCTTCTGTTCAAAAGGGCATCTTCAAAAGGCAGTCGCCTAAAACCGAACCACTCCCAGCGGCAAATCCCCATGGCAGTGAAGGACGGAAAAGCATCAAAATTGCGCCCAAAAACTCCCTAATGTAACTTCTGAAACCTAGAGAAAATTAGCTATTTTAGCTACTTTTTCCTCCTGTTTTCTCCTGTTTCCTCCTGCTGCTGCTCCTGCTCCTGCCTGTCCTTCTGTTCAAAAAGGCATCTTCAAAAGGGAGTCTCCTAGAATCGAACCACTCCCAGCGGCAAATCCCCATGGCAGTGAAGGACGGAAAAGCATCAAAATTGCGCCCAAAAACTCCCTAATGTAACTTCTGAAACCTAGAGAAAACTATCTATTTTAGCTACTTTTTCCTCCTGTTACCTCCTGTTTCCTCCTGCTGCTGCTTCTGCTCATGCTAGCCATTCTGTTCAAAAAGGCATCTTCAAAAGGCAATCGCCTAAAATCGAACCACTCCCAGCGGCAAATCCACATGGCAGTGAAGGACGGAAAAGCATCAAAATTGCGCCCAAAAACCCCCTAATGTAACTTCTGAAACCTATAGAAAGGGATGATTTTAGCTACTTTTTCCTCCTCTTTCCTCCTGTTCCTCCTGTTTCCTGCTGCTGCTGCTCCTGCTCCTGCTAGTCCTTCTGTTCAAAAAGGCATCTTCAAAAGGCAATCGCCTAAAATCGAACCACTCCCAGCGGCAAATCCCCATGGCAGTGAAGGACGGAAAAGCATCAAAATTGCGCCCAAAAACTCCCTAATGTAACTTCTGAAACCTAGAGAAAATGATCTATTTTAGCTACTTTTTCCTCCTGTTTCCTCCTGCTGTTGCTGCTGCTCCTGCTCCTGCTACCTGCTATTCCTTCTGTTCAAAAGGGATATTCAAAAGGCAATCGCCTAAAATCGAACCACTCCCAGCGGCAAATCCCCATGGCAGTGAAGGACGGAAAAGCATCAAAATTGCGCCCAAAAACTCCCTAATGTAACTTCTGAAACCTATAGAAAGGGATGATTTTAGCTACTTTTTCCTTCTGCTTCCTTCTGTTTCCTCCTGTTTCCTCCTGCTGCTGCTCCTGCTCCTGCTAGTCCTTCTGTTCAAAAAGGCATCTTCAAAAGGCAATCGCCTCAAATCGAACCACTCCCAGCGGCAAATCCCCATGGCAGTGAAGGACGGAAAAGCATCAAAATTGCGCCCAAAAACTCCCCAATGTAACTTCTGAAACCTAGAGAAAAATTAGCTATTTTAGCTACTTTTTCCTCCTGTTTCCTCCTGCTGCTGCTTTTGCTCCTGCTAGTCCTTCTGTTCAAAAAGGCATCTTCAAAAGGCAATCGCCTAAAATCGAACCACTCCCAGCGGCAAATCCCCATGGCAGTGAAGGACGGAAAAGCATCAAAATTGCGCCCAAAAACTCCCTAATGTAACTTCTGAAACCTAGGAAAAATTAGCTATTTTAGCTTCTTTTTCCTCCTGTTTCCTCATGTTTCCTCCTGCTACTGCTCCTGCTCCTGCTACCTGCTATTCCTTCTAGTCAAAAGGGCATCTTCAAAAGGCAGTCGCCTAAAACCGAACCACTCCCAGCGGCAAATCCCCATGGCAGTGAAGGACGGAAAAGCATCAAAATTGCGCCCAAAAACTCCCTAATGTAACTTCTGAAACCTAGAGAAAATTAGCTATTTTAGCTTCTTTTTCCTCCTGTTTCCTCCTGTTTCCTCCTGCTGCTGCTCCTGCTCCTGCTAGTCCTTCTGTTCAAACAGGCATCTTCAAAAGGCAGTCGCCTAAAATTGAACCACTCCCAGCGGCAAATCTCCATGGCAGTGAAGGACGGAAAAGCATCAAAATTGCGCCCAAAAACTCCCTTATGTAACTTCTGAAACCCATAGAAAATGAGCTATTTTAGCTACTTTTTCCTCCTGTTTCCTCCTGCCGAAAATGACGCAAAATCGCATCAAAAAAAGTCCCTAACGTGCCTTCTGAAATCCTAGAGAATCCTTCCTAGACTACCCTAGGCTATAAATAAATCCTAGCGACTCCTAGACTAGTAGTAGTAGTAGTAGTAGTAGTAGTAGTCGTCGTCGTCGTCATCGTCGTCGTCGTCGTCATCGTCGTCGTCGTAGTACAAGTAGCAGTAGCAGTAGCAGTAGCAGTAGCAGTAGCAGTAGAAGCAGCAGCAGCAGCAGCAGTAGCAGTAGCAGTAGCAGTAGCAGTAGCAGCAGCAGCAGCAGCAGGAGGAGGAGGAGGAGGAGGAGGAGTAGTAGTAGTAGTAGTAGTAGTCGTGTAGTAGTAGCAGTCGTCGTCGTCGTCGTCGTCCTCGTCGTCGTCGTCGTCGTCGTCGTCGTTGTATTAGTAGTAGTAGTAGTAGTAGTAGTAGTAGTAGTCGTAGTGGTAGTGGTAGTGGTAGTGGTAGTGGTAGTGGTAGTGGTAGTGGTAGTGGTAGCGGTAGCGGTAGCGGTAGCGGTAGCGGTAGCGGTAGCGGTAGCGGTAGTAGTAGTAGTAGTAGTAGTAGTAGTAGTAGTAGTAGTAGTAGTAGTGGTGGTCTTCTTCCCTTACGCGCTCCCCCTTGCGTCGGCCGGGGTCGGCGGATTTTCATCGATTTGATCGGTTTCTATATGTGCTACATGGCTCAAGGCCTTTTTGTTTTTTACCGGTTTGTCAAGCGTAAAACCCTTCCATCAATGGAGGCCCTACCTGTGGTTGTGCTGACTGACCCTATTTCCACTGGAGCGCTTCTGGTGGACATCGTGTTGTCTCGCGGCTTCGGGGTCCTCGTCTTGTGGAGTAAAGAACGCGCAGAGTCATTGCCTATCAGCCACAAAGGAGTCTACAAGGCAGCCAAAGAGCAAGTCTCCATTCCTGAAACTGTGAAGGCAATCAAAGGTGCTCTCAGTCCAGGCTCTGCAATTATAGCTTGCATTCCTGGCAGTGAATCAGGTGTCAACTTGGCGGATCTCATTTCCATTTGGCTTGGCCTTCTTGCGAACGGCTCTGGGAACCGACCTTTTCCCGCAGGTGACCGCCGAAACAAACATTTGCAGAGCAGTGTGCTCAAAGGAATTGCTGGTTGCCGTGCCATTCGTGAAGTTTGTGGCTGTGCATGGGAAGAGGTGAGAGATTCTTGCAGGGAATTGGGGCTTCCTATGGTGGTGAAGCCGGTGCAGTCTGCAGGCACGGATGGAGTCAAACTTTGCCACTCCATGAAGGCAGTAGAGGAGCATTTCAGACACTTGCAAGCCACACAGAGAAAAATTGCGTCCTCTGATCATGCAATTCTGCTCCAGGAATTTATGGTTGGCCGGGAGTATGTGGTGGACCAAGTATCTCGGGATGGAGTGCACAAGACTATCATGACTTGGGTCTATGAGAAGCAACCGGCAAATGGTGGTGATTTTGTCTATCTAGCAATGCGTCCAGTGGAGACCAAGGAGTGTCCAAGTGATCTGATCCCATACACTCGTTCAGTGCTTGATGCATTGGACATTCAGAACGGCGCGACCCACACAGAAGTCATGATGACTGCTGATGGTCCCTGTCTTATTGAAGTCAACGTGAGGGTCATGGGTGGCAACGGCTCCTTTATCTCTTTGGCACGTTTGCTCACTGGGACTTCACATGCTGATGCGGTTCTTGATTGCATCGACCAGAAGCGCTTTGATGCCTTGCCTGATGTCCCCAGGGCCTTTCAAGCTTCAGGTCGGGTGGTGTTTCTCATCTCTTATTCTTCTGGCATTGTGGCAAGCACACCAGGCTACGAGGTGATGAAGAAGATGGATTCATTCCTCGAATTGCACACATCTATTTCACCCGGATCTGCAGTAGAAGTCACTGTGGACACTTTCACCTTTGCTGGCATTTTGGTGCTGGCTGGCTCCGAAGATCAGATTTGGGCAGATATTGTGGAGGTGCGTAGACTAGAAAAGGAAGGCCTTTTTTGCTTCACTGAAACAAATAGGTTTCAGTGCGGCGGGGCTTGAATCATGAGTGCTGCCTAGTAGCGTTCAAGCTTAGACTTAGTGACTCGCGGGCGTGTGTATAGCTTTGCTTACAGACTTGTCCCATTTTTAACACCAATTTTGCAGCAGCCTCAGCTGATCCAGGCGAGCTGTTGTGCATCCTCTATTTAATGCCGTGGTTTAGTTTACTCTTTCCTGAACCTCTGACAGAAGACACTGGCAGAAATAAAAAAAAATTGGAAACCTTCGAGACCCGCTGGCTCAATTGCCTGTGTTGCATACCAGGGAGTCTGAAAAGAGGTGAGAAACGATAGAGGTGAGGATAGGTGAGGTAGATGAATGATAATGAATCTAAATGATACCCATACACAGTGTTGACACTTGGCCCAGGTTGACGAAACTCCTAGAGTTGAAAGCATGGCAAGAGCACCTCCAGGGTTCTGAGGTGTGCAAGGGATCCTTTTGACCATGTCAGATGAAGAAGGATGCATCCATTGTGAAGAGATGAATTGCGGATTTCATGTGGTAGGGGAAACCATCAAACTCTGGCCTGCCAGGGCACAAAACTGCCAGTGCAGAGATTAAGAGACAGACGAAGTGTCCCCAAATATGGTTGACTGGTGTAGAGCCTTTAGTTGCTGTACTTGGACTTCGGATTTGGATGGGTTCGAAGAAATGGCATGAACCGACCACATCTGGATCACTCTGGATCCACATGCAATGTGTTGATTTGTGCTTCAGGTCCAATGGTTCCTTGACGCACAGGTGGGAAGCGGCTGCAGGGTCTTCTGGAATTAATGGGAGTCCATAGAAGGGTGGTACCGGATTTCGCACAAGACGTGTAAATACCAACATGGCGAGCTGGGCCAATCAGCAAAGATCAGAACCCGCAGAGGATCGGCTTGTGTTACCTTTTCAGACATCATCAGACATCCGCAAGGTGCCCCAATTCGGCATAAGCCGACATTTACCATCATTTACCATATTTACCCCAAGGCATCACAAGGCAAAGCGTGCAATTGGTGTGAGATGCAGGAAATCACTATACCACCTAATTATCTCTAATCAATTACTATAGTTTGTTTCTTTGGTTTCATATCATGCATTCCCCAAATACGAAACCTACACAAGTACCTCGGATCCAGCCAATCTGTCTTGGGAAAGTCGTTGCAGAAAGGATTTGCTTACAGTACGCTGTAACTGGACTTTGGTTGTTTCAGTTCTTTTTCTGGGTCATGCTCGCAAAACATGCAAGGACATTTGTAACTGGAATTCGCCAAAGCAAACAATGCACTGCGATGAGCTATAATGCAGTGCGATCTATAAGGAGCAGAACGAAACATCGAGACAGTGACATGTCATGCATTGTACGCGACTGAACGGGGCAGTTTTTTTCCGAGTTTCTTGACTCTCAATCAATGCGGTGCCACCTCAAACACAAGTCTGACCAAGTTGCGCCAGTCAAGTTGCACCTATTTCTCCCTAAGAAAGAAACCAACTATATGATACTACATATAGTTAATTTTTGTATGCATCTGTATTTCTACCTATATATATATATATATTCATATAATATGTATATAGAATTATATTATATTATTATACATATATATATGTATATGTATATGTATATGTATATGTATATGTATATGTATATGTTACATTATCTTATGTTACAGTATATAATATAATATAATATAATATAATATTATATTAAATTATATCATATCATATTATATGATATTATATGTATGCGTATGATATACGTATGATATACGTATCAGAAGAATTCTGGCCCGCTGCTTCGCAGTCGCCTGGGCAAAGCCCAATCGAAGTGCTGTCCCCCTCTGTGGGGTCACCGCACCATTCGGAGCCGGAGCCGGAGCAGAGCGCTCAACAGCTTCAGGCCGCTGATGACTGGTGGTGGTCCGGGGATGGGGGTGGCAAGACCACCTGTGCAAAACCGGTGCAACAGAACTGAAATCTGCATGACTGCATGAATGAGAAATGTATAGAAATGTAACTTGTGGATACTTGTGGATACTTTTGCAACATTCATGAACATTCTGTAACATTCCCGTTGCACCCCGGGTGTGCAAAGCGCGTGTTTGTTGGTCCTATCCGCAGTGATATCTGCAACAGGTGAAGCCGACTGCCGGGATGGCTGGGCTCTCACCAACACAGGTGGAGGAGTCTGAGTGAAGCCCAATTTCAGAAATTTTGACATTGGATAAATTGGATACAGCAATTGATGATAATTGTAAGATATTGTGTGTAAGTTGGGATTCACTAAATTCATTTCGTTGGGCGCTGAAATTCAGAAGTTTTTTTGTCGTCTCTAGATATTTGCTTGTTTTGTATTCTTTTGTGGTAGAGTCGCTGATTCCCCGTCGTTCATGGGATTCCATGGCTGTCGTACATGTTGAGTCCATCGGAACCCGTCGTTTGAACCCAGGAGGGCGCTGCCGTTTGTTGGCGTGATCTGGCAAGGCAAGATCAGATGTGGACGGTGTGGACGGTGTGGACGGTGTGGACGGTGTGGACTAGAACAAGGATTCGTTTTCGAAAGTGCTTGCTGCCGTGCCACATGGTGCCACATGGTGCATGCCACGATTCCATTTCGACATGCAGCGAAAATGGAATACGCAGCTTCGGACTGGTTCCTGGAATTTCTAGACACCTTAGGAATTTATCGACAACCAGGCTGAAAAACTAACTTGCATTGCAATGAGTTTTCTTTGCCTTGTACGACAACTTTAGAGCAGAGAAGATGAATAACGATTCATTTCACGTCCTTCATTGAGTCATCTGGTGCTTTTCTGTAAACATTTTTTTTGGGGCCCTCGGAGATGCACAATTTAATGAATTTAAGACACAACCTCCCAATATCGAGTTGCTCGTTTTCAGTGAACTTTTGGCGCATCGATCACTATCCTGTCTTTTGGCTGGGTGCTGCCCGGTGCTGCAGGCAGAAGGCGCCATGGTATGTGAAAGTGTGCAGGCACTCAGGAGATCTCAGGAGGGTTTGCATTGAAACTTACTGGATCGACTAAGTTGCAGCTGGTTACTGGACATCCCTTCCAAAACATTCCAAAACCATCAATTTTCTTAACAAGTAGTCCATGACTGCGCCAGTTACTTGCGTAGATTTCACAATTCCAAGCAGATGGTAATGGCTGTATCTGAGGTGCTTCTCCCTCTTGGGAGTTGACAGAACTCTGAGGTGGGTGTCGAATGGCGTGGCATGGTGGAGGATGGTGTGTCACATGTGTCTGTTATAAATTGTATTGATGTGTAGCTGGAGCTTAGACTTGGACCCTACAGATCCCCACAGGCCAACATACAGTATCTACAGTACCTTGGATGCGCAACTTCGTCCACTAAGCTCTGTGAAAGGTTCTGCAAGTGCCTGGTACCAAGAGATATCCACCAACTGGCGCCTTGATTGAAGTTCTCGAAGTTGTTCCGGACTGGTGGACTATCCAGATAAATGAAGCACCAAACAGTCTGCAGGCAGCATTTTCTTAAACAAAACATTGCCGCAGGATTCATGGATTCAGAGTCGAGCTTGAGGCAAACAACCTTCAACTCTTGCTGACATCACGAACCGTCACCAACCATTCCAATCACGCGAACAAATCTTGCCAGGCGGGCCTGTTGTTGACACGCGTAGTACCATGCCCACACTTGGAGTTGGAGCAGCTTGGCTATGAGAGCACTGGCTACTGAGCTGCACCTGGTAGACATGATTCGTTTCGAAGTCTCAGGTGGAGAATTCAAAACGATATGAAGATTATGAAGGGATCATTTGATCATTTGAAGATATTCATACAACCTCGTACATACCTGTGTCATGTGAGGCTTCCGTGGTCAAGGTCTCAGGGGCTCCACCAAAGAAGTTTACCAGGATACCTGGCAAAGTACCCAGGAAATCCCAGGAAATTGTCGTGAACCTGTGAAACATGGCGAAGGGGATGTGCTGAGTCATGATATGTCATTACCATGTCATGACCATGTCATGACCTTCTTGCTTTGTGGAGAGCTCTCAAGGTGGCAATTCACAAATTGACAGGGGCCTTTGGCCAGAAGGTTTTAGCTTCGTTCTTGCTAACTCTGGGCGTTTTGATGCGGAGAACCTTACGTAAGCAGATTTTGTATGTTTTTTTGTTGATCATGCTGATGGACGGCCAAACCATGCCAGTCTAGCTTCGCCAGATACTGACTGGGGCATTTGGTTCAGCAAATGTCACCGCATCACGTGAGGAGCGAAGCTTCAATTCCAATGGCAGCCTCACACACTGCTATGCTGCTCCAGGTTGGAGTCTGTCCCTGATGCCCCCGTCCTCATGGATTTCCACAACGGGATAGCTGGTTTCAACATGCATCATGGTGATATTCGGGATTTCTTAATGTTTCTTACTGTGAGAATCCCCTGCAGTGCATTGCAACTGACTGAACTTTGCTGTGTATGCATTCATAGCTGGCCCAGATCACAGCCGACGCATTGCATATGTCAGCTAGTGCATGGCCCGCACGGCAAGGATGACACGCACCATCAGAGAAAGAGATCAAGCACAAATCGAGAAGTGTACATATCACTATCCAAATACTTTCACCTTGTTTTGCAACTGTCGTGAAAAGGGTTGCCGCTGATCCGTTGCCAGTCTCAGACTGGTAGCGGAGCGGTTCGCTTTGCTGCGATGGCTTCAGAAGGCAGTGGTGGTGGAAAGCCGTTCTGGAGTGACTATGAGGTCACGGTGGATCGAGACGGCATTCCCCACTACACGGGTGCATCACCAGCTCTGATGAAGGAGTACACCAGGCGAGTGAAGTTCGCTTTCCATGGCTTGGAGGGCGAAGGAAAAGACGAAGAAGCTGAAGCAGCCGACCTTTTGAAGAAGCAGATGAGGTTCGGCCGCCGCCTGATAGATGCTCTTCATGGAGAAGCATGGCGTGCTGTGGAGCACCTGGTGATGCAACCGGAGAGGTTGAAGAAGAAGGACGGCTATGAGGAGGTCCTCAACGCCTTGGGATCAATTGAGAAAGAAGGCGTGATCCGCAAGACAGAGGCCTTCGACAAGTTCTTCGAATCAACTCGCCGAGCTCGCGGTGAAGCAATTGATGCCTACTTGCGCCGCAAGAACCAGGCCTGGAGGGATCTATGTGACTTGGATGAGACGTCAGCGATGTCAAAAGACCTGCTGTCCTACTTCGTGCTCAAGGGCTGCAACCTGAGCCGTGAAGACCGCAGATCGATCTTGCTGGCCAACAAGTCCACCTATGACCAGGCCGGGATCGAGCAGTCGCTTCGGGTGAGCTTCCATGATCTTCATGAACGTGAGAAGCAGTCTGGATGGCGAGATGATCGCAAGAAGCCCATGAAGAAGCGATACTATGCCAATGAGGTTCACGATGGAGAGTCCCCGGTTGAGGACGACGTGATGATGGTCTACTACCACAACGACTCTGAGTATGACGAGGAGGACCTGGCGGAAGAGGCCTACTACCATGGTGAAGATGATGATGCCGAAGCCTATGAACTTGGATCGGATGCTGGAGCTTCGGGTGACGATGACGTCTACCAGGCCTATGTGACCATGGAGAAGGGCCGACAAGCCTACAAAGATGCCCGGAAGAAGCTTCGGGATGTGCAGAAGAGCCGTGGCTTCTACCAGAATGGCAATTGGAGCAGCCGAGACCAGGCCAAGGAGAAGGAGAAGAGCAGGTCGCGTTGTGCGGCTTGTGGCCACATTGGCCATTGGGCAGGTGACAGCGTCTGTCCAAAGTCATCTGCAGGAGTTGGTCCGAAGAAGGGCAAGGGCAGAGGCAAGAGTCAATCGAAAGGCAAGAAGAAGTCCAAAGGTGGAGCCTATGCTGCAGCACCGTGCCCCATGCTGTTTTCCTTGGAGGATCCGGATGATGGATTTCAAGATGAAGAAGGACACAGCTTCATGGTGCACACTGGTCCCAACGATGACGCCAATGCCAATGACATGCAGCAGGATGAGGGCCACACCTTCACTGATGACCGCCGCAAAGTCTCAGCCGGATCCTACTCAGCTGACTGGGAGACCGTGACTGAGCCGCCCATGCCTGGATCTGACCGGCCTGCTGGCTCACGCCCTTTTGAGGTCTGGGCACCTGATGGTCCATGGGAATCATCGACCAAGGAAGGTCGCTTTGTGGAGGAAACCCAGGAGGTGATCAAGCCGACCATGCTGGCCAAGATCGAAGTGAGGGAAGTCAGCTCTTTCGCAGAGGTTCGCCCTAGCAACATGGAGCAGATGAAGGCCTACCAGTTGCAAGGTCTCTGTGAGAAATGGGGCATCCAGACAGGTGGTGCCAAGAAGGATTTGCTGATGAGGCTGGAGGATCTGTTTGCAGGTCGCGAAGTGCCGAAGAAGAAGTGCACGGTGCAGTTTGTCAAGTTGGTGGAGGAAGAGCCATCGACTTATGGATCTATGGCTGGATCTGCACCGGCGACACCACTTCGTCCTGAACCTGGCGGACCACGGCCGTGTCCCCAACGAGGCCATCATGGAGTTGCTGAGTCGCCTGGGATGCCACCGATGCCAAAAGGTGGGCAGAATCGATCGCCGTCAATGGGCTCTTCGACTACGGCGCTTGGGGCGTCGGCAAAAGCATCAGGGCTGCACCCAATTCTGGCGACGGATCTGGAGATTGGCAAGCCTTTGTATGGCCTGCAGTGTTGTAACTGCGGTGCGCCTATGGTTGCAAGACAGACTCGAGGAGATGGCAGCCTTTTCTTCTCGTGTGCTCAATGGCCGAACTCGGGATGCAGCTTCACCAGACCGCTGCAAGATGGGCTGGACATCATCAATGGCAGAATCCCTGATGTCCGCCACCCGAGAAGCCCTGCTCGCAGCTTGGCGGGCTACTGAGAAGTCAAGGAAGCTGCTGGCAGTCAGCGCATTTTGCGCCTACATGACTGCGGAGGAGAATTCAACAGAGCATGAACCTTGCGAACTGTTGCATGCCGACCATGATGGGTCGACCTTTGAAATGGTGGCGAAGACACACCATGAATTAGAAGATAGCAATGGTGGAGGTGAAGGCCGAATGGCTTTGGTCGACACAGCTTGCACGAGCTGTATGCATTCAAAGGCTTGGAGGATTGCATACTCCAAGACACTGCCTGAGGGGTACCAGTGCGAGAGAACCGAGCGCACCAAGCTCTTCCACTTTGCAGATGGCTCCAACACTGGGAGCACCATCCACCTGTGGAGAATTCCATTGTTCATGGGTGATCGTCCAGGTGAAGTTTTCTCAGCTGAGGTTGAAACGGGCACCACTCCTTTGCTTCTCTCCATTCCTGCCTTGATAGCCCTGGATGCTGTGATTCACATGCGGGAGAAGCGCATCAACCTGAGGTCTCTTGGAGTGGAACTGCCGTTGAGAGAAACTAAAACCAAGCACCTGGCCATGATGGTTAGCTACAACCCCCGTTTGGGCATTGCCAAGGATGTGGAAGGGTCCCCCAAAGCGATTTCCATCAATCAAGACCTTTTTGTTTACTACAGCGAGGAGGCGAGCCTTCCAGTTTTGACTGATGAACCAATGGTAGAAGTCCCTGTGAGCGAGGACTATGCGGCAGACTGCTCACCGCCTCAGTTCGGGGCAAGGGGCATTCGAAAAGATGACGTCACTGGTTTCCTTGGTGATCGCCGAAGTGCTGAGCTGGCCTATGCCATGAAGTCCATGAGACTGCAAGATGATAGGACATGGGCAGCCTTGAGCAAGCACTACTCCTTGGCGGAGCAGGCGGCAACTAAGGGCTTTAGCACTACTGTTTTGTTTGAGCCTTTTGGAGGCCACTTTGGAGTGACGAGGACTGCCTCAAGGGAGTTCAATTGGACGAACTCTCAACCATTGGATCTGCTGGATGGCTATGACCTTCTATCACCTGCCGGTGAAGAGCTTCTTTTTCGAGTGCTGGACGAGCACGACCCTGTTTGTGTGCTCATTGCGTTTGACTGCAGGCTCTGGTCTTTGCTCAACAATCTATGTCCTGGAGGTGACTGGGAACATCTTCGCAAGACCATTGGCCTGAAGACTCTGCGTTTGGTGAAACGCATTTGTGAGCATCAATGGAAAAGAGGCCGATACTTTGTGGTGGAGAACCCCGCAACTAGCGTGGCTTGGAGATACCACAGAATCCTCACTCAGATTTTGGAAAAGTTTGATGGAAAGTATGTGATCTGCGATCAATGCAGGTATGGTCAACGAGATTCTGAAAGTGGAAAGCTGATCCGCAAACCAACTGGCTGGCTTTCCAACTCTGAGCCGATTTTGAACCATGTTGGGAAGAGATGTCAATGTCCTCCCGGAGAGCATCAACAAGTTTTGGGTTCAAATGCCAAGGGCTTGCGCAGTCGTCAGGCTGCATGCTACCCACCAGCTCTATGTCAAGCTATCTGCAAAGGTCTGTTACAGACCATGGAGCTGGACTATGCCGGTCTTAGTGCTCAGGGCGATTTGGCTTACGCCAACCTTTCAGAATCCGATGCCGAGGGAGAGAACATGGAGGTTACATGGAGGTTGAAGAGCCCATGGATGGTGACTATTGGATCATCGAAGACAATGAGGTCGTCCGAGTGCATGTGATCCCACGGAGGCATTTGTTTGTCCCTTTGGCCACCACCGGGGTTCCTGTTCCTGTTAAATCCCTAGCAGAAGCGAGGTCGACAGAGGCCCACTTTGTCAATGGTGATCCTCCTGAGTATGTAATGGATGACTGGACGCAGGCCAGTGAGGCCCATGCTGAACTTCCAAGTCTATGGGTTGGCCGCACCAGCTTCATCTTTGCCTTGCCGACACAGCCTGAAGAGCAACCAGCTCAAGCAGAGATCAAGGTGATGGCATCGCCTTCAAAGAGAGAGAACGTTTTGAGAAGGAGAAGGGCAAGAACCAGGCAGCTGCAGAGAGGTCTTTGGGTGAGAACCGAAGACAGTGATGTTGCCGAGATGATGCAACACTGCCTGGACCATTACCAAGATCAACAATGCAAAGGCTGGTCTGTCCTCAACGACCAGGAGGAGCTGTTTCGAGCTTGGAAAGCCCGAGAAATTGGTCAAACCAAAGTTCGTTTGATTTTATACTCCACTGATGCAAGAAGGATGAGAAAGCCGCAGCCTTTCCTGTCTGCTGCGGATGCACCAATGAGAAAGACCGTCGTGACGATGGCAAATGGGGACATTTTGTCCACCGGATGGGAAGATTGGCAGCAAGCATCACCTTCATCGCAGATACGACCTTTGCCAAACAAACCAAGGTCTTTTGTCCTCACCATGTTTGGCAGCCAGATTGACGATGAAGAGATGGAGGTTCAAGAGCTTGCGGGAGAGCAGGATCAAATTGTAGCTCGTGAAACTGAGAGACAGAGAAAATGGGATGCATTGCCAAGAGAATTGAAAATGGCTGTCCGACGTATCCACGTCAATTTGGGTCACTGTCCAACAGCCCAAATGATGAAAGCTCTGAGGATCAGTCGAGCCTCAGAAACAGCCTTGAAAGCTTGCAAACTTTTTCGTTGTCCTGACTGCCCAAGATTGAAAGAGCCAAAGGCACCACGACCTTCGAAGCTTCCAATCGTCGATGAGTTCAATGTTGCGATTGGCATGGATGTTTTTGAGGAGTCAGACGCTTCAGGTCAAAAGTGGAGTTGGCTCAACATTTTGTGTCAGGGCAGCTCCTTTCAAGTTTGTTGTTTGCTTGGTGAAACCTCGAAGAATCCAACGTCTCTTCAGGTGTTGGAAGCCTTCGAGCATGGCTGGGGCAATTGGGCTGGAATGCCAGAGCATGGCATCATTGTGGACCGTGCCAAGTACTTCCTCAGTTCCTTGGCCGAGCATATGTCCCATGAGGGGTGCCATTTCGATGCTGCAGCTAAAGCATCTCCCTGGCAAATTGGTCAAGTTGAACGTGCTGGAGGCCTTTGGAAGGCCATGTTTAGACAGCTATGTTGGTCCCAGCAAGTGAGTGGAAAAGAAGATGTCCTCTTGGCAACTGCAGCCATAAATTCAGCTCGCAACAACCTGGCGAGAAAGTCAGGCTTTGCGCCCATTCAGTGGGTCCTTGGAAGAACTACCAGACTCCCAGCTGACCTCATGGATGAGGGTGAGGTGGCGCGACTTGGAGCTCAAGCAGCCGCTGAGACACCAACCACACGTTTCTTTAGAAAGAACCAACTGAGAATGGCAGCTCGTGAAGCCTTTGTCAAGACCGCCAACAATGAAGCACTTCGTCGAGCTGAGCTTAGAAGAGTCCGACCTACCAGAGGGCCATTCCATGTGGGCTCCTATGTCTTCTTCTACGACCAGCAAGGAACCCAAGGAAGTGCTTTGAACTGGCGCGGTGTTGCGCGAGTGGTGGGCCATGAAGGTTCACGAATTGTGTGGTTGTCGCACCGTGGCATTCTGATTGCAGCCTCCCCTGAACATCTCAGTCATGCCAATGAGGAGGAGATCCAAGGATGGATGGTGACGCAAAACGAGCGGGAGCTCATAGATGCCACACCTGCAGCTGGTGGAGCCGGTTTTCTTGACCTCAGACAGAGGCCTACACCACCAGCAGAAGGTTTTCCTGAAGAGCCACTGCCTGCACAGGAAGCTTTGGAAGCTCCGAAAGACGGCGCTGCAGAAACGCCTGCGCTGAGAGATGCAGAAATGTCAGAAGGCTATGAGCCTACGGAGGCAGTGGAGTCAGCGGATGAGAACATGCCGAAGGAAGGTGGTTCAGTGAAGGCCGAGGATTTGTCTGCAAGTTCAACATCGATGGCTCGTATCCAGTTGGAATCAGAGAGAGAGCAAAAGAGAGAAATCCGTTCAGGCCTTTTCTTTGAGAAGAAGCAGAAGGAGAGAAAAGCCTTGAAGGAGCAACAGAAAGTGCAGCGCCTGAAGGATTTGGAAAGAGAGGCTGTCACAACTCCCGTCTTTCCAGAGTTTGACCCTGACCTGGATGATTTCCGATCTCCGGCAACAACTCGTCCTGCACCTATTCCAGAAGAACCAGAGATGGATGAGGCAGTTGAGAGAGAAACCAAACGGCGAAGACAGGGTGGAACGGAAGATGGAAGTGGTCAAGCTTCTTTAGCTTTTGCTTTCCATGCCTATGACTCTGACGAGTTCCTCTTGAGCCAGGCAAAGAATGAGTACGGCCTGAAGGTCGAGTACTACCAAAAGCATGGCTTGGAGATGGAGGAATTTTTGTTTGGTGTTGAAAGAAATGATTTCAATAGCCATTATGGTGAACTTTGCAGAGAAGCACAAGCTCGAGCCTATGCAGCTGCACCCACCGATGCAGCGACTGGTCCAAAGAAACGTGGTAGGAAAGAGCTGAGATTGAACGAAATCACCGAAGAGCTGGCTGCACAGTTCACTGGTCCAGGTGGTTCTGATGAGAAGGAATGGACTGCTTGGATGGAAAAAGGGGCTTGTGATGTCCTATCTGTAGCTGAAAGCGATGAGATCTTTCGAACCAAAAGCCAGTGCATCATACCAACGAGATGGGTCCGCACCAACAAAAATGATGGCTTGGAAGGGAAACCTTTTCTCCCGAAAAGCCGACTTGTGGTGCAAGGTTTCAAGGACAAGTCCCTGGGTTCTTTCAGAAGGGACGCGCCTACGGCATCGTCTTTGGCCGAATCCTTGTGTTTGGTGCTGGCAGCTGTTTTTGGTTTCGTTTTGCTTTCCAAGGATGTCAAGAACGCCTATTTTTCTGGACATGAAATTGGCCGTGAGCTGTATTTGCAACAGCCACGTGGTGGTCTCCCCGGCCTCAAGAAAGGCCAACTGCTGCGAGCCAGCTTCTCCGAGGCAGCTCGTTTATTCTGGCTAGCTCTTAGAGAGCACCTGCTGTCTGACAATTGGGTTGAGTCTAGACTGGAACCCGCTTTATTTTATTTGCGGGATGCCGAAGGCCGACTAGCTGGTGTGTTGGTCACCCATGTGGATGACATCGAAGCTGGAGTCCGAAAGGACATGGTGGAGAAAGCTTTTGAGAACTCAAGCAAGGCTTTGGAGTTTGCTACCAGCAACCAAGGTAGCTTCATTTTTCGAGGTCGAGAGATTTCTCAAGCTCAAGATGGGCATGTGGATGTCAGCATGACCAACATGCCAAGGCCATGAAACCAGTCAAGATAGCTCGAGAAAGGCGACAGCAGCTGGGAAGTCGTTTGACCATGGAGGAGAAGAATCAAATGATGAGCGCAGCGGGTGAGTTGGGTTGGATCACCAGGCAGCTTCGCAGTGACCTTTCCTATGAAAATGGATGCATCCAGAGATGCAAAGGAGATCCTTGTGTGGCGGATTTGGTAAGGGTCCGTCAAGCCATTGCAGCTGCAAGGAGAGCTGCCACCTTTAGACAAAGGTATTGGAACGATGTGAACCTGGAGGATGCAGTTTTGGTTCACATGGCCGATGTTGGTCACGCCAATGGTGTTCCTGAAGGTGATGACATCAAGCGTTACCAGTCCATTGGTGGTTATTTCCTTTTTCTGGCCAACAAGGAGATTTTGGAAGGAAAGCCTGCGAGAGCCAACCTTTTAGCATTTCATTCTTCACAGATCAAAAGAGTTTGCAGGTCAACACTGGCGGCAGAAGCTTCGCATCTTTCTGAAGCTGTGGAGGCCGGTGACTGGCTAGCAGTGCTGTTGGATGCAGCACTACATGGTCGTCAAGATCTCAAGCATTGGGATCAACTTGTGGAGAAACGAAAACGGGTCTATGTCACTGATTCTCAGTCAGTTTTCGACTATCTGCATCGAGATAGCACCTCTACCAGCAGCGACAAACGGATGGCGATTGAAGGAGCACTCTTACGAGAGACCGTTCGTCGTCCTGGTGCTGAAGTCAGATGGATCGATGGGGAACAGAATCTGGCAGATATCCTCACGAAGCCTCGTGTGGACAGGGCCCTGCTCATGGAGTACATGAGAACTGGAATGCTGAGTTTGGTTCAAACAGAAGCCAACCGAAAGTCCAAGGAGAAGAAGAGAGCACAAAGATCTGCTCGCAAAAAGGTGGTGAAGTCAGATGAGAAGAAATTGAAAGAGAAGGACGCTCGTATCGAGCGAGTGGTTGCCGAGATGCGGGAGCGTGCTGAGATTGAGTCAGAAGCAGAAGTTCAGCCAAAAGAAAAATTATGAGTGTGAGAATCCCCTGCAGTGCATTGCAATTGACTGCAACTGACTGAACTTTGCTGTGTATGCATTCATAGCTGGCCCAGATCACAGCCGACGCATTGCATATGTCAGCTAGTGCATGGCCCGCACGGCAAGGATGACACGCACCATCAGAGAAAGAGATCAAGCACAAATCGAGAAGTGTACATATCACTATCCAAATACTTTCACCTTGTTTTGCAACTGTCGTGAAAAGGGTTGCCGCTGATCCGTTGCCAGTCTCAGACTTACGAAATTGTTGGATCCAAACAGGCCCAGACCCATCTCAGTTTGTGAAACGAGACTTTGAGATGCTCCCGAGGGGCAGAGTGGTGTAGAAGAATAGGGGCTGTTCCCAGTGAGGTCATCCACCTAAATCATCCTAAATCTATGATTCTACAATTCTACGAAATTCTACATGATTAATCATCATCATGATTCTACATTTGCAGGGGATGGAACATCAGCTGCATTCCCCACGGAGCGCAAGCACGACATTAGTCCGGCATCCTAGTCTGACCTTCGTATCTTGAGATGTTGGGAGTACGGAAAGGTTTGCGAGACAGCTTGCGTGTCCACATCTGGCCTTTGAAATGATTCTTGTCTCACTGGCCCTGCCATTTTCACTAATTACTTTTCAAAGGTCGCCGTTCTATAGGCATCAACGCTCACTGCAATGAAGCATTGCCAAGCCTTGCATCCACTTGCTGAACATCCACAAGAGTACCGGTATGCTGGGAGGATTCTGAAGCAGTTTTGATTCAGTGTTTGATTCAGTTTTTGATTCCGTGTAGTGTTTAGATCTGTTTGTTTTTTTTGATTCTTTTTGGTTCTCCGTTGACCAGGCTTTTGGATTTCGCCAGATTTCACTGAAGAGCTGCTGCTCCGATGCTTCAGTTCCACTGCGGGCCGATTGAACGGCTTGCAGCCGGAGGCGGCGCGTTCAATGGGTGGTCTTGCTTGGAGTATTTTTTTCATATAATTTTGCAGGCATTCAAAATTATTTAGTATCTATGATAGGTTCCGTTGAAATACTCAGTTCCTTCCCAGAAGAGACCACTTGATTTTGATGCACACCTTCTCACTGCATCATCTTCTTTCTATGTCTTGTATCATCTGAGTCTACACATCTCAAACTTCGACATGCATGACATGCAGCCGAGAGAGCCACAGTTGAAGCTGCTTGACGAGTACTGCAGCCCTTTGGATGGACGGGCGTATATGATCGTAGATGGGCATGGTGCCAAAGATGCAAACCCATGTGGCAGTACAACTGTTCACGGATATGGATTTCCTCCAAGACCCAAGCTCTAGCGACGTGATATATCAAACTTATTCAAACTTTGAATTTGTCTTTCCCGAGGCTAGGTAGCTTAGGTGCCAGTTGTGTGAAATCTTGAGGCACGATATGATACAATTAAACGAGTGCATGGCTATTTCTGGTGTTAGTGCCTGTGCTTGTGGTCGTAGTGGTGGTCGTGGTGGTAGTGATTTTAGCGGTGGTTGAGGTGGGTGTAGTAGTGGTGGTGCAGGTAGCTGAGGTTGCTGGACCACCTACCCAGCCTCTACCCAGCCTCTACCCAGCCTCTAGCCGTTTGAGATTTTTGCCAACACTTTGTTGTTGAGGGTGCAGGTGTTTGCTCGGAAATAAAAATGAGGACCCCGTGGTTTGTGGTTATGCTCAGTTGCTATTTCCAACTTGTTGCGCTCGTGGTCAAAACTTGAGAATTGTGTAACGAAAATCTGGCGTAGCCAGGTTTGGCCTCATGACAAGTTAATGTTAAATGTTATATAATATTTATTCATATCTTATCACTTACAATGACTTACAATTTACAATTGGATTTTTGGATCAGGAGTCAGTCGTGTCTAGAGCCTCACACACTAGACAAGAAAGGATCATTATATGATCCGGCAGGAACTGAATCCTGAAACATGCAAACCAGTCTAGATCGTTAGATTAGTAAAGGAGCCACATGAGGTACGTCTCGAAAACGATGTAGGGCATCCAATATTGTCAAACGTAGTCTTAACCAGATTCCATAGAGTTTGGACCAGCATGTTGAAATCCAAAAAATTGTTTCGGCGATTGTTTCCCAAAAAGACCCAAAGTTCGTCGGCGACATGATCTCGGCGAAAATATGTCAAAAAATCATAATACTGTCGGCGATATGGTTTCGGCGAAAATCTGAGGAAGGTTCTGATGCATGCAATACAGATTGTGGCAGCCGTGTAGATTCGAAACAACGCGGTGTAACAGCTTGATCAACAGTTGAAACCAAACGTTGCAGGTACACAGAGTTGATCAGACTCTGCTTCCAGCACAAGTGGATAGCTTCATTGGGTGCAGTCTCCACTGTGCTCTGCACCCCCCTGCAAATTAGTAAAAACCAATAAGAAGTTTTACATCTGTTCAGATGGTACACACACACCTCGCATGTAGCGAGGTTGGATTTTTTGGAAGAACTTCGCTGGCGGAATCGGCAATATACCATTGAAAGTGAACCTGTAATAACCTAATGTACAAACGGGCGATCACTTCAGTCAGAAGAGGAATTCGGGGCTTGTAGAAGGACTTCGATAGCATCGTGGAAGCTCATGCGTTCAACCATCGCCCAAGTCTGATTAAGTTCCCCAGATGCCGTAGCAGCCTTCAAGGTGTCAGATAGATCTTTGGCTAATTCATGGAGCCGGGTGGTTAGGCTCGGTTCATCTGCAGGAGATGTCGTCTCAATAGGCACATTGTGAAAAGGATGGTGTCCGTGTACAAGGGGAATCTCGAAATGATGTCGCCAATAGTCCGCTGTACGCAGGGACCACTCCCAGTTGCCCGAAAGACCATAAAAGTAGTGTTCAGGGTCACGACATCGGGAATGTCCTAACAAGGGGATTTCTTCAATGAATAGCTCCCTGGTGTTGTTGGAGTGGGTAATGACCTTGAATTGGATCTGGTGAACCACGCGAGAAGAGAATTGAGCACGATGGAGGTAGTTGTGTGCAGAACTTGACTCCGTCGGAAACGGGACGCCAGGAGGTGCTGGTCCTGAATATGTATCAGAATGGGCCATAGTACCCGTGTCAGGAGCCGTACTGTCAGTGACCAAAGGTGCCGACGTAGGGTTGGTAGTAGTGTCAGGAGGGCCTGAGTGACATAGTGCAGAAGTCTGGGCGTCTGGTACTTGAACTGGGTTGGTAGGAGCGAGTCCACGGGTAGGGTTCGAAGGCCAAGACAAGCCCGCCACGGTCGCGTCTCGTTTGTGTTCCATGGGTGAAACTGTCAGAAATGCGAGAAAAAGTGCAACAACGGCTGAGGCATCAAGAATTGCAAATATAAGCCAATCCCGAAAATAATAACATTCACAATGATGATAAAAGTGAAGTCCAGTCCTAAATCAAGCGGTTCAATTGCAACGGAGAAGCCACAGCTCGAAGTCAAATAAAGTAGAAATCAAAGAATCCTTTGTGTTGGTGAGGTGTCAAGGGAGAATTGAAAGCCCTGCAGCATGGTCTTTTTTGGCCGGCTAGCGTATCAGGGCAGGATCACACCGGAGCTAATTTTGTAGCATTGCAGACGTAGTACAAAAGGCTGTGTGGTACCCGGAATGAGCAAAGAGGATTCGCGGGAATTGTACTGCCGAAGTCGCCATTCAGGTCGGTATTCCTCCAAAAGCTGCAAGATCGTCATATCATTGGAGACTTGGAATGTATCACCGTCCAGGTCGCAAAAGCGAAACTCCAAATTCGAGGGATCAATTTGGATGTCCCATTGGGACCTCAATCTTTTGGAAATACAGAAGCGTAGTTCGGCAATTGGGATGAGGCCGGCTTCAACTGGTTCCATCTGACGCGACCAGGTAAACAGAGCCTCCAGTTCGTAGCCACTAACATTTCTCAAATTGGAGCTGGCCATAGCCATGTAGTGTTCACGGTCAGGTTCGCTGCGATGAGTCAATGCCTGTAGGGGAGAGAAGTCAACCAAGATAAGAACAGGTCGGTTTGGAGGAGGGTTTACATCACCAGGGAGGCCTCGATGTCCAGCAAACCATCCAATGGTTCGTGTACCCAGCGGTGTCTCAATCGTAGATGTAGCGCGATATGGATGGGGCCGAGACGAATGAGCCATGGCGTCTAATGTCGAGTGTCGAAGATAAAGCGGAAAGCCCAAGCTGCAGAATAGGTTGATAATGACCAAAGAATAAAGCTCAAAGTGTTGAAACGTAAGAGAAACGGTCTACCTAGTAAGTGGTCACAAAAAGACGGTAAAGCACTGTTCTTTTCCGGTGCCGACAAATAATGTGGTGTATTACACACTGGAGTCTGACATATCCATCGGGTCCGTATCGGTCGCATCCAGTGGACCTTGTACTTGTTGAGGAGGGACGGTAGGCCGAGTGAGATGTAAAGTACGTTGTAATGTTGCCGGTGGTGACGAAGGTGGTGTAGACCGCCATGGTGGCCAGTATAAGGAGGTGGTAGTTCCTTGAGAGTGATGTTGCGCAGAGCGTCCCCAGCATGACTGCAAAATATAGAGTTGGTCCGGTATTGCTTCATATGGTTGGGAAACATAGACATTGGAGTGTTCAGGGTGTGGTAGAACAGGAACAGCAGTTGTCGTAGGGGAGGAGGATGATGATTGAATTGGTACGTCATAGTGTCGGCGCCACTGATTGGCCGTGGTACGTAGAGTCGCCTGATCAGTGGTGAGGTGCATGTTCTCCAGAAAGGTTTCCACAGGTTTCCACGTTTCAATACCATCAATTGTCCTTTCCACGACCCAAAGTTCATCCGGACGATTAGACAACGGGTAGCTCAGCTTCTTGATGAATACGGAATGAACAGTTGTCGAGGTCGGGATGGTTCGTGCTTCGCGAGGGATATACGATGCCGAAGTAGGATCATCAGGAGGTAGATGTGGAACTGGGCCATGTAGGGATGTAGGTGGGGAACGGTGTGAAGCCGATCGAGCAGTATCATCCGTATTGGAGGTCATCGTGTACAACAACAATAATATGGTTTCGGAATACGCCGGACTGAAGCCAAAGAGCCATGAGAAAGGTCAATGATGACGGGATGAATAACGAACATCAACAAAAGGAAAAGAAAGGAAAGAAGTGAAGGAGACCATGGAAAACCAAAACCAGGATGGCGGACATCATAACGAATGTTTTCCTTTTTCCGCATAGATGTGAGCATCGCCAAGATCTATCTGGAAGGCTAATCACTCAGCCGCCTTAGTATATCTGGTGGCCGTGACGAATGGATGCCCACGGGGAATCACTTGGACATGTACAGCGAAGCCTGTGTCTTGTGCATCTGGATGGGGTGTCAGCAGCAAAGATGAACACTCACGAGTCGTGAAGGCATCGAGATGTTGGTGAGTTTTCCATGTCGGATAAAACCAGTTCAAAACGTCCAGAAGAGAATGAGGAAGGTCATCAAGCATCTGAGCTCCTTGATCGGTGTCAATCATCATGTAGAAGTCGGAAGCTGGTAGGTGTATCGACCATCGTTGTAGCAGCGTATCGGTGACCACTGTTTTGAGGTCGGAAACAAAATGACTGCGAGCATAGTCCGGGTAGATCACCTTGAACGTCTGGAACAGGCTATCATAGGTGGCCGTAGGGAGGTTGCCCGCTACCTTGGGGGTCAAGATGTTGTAGTAAGGGTTGCGGACGGCCAGTTGCTGCATCGGCTTCAGGTCCAATTGGAAAATAACTGGTCGGTGGGGTGTCGAAGGCGGAGTCCGATTGGGTGGATGCTGAAGTGACGAAGAGCCCATAGCGGAGGACGATGCCCGTGTCGGAGAGCGTGAGCGTCGTGTAGGTGAGATCCTCTCGTGGGACATAGCTCGCAGTTGGCAATAGCGGTCTAGGTGAATGCGGAGAGACATAATAAATGGCTGGCGGGTTGTGTGATACGACGTGTCAAAATTCA